GGCCAGAGACAGTGAGGCTCACTTCTTCAAAGTTTTATTTCACTCGCAGAAAACGCAGAATTCAGGGAAGCCTTTGCTGAGGAATTTTGGATAGCAGTTTGCCCAAAAAAGCATTTCCGACTGCTTTTGATGGGCGGCCCGAGTCTTTTCACACAACTCTCAGAGAGGAAGTTGTGAGGACAGAGTGGCAAAATGGGCCGTGGTCCAGTCATGTTGTCAGATTCCCCTGTGCTTTGTAGTGTAATAGACGGGCGGTAACAGTGGTGAAAGCACAGCATCCAATCTCTGCATGTTATGACTCGTACTGGGATAAGTCCGTTTTTTCCCTTTTGATGTATAGACGTATCTTTGTTATCAACGTCAGATCTGGCATTTTGAATAGACGCTGTCCACCTCTGACACAGCTTCAATAAACTCTTTTCTGTTAATGCTTCAATTATTAAAAATATATAAAAGCTGATCTTGCAATGTCACTGTCTTAGTCTGCTCTTTAATCTAAGCGCCTTGTTTGATTTGTATCCTGAAACTCAAATGAGCTGACATGGGTGAACACGTGAAACATAATCTACTGAAAGACTTGACTTGAGTTGTGCTCATGAAAAGTAGGCATCATGGGTGAAGAATGAAAAAGAGAGCTTGACATACGTTCTGTGAGGTCCGTTTGTGAGTGAAGGCAACTTTCATCCAGAATGGGGATGTTGGACTCTGCTTCCAATAATGAAAATAGATATATGGAGACAACACCATCTAACACCATCTATTATCATTTCAAGTCTCAAGGACCATGAATGTAACCTCACCCTAACTGCAGAGATGGCCGATCAGAAAATGATGAAAGTGTATTAATCGTCTCTCTGACTGAAACAGGCTGTTTTGAATGCACTTATCCAGACTAAACAGGATACATTTTTTTTCACCCTATTACGTTAACACTGTTACTCTATTTGTGTGTCTCCCTGTCTCATTCCCTCCAAAATGAATGAAGCCACCTTTGGATGATTTATATTTTTTATAGCATGGATTAGTTGAATCCCCAATAGGTACAGAACGGATACAGATTACATTGATCCAGAACTTGCTTTTTGTATTTGTTTTTGTACTTTTCTATTCCCTGTGTGTGTCCTCCGTATCACACTCTCTTGATCTTTTGCGAGAGGAATAGAAACATGAGGATGGAGAGGTAAAAGAAAATGAAGTCGTTACTTTGTCCCCTGTGCTGAAGCTGTTTCAGCAGGGAGTCCAGCATCGTTCTGATTCATCTGAAGCGCTTTAGTATTCAAGTTGTGAGAGTTTACTTCAACGCATCCTGATCCAGCGGGAAGAAGGAGAGAATGACAAAGGGAAAGGCCGGATAAGTAGGGTGTGGAAGGAACGAATTAAAAAGTCAATGAGTCTCCCTTGATGAGTGTGCGTGTTTGTGTGAGCGAGTGTGCGTGTTGGTCTGCAGCTCTTATCAGTGGTACAACGGCAAATAGGTTAATTCTCATTCAGCCCAAAGACTGTGTGTGTGTGTGAGTGTGTGTGCGCGACTTTGTTTGTTTGTTTTACGTGCCTCTGTGTGTGAGTGATGTAGCTCTTACGTCCTTTAGACAAGGACGGTGAAGATGCTTCAGTTTATCCAGAATAGGTCATCTTTTTGGATTAACACTTGGATTCGTAGCAGAACAAGCCGGTTAAACAGTAAGAGTTGTAATTTTACAGCATTTTACAGCCTTCGAGGCTCAACACAAGTGGCTGGAACGCCTCAAAGTCTTTTCCCCTCTTATATAATATGCATTTGCCTTCATGCAAAATGTGAAATTCATCCAGTCTTTTGCAAGCGAGAATTCCTCCCATGAAAGCGGCAGCAGTCTCTAATCTTCAATGAGCGTTGGTAGTGAGTTAATAACGCCGACTCATTTCAGTCTGTGATAGCGATGGTGGTGCAGTTCTGATTCCTGGTATCTGTCTATGTTTTTCCATCAACATGCAGCTTAAAATAACACTTGACCTAATGTTTGTTGTTTTATCGGCAACATTGATAGGACACCAAACTTATATCATCTCCAGATATCTTATCCAACTTTGTTCTGAGGGAACCTCCTAATGTTCACTAACACTCATTCATCCTTCATGTGGCTTTTTCCTCTTGTGTTTTTACTAAAATACTATGCTTTTATACTCCCCTATAATTTTGTTCTATATATTTTGCTTAAGTTCCGTACTATGATATATTGTGTGAGTGATATGAAGGAGAATAAAAAATGTACTGAACGTTTTTTTATCCTTTTATGTGATTTATCTTAAAACGAACACACAGAGTGAATCTTGGTTTAAACACCGTCGGTCTTATCTGCCCCTCCGACAGCCCAGATGTTGTAGCTCTGGCGCAGATGCGAATGAACTGTTGAATAAACTAATCTGTTGCCGAACCGCAGCCTCGTCTACTACAGAGAAAAACATAATAATACAAATTAAAACAAAACGCCCTGCTAATGTACTTTACGTTACACAACCGCCTTTACTTAAAGGTCTGTGGATGTGTGTGTGTGTGTGTGAGGGCACCGCTTTTAGATGCTCTTTGGCAGTACAAAAGACAACTGTGATAAATGAGCTGCATTTCACATTCTCACACCTCATCTGGTATCACACACACACACACACACACACACACACACACACACACATACCTTCTTTTTTTTGACGACGTGTGAAGCTTAATTGTGAGCGCGTGCAGAGGCTGAGTAAGATGAAGGACTCGACCCCGAGAAGACGATTGCTTCATTAATTCACAACTTTCTCCCCCCAAATATCAGCCTCTTCTTTCATCTCTTCTTCCCTTTGACAACCAGGGCTGACAAAATGCCACGTCTTTGCTCCCCAGAGCGGTCGCAGAGAAAGCCAGACAAAACACCAGCTTTCACATGTTCCGCTTTACCTTCTCTGATGAACTCACAAAGATGCCCAGTCACATGTATTTAACGCTTCCACACTCCATCAATCGTGAAAGTCTTGGTGTTGTTTTTGTGAATGAAAGGGATGTTCGGTGACACCACTAAAACAGGCCAATTATATCTAGTGTTTCACACGCTGACCTTTTGTCCCTCAGAGAGCAGACGTGAACTTCTGGCATTCACCTGTGGGTTTTTTCTGTGGGTGGAAAGACCCGTAACTGGTAGTAAGAGTAAGAGAAGCTTTAGCTTTTTCACGCTAAGCTTTTTGGTTGATCCTTGCTGCAAAATTATGATTTTAGAATGTTTCCATTCCAGATAGACTGAACCCAAAGCTGCGTGTTTGATGGAGACAATCTACTTGTCTTTGCTTGCACTGCAAATTATTTAACAACGTCTTATGTGGCTTTTCCAAAACACACCACAGTGAAAACAGCCGCAGACACAGCTACTCACTCAATCACCCAATTCTTTTCCATCGAAATATTTTCGAGGGAGGATTTTCCTTTCAACTAAACCACCGCCGCCAGGGGCCACGAGGGTGACTCGTGGACCAATTGACTGAGGTTTCTTGGACCTTGTTATGCGCGGTGCTTTCATTAAGCAGGGCTCCTTCCTCTGAGTGAAACATGAAGTGGGGAAAGAGGACAGCTGCACGTTTTTAGTCCTGGTGAAAGAAAAGAACGCGTTTCCGAGGGTTTCAGGTGAATTAAGAACACCGCATAAGTCAAAAGGATTATAATATAACAGCAGAAAAAAAGGAAATAAAGAGGCGGGTGGTGGAGGAAGACCAGAGGCTGCCGCTTTTTATTGTTTTTGCCCTCCTGGTGTGTCACCAAGTGTCAGTCTACGCCGTCATCAGAGCTTTAAATTGTGCTCAGCGGACAGTGTGTCACTCACACACGCAGTCAGATGGACGGGCCAACGTAGATCCGAGGACACCAACCACCTCAGGTCTGCTCACTCACTTTGCTCTCCTTCCCTGTCTGTTCCTCTACGTGACACTTTCTTTCTCATATACACGTATTCAAGAAATGTCAGCTTGATAAATTACCCGTGTAAGATAACAGCAACAGTGACAGGAAACTGCAGGGACACGTGACCAAGGTTACAAGCCACTCTCATGGCTTCTTGCCATGTCTCTCACATCAGCACCAGGACGCCCGTTGCTCTCACAGCTTTTCCCAATTAAGAGTTTCTGTGTGGTCTGAAAGGTTGTTGGGGTACGTAGTCAGCAGATTGCTGCTTAGTGGAGGTGCAGTGTATTATTGGGATGTGGAGAGGGCATCGATCTCTATCAGCACTCCTATAGGATGAATCTACCCACATGCTGACAAAAACCACATGCACACACACACACACACACACTTTGATTGAGCTCAAGGGTGTTTCCATTCTAGTGCGTTTGCTCGGTTTGAAAGAACACTTAATGGTAAAATGATGCAATTATTTTACTGTTTAAAAGACAAAATAATTACAATGGAATAATTATACTCGGTGGGTTGTGATAAATTAAGCATATTAATATTAATTACTTTATGCGGTAGATTAATTTCTTTAACTGAATTAGATGTTTGCTGGCTTTTTTATACTCACACGCAAACAGCTGTGGTCTTGATTTGGGGATTTTTGTGGATTTGTAAAAAGTCACTATGAGCACTGGTTCTAACCAAAGAATAAACTGTGTTACTGAAATCAAACTTGAGAAGTGCATTACTGGGATGCTGCTTTTAGTCTACTCTGTGGAAAAAAGCTGCAAGACAATCGGTAAATGCTAAACACCGGTAAATGTGCCAGTCTTTGCATTTGATATGCTGAACAAGCAATTTGCAAGAGTGCCTCTGAAATAAAAATCAATTAACTATATCTTCGTCAAAATTTGATGAAACTACAAGTCACCATGGTATTGGTGGAGCAAATCAAGGAGTCTTCCTCTTTTCCACTCTGGTAATAATAACTTTTAAGGTGTTTCTACATAATAACAAAAAGCAGGTTGCAAAAAAAATACTTTTTAAAGTATGAAAACGTGTATCGATTTTAAATGAAAAAGGGCTTTAATCTGTTTTCCAGAGACCCGGGAGGACCGCACAAAGAGACTGTTCAGACACTACACTGTGGGATCCTATGACAACTTCACCTCATACAGGTACAGCCTCGTCCTCTGAGCTGGCGTGCTACAGTAATGTGCAGTGACATGCCAATTGGAGTATCCTGAACTGCACAAACTGTGTTGGTGAAAGGATCAAGTAGCGCTTGAACCTAATGGAGTTCATGCGTGAAGGTGTTGGAGTGCTATGGAGCTGCTGCCATCTAAAGGCTCGAGGATGCACACACATGCCTTTTTCTGTGCTTCACATTTTTGGGCTTTCTCAGCATCTTTTAAATGCTCTCATTTCATTTTTTACTCTCAGTCCATCTCTTATTTTTTCGTTGTGTCCTCGCTGCCTCAAGCTGACATTTATTGTGAATATTGTGAGTGTCAGATTGACCTCTCTTCTAAATCAAATTACATTACATTACATGTCATTTAGCTGACGCTTTTATCCAAAGCGACTTACAATAAGTGCATTCAACCAAAGGGATACAAACTCAGAAGAGAATTTCCTCAAATAAGCCAATTTACAATTTGATATAGATAAGTGCCGTTATAAGTACAATTTAAGTGCTACAATTTGTTAGTCTTTAGTCGAGGTAGAGTCTGAGGAGGTGTGTCTTTAGTTTGCGGCGGAAGATGTGAAGGCTCTCTGCGGTCCTGATGTCTTCAGAGAGCTCGTTCCACCATTTCAGAGCAAGAACAAATGTTACACATGAGAGGGTATGTGAGGTTTTGTTATGATGCAATTTTCAGCTTCAGTGCCATGTTGTGTCAGTTTGCGACACGGCGCTAGTCTCATTCAGCATTGTTTCCACCCACTTCCTCAACCCTTCACAGAATGTCAAGTTCTTGCGCTCTAGCTTTTAGTTGCATTAAATGTCTTTTTTGTAACCAGAGCTTTAGGTTTGTATAATTTAGCATTATTACAGTCCCACTCTTCTGCGTGTGTATTGTACAATATATTTTTTTCTATTGGAATGGAAGACAGTAGCTTTAACCAAATATAGTTCAGTAGAGAACTGGGAAAACACAAAATGTTTAAACACTGCGAAAAATCCAAGCAAGTTACAGGTATGACGTTGAGGTTTTAAAGGGTAGATGCAACATCTCTGTATAAATACCAGTTTGCAAATGCCAGCCAAAGGTCATGAGTCAAGTTTTACAAAACAGCATTCCTGGAAGTACTATAAAATCACAAATATTGACATCTACCCCTTTAAATGATCTCTTCCATCTGCCATTTGTTATTATTCTATGTTGGCGGATAGAGTTACTGAACAACCACAGTGAACATATTGCAATAATGCGGCATTTTGGGAGATAGAGCAAAGCTTCGTGGATGAAGTGGTTCTTACTGAAACACCACAGTCTTCTGTGCATAACGTTTGGTGCAAAAGTGGATGGATAGGTTTTTATGGAAACAAACCTTTGACCTCCCTTCTGCAGAAAGGTTTGTTATGGATCTCCTGGCTCCAGAAGCAGGAGCTCTGTGTTCCCTCGGTAAGTCGCAAAGCGTGGAGTGTAACTAAGCAAACAAAGACCGCGGCCGCCTATTGCAACCTAAACACCCCAAAATACTACAAACCTCCTGGCTTTTGTCAATGTGTTCAGGCTATATGCTGTACACTGATCATAAGTGTAAATCATTACAACTCATTCATACTTATGTACCTGAACATTACCAGTCAGTCAGTTTGATGAGAAAGAAAGAATGAATATCTTTCACGCACACATGCAGCCATCGTTCCGATATTGGCTTTGCTGCTGGAGACTGCTTTACTAACTCGGCGTGGGTTTGGCTCGCAGGCTGTGGACAGCGATGATTAGCTTGAATGAATACAATTAAGTTTGTGCAGAGCGGCACAGGTTAATACCATCAAACAGCCTCCACCCCTCAACACTCGGGGAAATCAGGCAGTGATGAAGTGCTCACTTACTTTTGCCTCCTATTCCCTCTGTCATTAATCAGGGGATAATATTGCATCTCAGACATCTCTGTCGCACTTTCAGTAGAAGCACTTCACATCCTCTGCAGCTGCAGTCTCATCGGAGAGATCCGCCCGAAGATTGATTCACTTAGGTTTTAACTCAAAGATACTTCCATCATAAGGACTCCATCGCTCTCTCTCTCGCTCTCTCTCTCTCTCTCTCTCTCTCTCACCTGTCCATCCTCTCTCACTCTGTTCCTCCATTTGTGTGTGTGGCTCCCTCTTTATAAAAACACTGGTAAAGCCCCTGGTAATTGAGCTACGGTTTCATGCTTGGCTTTTAATTAACTTGAGGGTTATCAGAAAAGGACAGACAGGTGTGTGTGTCTATGTGTGTGTGTGTGTGTGTGTGTGTGTGTACCTCCATATCCTCTGTCAACAACCCCCGACCCATCGCCTCTACTCTGCTCGCCTCTTCTCTCTTTGTGTGTGTGAGGATGGTGATGGATTCATCCCGGCTCTGCTCTCTCCCCTACAGTGACTACATCATAGAGGAAAAGAATGCTGTTTTGCAGAAGAAAGAAAATGAGGGGTTTGGTTTTGTCCTGCGGGGAGCCAAAGGTGAGACCCGCCCAACGATACGCACACAGACCTTTTGCAAAACATTCACCCTCACCACCGAGCTGTTTCACACTCGAGAGTTTTAATGCAAGAAGAAGTTTATTGATCTGAGTCACTGAGTGCGTTTCAGTCTGTATTGTTACTGTGTGAGTCAACACAAGCACAAGCTTTGGTCAACACTCATCTTGTGTGTGTGTGTGTGTGTGTGTGTGTGTGTGTGTGTGTGTGTGTGTGTGTGTGTGTGTGTGTGTGTGTGAGCATGTGCAGGCGCTTGGTGGCATCCTTGGCAGAGCTGGCGGCTAGCTGTCCCATCTGTTCCCCGCACATGGCGTTCAGCTTTAGTAGAGGCACATTCCTCTCTGATTTCTCTCATCTTTACTCAGCCTGCCCTTGTTTTCGGTCTTCTCTGCCCTCCTCCACCTCCTTCCCGTCTATTATGCTTTCCGAATACTTTTACGCCGCTGCTTTAATACCTTCAGCACTTGAGCTGATATCATCTCTCTATTCATCTCCATCATCACAATTTCGTTTTACTCATGACTTCCCTTCTCCTTGCTCATCCTGGTTACCATGGCAACCCCTCTCCGGCACCTTGGCGGGAGTCTGAGTGTGCTTTACTGCTCCATCACTCACTACCAAGGATCTTGGCTCACCCCGCTCTCTTTTACTCACTCTAACTCGGACTGTCCAGTTCTCTCAGACACACGCTCACACGTACACGAGCACACGCTGTTGTTCACCTCGTGGTCCTCTGAGAACGCTCATGTGTCAGGGATTTATTTGGGATTCGTTCCAAGATTCAGTGGAGTTTATGGTGGCACATCGCATTCACCTAACAAAGTGTGCTAGTGCATTTCAGTCTATTTTGTTAAGACGCGAATGCAGTTGTGCAAGTGTGTGAGCATTTCATTATATTCACCTGTATGTTTCAGTTTAAAGAAATTTAAATCAGAATTAAACGACATTTTCCAAATATGAATTGCTGCATGTCTTACGTTTTTACTCAGCCGAGACGCCCATCGAGGAGTTCACCCCCACCCCAGCGTTCCCGGCCCTCCAGTACCTGGAGTCTGTGGACGTTGAGGGAGTGGCCTGGCGGGCTGGTCTTAGGACAGGAGACTTCCTCATTGAGGTAATCAAAGACACTTCATTTGCTTCTCCTTCATGAATTTGCTGGAAATTGGTAATTATGGAAACAAATCATTGTAAAATATTTTCATTTACAGTATGCTAACATACCTCATTCTGTCTGGTGTGTGTGTGTGTGTGTGTGTGTGTGTGTGTGTGTGTGTGTGTGTGTGTGTGTGTGTGTGTGTTGTCTTAGGTAAACGGGGTTAATGTAATAAAGGTGGGCCATAAGCAGGTGGTGTCCTTGATCCGCCAGGGGGGCAACAGGCTGCTGATGAAGGTGGTGTCTGTGACGCGCAAACCTGAATCCGAGGAAGTTGTTCGCAAGAAAGGTAAAGAACAAAGGACAATCTCCTGTGTTAAATTCAATATCACATTTGGACTGTATTAAATGTCAAAGGCAGCTCCAATATTATTTGAAATCTCGGGGGAAATGTGGTTGCACATAGAGGCCTTTTGTAACTATTACTTAATAATGTTACCAATTGCGTAGTAATGGCTTTATTAAAGCTTATTGGGTGCTTTTTTAGCATTACACGTATTTCTCATGAACTTTTGATCTCGGACTCTACAGAAGGCACGTGTGTTTTCTGTTGTGTAGGTGATTTCCAACACGTTTCTCCGCTGTAAATTCATTTGGTTTCCATGTCAAAACTCGCCATTACTAAGCTTCCACACAGTTATGACTTCAGGACTGTGTGTGTTTGTGTGTCCTTTGTGGTTATTGTGAGACTGGAAAATGTGTTTGACCTAGTTTCTAACTAAAAACGGTTGGTGTATTATGGTATCTGTTCATCGCTGTCTCCTCCCTCACGCTCTCTCTCTCTCTCTCTCTCTTGATCACCCCTGTTGTCCACAGAATACTTTTTTGAAGCTTTGAACTGCATTTCAGTCTTCCTCCGGGGGTTGAGCCATAACCTATTTGACCTTGGATAATCTTCTTGCATGAGACAATTAACAGCGCTCTCATTTTGGGCTAGTTTAGGACGGCAAAAATACTGTAAAGACGCATCGATTAGGCTACAAGCGCCGCTAAAGCTTACTAATTAACATGTAAAAACTCTATATGTACTTGTTTGATCCATACAAAATATATTTAGCATATATATTATGCCGCACCTCTGCAGAACTGCATGGACATCATCAACTCACACACAGGGACCTGTAGGCAAATCACATTAAAAAAAGCTTGTTCTCTGCACCATGCGAGGCCTCACTACTGCCAATGTTGCCATGGTGACTACACTGCATATTTGAAATAAGCATTACATTACAGCTCTCTCTCTCTCTCTCTCTCTCTCTCTCTCTCTCTCTCTCTCTCTCTCTCTCTCTCTCTCCCTCTGACCGTTGCTCTCTATTTCTCTGTCCTCCTCCTTCTGCTCCTTGCTACTGTACCACAATGTGCAGACTGGTGGGGAAAAGAAGATGTTTGATATGGACTCTACCCAGGATGGTGTTCGTGCACTAGATCTGCAGCTGCTGCTGCTGCAGCAGGATAGTTGGGCTTTAATAAGACACCCGTGGGACTTATAGATCTAGCGCTCTACAGTAGTGCAGTGAGAGCCAGCTGGTCGATCTCGGATAGATCTACTCGTGTTGTGGAGTATTGACAAGAAACTTGGGTTTGTTATGCCGTGTAGAGAATGCTGCCGTACGTGCCTTTTTGATTTGTGTCCGACTGCATGGCATTACATCGTTACTGCGGACTTATCGTGTCAAAACACGGTGACTTTATTGGGAATTTGCTCAGTCAGATTGTTTATTGCGACCTGATTGAAAGCTTTTTATTTAAACCTGTGACTCGCTCGCTTTTGGAGCTGATATTTGTTAAATGTGTTTTACCGTCTTGTGCAATAAAAGGATAAAAGCCCAGTTGCCTTGTGTGTGTAGAAGGTTAAAGATGGTCTTTGTGGTATGAAGCCCTCCCCCCTCTCCGATCATTTTCCATAGCTGCTTAATTTACTGTCATATCCTCGTTGGTAAGCCCACATGTCTTGATGTCCTCCCTCTGGGCGTTTTCTCCGTATATCTGCATGTGGTCTCGATGTGGGAGGATAGGCATTTGTGTGTGTGAGCCAGTGTCGCCGTGTTCCTTTCTGATGCTCTCCTGCTAAAAGTAAGATGGACAACTTTCTCCCTCTACTCGCGACAGTCGGTTTACCCCACCTGCCGATTGCGGCAGACGCATTTCCTTGGTTTGTGTGTAATGGGAGGATTCAGAAAGCTACGGGACGTTGCCGGACTAAGCTGTACATTTACTGCCCTTGGGCTCCTCAGCAGGGACAAATGTCTGCAGCACAAAGACTAGAAAACTGAAAGTCTTGGAGTCGGACTGAAACATTTACACGCTTTTTGGACCAACAAATAGCTAAACATGAAGAAGTCGGCCTACAACCGCAGCCTGAACAAGGTCCTGGCTAAATGCGGGCGGTCCAGTTCGTCTGAATTTGACCAGATCAAAGCAGTGAGATCCGGATGGGCTGGCCGTCTGGGGGATGCCAGGAGGGCGCTGAGTCGCAAATCCAAAGGATCTTCGCCCCGCTCAAGTTCGTCTTCAACACCATGCCTTTTTTCCACAGCTCCCCCACCACCCAAAAGAGCTCCCAGCACCACCCTGACGCTGCGCTCTAAGTCAATGACCGCCGAGCTGGAGGAACTGGGTGAGTGCCAGATAGCTGGCATGCAGAACTTGTGCGTGTCTACTAACTTTTAGAGTAGTCAATTCTTCTGTTGGCTTGTTCTCGTTATTTTCCCTACTTTGCTGACACTATCTTTTCCCCACCAAGCTTCTGCTCGGAGGAGAAGAGGAGGTGAGTCTTAGGCAAAAGACTCGACACGTCTCTGAACATCATAATAATAATTTGTTAATTTAGAGCCAAAGAGCAGAACACTTTGGACTTCATTTGGACTCTCTTCCTCCTTTTGTTCCTCTTTCCCTTTCGTAGTGCTCGTTCCTTAGCTGTGCTAGTTTGTGAGCGAGTAAACCCAGTCAACCTGGATTGAGATCTTTTACAATACCATGGAATGTGCCCGTATACATTTTAGTGAACAGCTAAATTTTAGAGATGCCTTTTTTAATCACAATCCCTATTGTGGTAGTAATATCAGAATTTAAGACGCTATGTTTTCCTGGTATTTAGTTCTGGCTCGTTTCCTTCTCAACAGAGAGACTAGATGAGATGTTGGCATCCCAGGAATCTATCTTGCGTTCTCAGCCCTCAGAGGCAGATTACAGAGCAGCGACTGTCAAACAAAGACCCACCAGCAGGAGAATAACACCAGCAGAGATCAGTGTGAGTGCACCTACACAGAGCTACCTCAAGATTGAGTGATGCGATTTTTGTTTTTTAATTGAAGGCATTAAAACTATATTTTTACGATTGGTCTCTGTTTGGTTGCGCTGCAGTCACTGTTTGAGAGACAAGGGATGACTCTACATGGAGGTCTTCACCCAGGCATTGAGAGGGGTCATATACCACTACCAAAGGGGATGTCCAGGACCAAGTCTTTTGGTAAAACAATCACCCATCCTGTACATATTCAAATAAGGTGAATGATAGTGTTTCTTATGTGCAGTATGCTCATAGGGAATATATTTACTTATACAGAATAGAAGAAGCTTCATTCTATTTTTGTAAAATTGCATCATTACACCCACAGACAATAGTATATACACAGCAGGACGGCAGGCTGGAGATAAAGACTATATCTTCAAGACACAATGTAATAAAATGCTTTTTGCATATTTACAGAAACGAAAGTACTTGTACACATTCGTTATTACTACTCTGTTTTAGTAAATAGATTTTCCTTGTTTCCAAGTACATTCACTAAACAAATGTTCCATTCTTAGTATTTAAAAGAACAGTTAGTTCATTAAAATGTGTGAGTTAACAAATTTACAGATGGTTTCATTGCAGTACGCCTGCTTGGCTGGTATAAAATGGTCCAATTTCATGAGCTTACTCCCTGTCACCAGAAGATCTGTGCTCTCCCCTCCCTCATCAGGTGCCACTGAGGAGGATCGGTTGTCTGCCCTTGAAGGCGAGCAGAGATTTCCCCGCAGCTCCTCCATGACAGACAGCCTCCGAGAGCCCTCACAGCCCCATCCCATCCCTCCACCGCCACAGACAGCACCTCCCCCTCCTCCCTACTACCTAGACACTGGTCCTCCCCCAGCCTTCTGCCCCCCCCCTCCCCCATCTAGGACTCAGAGTCAGGGTTATGAGCCCGGAGAACGCTCCAGTTTCAAGCCCTCCTCCTTGGACCTGCCTTACGAGGACGCTCACCGGCAGGCGACACACCTGGAAAGACAGAAGAAAGCCCGCTCCATGATCATCCTGCAGGACTCTTCGCATCTACCTGTAGAACCTACGGAAATTCCGCGTCCTTCTGCTGCTCCTCCACCCGAGCGAATCAAAAGGAAGGGCCGAATTATTGACAACCCTTATGCTAATGTGGGACAATTTAGCATTGGACTATACGCACCCACTAAGCCCCAGAGGAAGAAAAGTCCCCTAGTTAAACAACTACAGGTAGGTGAAAACTTTTTGTTTAAAAAAAAAAAAAAAAGAACTTTGATGTATTAGGCTGATTTTTCTTTTTGTTTTTATGCAGGTGGAAGACGCACAAGAAAAAGCTAGTTTGGCCTTGGCTGCTGCCCACTCCAGAGAGAGCTCCCCGTCAGGGCGACACCAGTATACCCATGGACACACACACACCAGCCGTGCGGACTACTACCAGCAGCAGCTGATGGCTGAGCGAGAGCGCATCCGCGCCCAGGGAGAGATGATGTTTCAGGGCAAAGGCCCCTTTGCCGCTGCAATAGCTGGAGCAGTAAAAGACCGCGAGCGTCGCCTCGAAGAACGGAGGAAATCCACCGTCTTCCTTTCCGTTGGGACCATGGAGGGGGCGTCTGGCACCAGCTGTGACCTCCCTTCTCTGACTCAGTCTCACTCTGTTGATGAGCGGATGCTCAACAGAGAGCTGGGACAGCTGCCTCCCCCCGCCTTGGCCCTGAGCCCCTCACCCAGTGGGACCACCTTTATTCATCCGCTCACAGGGAAGCCCCTGGATCCCAACTCTCCACTGGCTCTTGCGCTGGCCGCAAGGGAAAGAGCGCTGACCTCCCAGAGCCAGTCGCCAACTGGCAGTCCAGAGACCAGGACTAAGCATGAGCGGGACCCTCAGACCAAAGAGTCGCCACATGGGGAAGGGGCCTCCACAACTCCCCCATTTTCGCCTAAAAGCGCCATGGCAGCGGGGTATGGAGTGGGATCCTCCGCGGCATCTATTTTAGTTCCCCAGCCAACAAAATCCCAGTGGGCCCCATCTCCATCGCCTTTATCGTTCAGGAAAGAGATGGAGGCCAGAGTAGAGGAGAGGAAGGGGGAAAAAAGGCTGGAGGATAAAAAAAGCATGTTGATTAGTATTTTGGATACGTCGCAGCAGAAAACCGCAGGGCTCATCATGGTCCACGCGACTAGTAACGGCCAGGCTGCTGGGGTGGGTCCAGAGCCAGAGCGGACACCTTCCCCAAAGCCCACGGAGCCGAGCAAATCTTCCAGTCCTACGGTCTGCCGGCCCCAGGCCCAACTCCAGGCCCAGCCTCAAACTCCTGCCAGTCCGGCCCAAGAGAAAAGCCTGGCTCAGGGGAGCTCCGAGGAGGATGTGGATCCGTACACAGTGACCCTGCCGCCGGCAATTTTGTCCTCCAGTGATGAGGAAACTAGAGAGGAGCTGCGTAAGATAGGAGTTGTTCCGCCGCCAGATGAGTTCTCTAACGGTCTGCTGGCGCAGGCGCAAGGGATGCCAGTGTCCCCGACGAAGCCTGCCGCCTCTCCCGCCACCCCTACAACAGCGACACCCAAAACTCCCTCAGCCACGACAACGCCAACTGTGACACCCGCCCAGCCTCAGCCTCCCCAACCGGCACCTCCACCCGGTGCAGGAGTTGTCTCAGGGAAGCCCTCTGACCCTCTGGAGCCAGCGGCAGTGGGGGAGTCCGGCTCTGCGGCCGACTCTGGCGTGGAGGAGGTCGACACGCGTAGCTCCAGCGACAGAGAGCGAGACCACCACCTCGAGACCACCAGCACCGTCTCCACGGTCTCCAGCATGTCCACGCTGTCCTCGGAAAGCGGCGAGCCGGCCGACACGCACACCACGCACACCTCCTACGCCGACGGGCAGACTTTTGTGCTCGACAAGCCGCCAGTGCCTCCTAAGCCTCGACTCAAGTCCCATATAGGAGGCGGCAAAGGCCCCGTCACCTTCAGGGACCCTCTGCTGAAGCAGAGCTCGGACAGCGAGCTTCTATCACAACAACAGTCCGCCGCTCTGGCTGCCGCCGCGGCTGGAGGAGCCGGGCTGCCCGCAGGCGGCTCAGCCTCAGTGACTGGACTAGCCCCGACCAAACCGCGCTATCTCTTCCAGCGGCGCTCTAAGCTGTGGGGGGACCCGGTGGAGCCTCGTGGAGTGGGGCTAGGTATTGGGAGTTTGGGCAACCTTGGTGGACTGGGGCTGGGGCTGGGTTTAGATGAGGTAGCAAAACCAACGGTTATGGGGGAGCTCAGTTCACGACTACAGCAGTTAAATAAAGACACTAGGTCACTGGGAGAGGAGCCACTAGGAGCGTCATTTGATCCAGGGAGGAAATCACCTGTGGCAGGTGCCAGGTAAGACAAAAGCTAGTCAGATTCACCACAACAAGGTTTTAACGGTGCCGGAACAAATGGTTTATTGAACATGATTAAACGTCTTTTCGTGTTACTCGATGGTGGCAGAGAAAGAAAAGTGAAGTAAGTCCAGTGGCCATGAACAGAAATGGCACAGTTGTGCAAAATATTAGTATTGTTGTTTTATCAAATGCATCTCTTTTTTTCACTTATTCACTTACAATTATAAGTAGAAGACAGCACGTTTGAGTCAGTTTAGTCTAGAATATGATAACCTTTCTCTGGAGAGAGGGAACGTTGGAGGCAAGTCAAGGGGGGCAGAATGTCTTATTTCTGTCGATGATTTGATTTTTCTCACATTTTAAAACATGCAAATGAATCCATATTGAAGCCAGTCTACTATGAGAGTAAGTGGTAATGAGATAAAAAGTCAATAGCCTTGCAGGCATTAGCTTATTTTTTTGTGTAACAACATTAACGTTAATATGTGATGTACCTTTCTAGGGGTCATACAGTAAGTAAAAAGCTCATTTGAAGAATAGAAAGAGGCCCACACCAGGTTTGTTTTCACACAGCGCTTATGGTTGAGGCTTCACACAATGTCTATTATTTATGGGTTTCTTGTATTCACACCATACCTGAAGGTACATTTAAGTGCTTTATGTTTCTGCAGATGTGAGGACACCAAAGACAGAAAACCTTAAGGTTATAGCCTCTAGGGTAAACTTAAGCTTTTTTTTTAAATATAGTTTACCTAAGAAGACTTTCAACTAATTCCATGAAAGATAACAACCCTAATATAAATGTTATATATTTATATATGTTACCTTGTTTGCATTACCGGATTTATTCATTTATTCACTTTTGTAAAAGAAAATCTTGAAGAAGAATATAAATTATTTTGCTATAGCACTCTAAATACATTTGATTGATTTTAGAGACATGCAGTTGTTATGTGTACCTCTGGTCTCGGTTCTGAATTTCTCCTTGTTTCCATAGTTACAACTGTACTCCATAACCTACTGTTATATAGTGCAGTCAGTTGTTGTCAATAAGGAGAAACTTATGTTTGTGTGTGTGTGTGTGTGTGTGTGTGTGTGTGTGTGTGTGTGTGTGTGTGTGTGTGTGTGTGTGTGTGTGTAATCTGTTGGTGCAAACAAGGTGACAGGGCGTAGAGGCATGCACCTCCTGTAAGCCTCTCCTCATTTCACAGACACGTTCTAACCTCTGACCCCGTTAGTAACTGCCTTTCCAACTCTCCCGTGTTCAAATAATACATAATACATCCTTATATACATATTTCTTTGCAGCCATCACTGATAAATCCCTGATAAGACCGCAAGCTTCTCAAGCTCCTTCTTATCGCCCCATCCTACCGTAATAACAGTGATAACCTCAAAGACTTAAGGATGCATTTTCATTTGAACACATAAAACCATCCCCACGGGATTTAGGCATTAACAGCTATGCCAATTATGTGACCAACAGATATCTCAAAGTTCTGAGAAGCCACGGTCAAATAAATGTCTTCACTTTTGATCAGGATGTGGCCCAGCCGTGTTTTTAGGGATTTTGCACGTTTTGCAAGAACAAATGCTTTCAATTTTTGGTTATTATTACAGTTTCACTTGACTGTAGACTGAGCACTAATAGATTTTTTTCTAAAAGGCTGTTCAGAAGAGTGCTTCATTCACACTAATGTATCACTCCAGATCTCAGAAAGCTTTCAAAGAGCTACAGGGTTTGAAGGCACCCTTCAGGTGACATTTTTAAAACCTTTTTCTTTTTCTCTCTTTCCTCTCTTGTCCTCATTTCTGTTTTTACGGATAAGGAGGCTGGAATATTTTGCTTTCATGTTGCCTATACTTCACTACTTGAGGAGCTAAAAGATATGAAGAAATATTCTAAGACTTACAAAGTGTAAGCCATCGCTTTCGCAGACCTCTCATTGTATTAACATCAGCAGGAGGAGCTGACCAACTCCACACAACTGGAACTGCAGTGCTCCTCACGTTGTGTTTACGTCCGTCTGTCAACTCAATTACTTACGTGACAATCAGAAAAAGAAAAACTGTTGCAAGAATTGATCAGAGGGCTCGCGGATATTGACAGTGATTTGACCCCATTTCAAATCACTGTCAATACCCCCAAGTACAATTGAGGGAAAAAAAGCTTTGCGAGGAGTGATGGAGGTTGAGCGAGAGAGGACGCTCCTCGTGCTCACGCACGATTTTCATTTTTTGCTCTTTGAATTGTACACGTGGGACCTCTAGACACTCAGGTGACAGTAACTTGACCTCACTAGTAGTTATTGGCCTTTCATTCTGACTCATGTCCTCTTCTTGTTGTTGTTTGCAATGTCAATGTATTTAGGCCATATTCGTTTAATATGTACACACAAAAAAAGCATGCTTGCAGTCCTGACTCTTCACCAGTAGCAAATTAACTATTACAAATACGGGAAACAGTTTGGGTTTTGTAGCTCATTCGTTGCTTTTACTTAAGAGAATGAAATGCCTGAGTTACCATAGAGTAAGATATAAATTCACCATGTGATATTGCCACAAATTCACCCATCAACTACTGATATGTACCTCAACAACACTCAGTCATGATTGGACATTTTAATGAAAGATTATCCAATAAAATTCATCCCCACAAAACCCATCCCGACCGTTGGCTGTCCTCGGCTGTGACACCATTATTTCTTGCATGTCCCAGCACGTTTAACTATGATGTTACTCCATTACTTAACCCATATCCAATGTGTCATATTCAAAAACCATATGCGGCTGTATTTTGTCTCTTTGTCTCTGTACGCACCTCGTGTTCATGCAGTGTATCATAGCCCTGAGTGGCACAGGAACCCGTGCTTCTCATTTGGGTTCATCTGTGCATTTTGGTTTTCTGTTCTCCTCTTTTAATGTGATTTGCATAACTTTGTTTTGTTTTTCAGTGATTGTGTTGAGGATAGCCATGGTCCCTGACTGTCTTGCTTATTGGACACTGTAGGTTTCTTAAATAACTCAGAAACTACACAGAATATATGATAACATATTTTTATAGTTATGGCTTGATTATAAAACACACCTATATACATACTGAGATACAACTGATCTTTAATGTAAACGTGTAACCACTACTTTTACAATCTGTATAAATGTGTGTTTGCCAATAAGAAGCAGCTATTTTGTCCATCATTTAAAAATGACTAAAAGCAACCACAAAAGTCAAGGGACGTGTGCCCACCTTTTATTTGTTTATTTGTTTTTCTTTTGTTTGATATGTGAACAGTGTGCTCATTTCTCTCATGCAGCCCACTGGTCAGACCTTCCGGTGCCGAAGCCTACTCTGCTCTCGATGGCCTTTTTATACGCCGAGCACACCATCATATCCACTCGCACATAGATTCACGGACGCAGCAACACTCAGATGAAGACGCCACGCCGCGCACACGTCACAGTGCCTGTCAAAGACAGCAGAGTTGGCTGAAGCAGGTCATGAGTCTGGTTGGGAGGCTGCGTCTCATGTAGTGATGCTAACATTCTCTCCCATTGCTCTCTCTCTGCTCACCTTGCATGCTCCGCCCTGCTGCTCTGATCTGATTGGTCTAGAAGTGACTGTGCGCCCAGGAGGGCAGGACGACTGTGTAAGTGCGCATGGAGCTCACCTCATCTCCGTCGGCTCCCTGTAGTGTGGTCATTTTTCCAGCCGCTCGCGCCGCCTTTTATCAGTCCATTTAGTCCACATCACATCAGTTTCTGCACATCAAAACACACCCAGGAGAGGGGAAATATGTGGCGCACCTGTGCAAAAGACACTCACTGACATGCATGAATAAAACACGCATCTTTGCAGCACCGCTTATCACAATAGGCCTCTTCGTGCTCCTCCCCCTGCAAAATCCTAATCTGATCCACACCTCTTCTCCTGTTCCTTCATTAGATCAGCAGTATGCTAATCAGACAAAAGTTATCAAATGTTATATTGTGTGGAATGAAGACATGTCGGGATTTACTTTTGTGGAAGAAACTGCTTCCACAAGTTTTTTTTGCAACATAATAGTTCAGATGTTTGATAATTACCGGTACTCGCAGATTGGGTTTGTACAAAAACAACCTGGAATTAATTTGTCCTCTTCATGCTGCAGACGGTAAGATTGGGTTTGTTGGTCACTGAGATACAGCTGGGCTTTCGGAAAAAGATGATGCTTTTTGTAATTTCATGTGGCCTTTTAACAGATGTGATTAATGTCACCTGTTGTCTTTATACACTATGTCTCCTAAAAGTCCTGAAAAAGAGAATGAACTATGTGCGCAATGGTCAGCTGCCTACTGCGTTCAGAGCTGTGTGTCTGTGTGTTGTACGGATTTTTTGCGGTGTGAAAATGAATCCAGAGCTTGGTTACTGCAGTTTCAACAATCCTTTTTGATGTTTTAATCCAGCTCTGATCTTTTTGCTGTTTGGGGTTTGCACTAATCAGTTCAGAAAAGCATATTGAATGCCATAACAGGAAGCAGATTTTGAATGAATTTATTTGAGGAAAATACTTAGTCAGTAATGTTCAGATGGAATTAAAATGTGTGAAAATATTGAGCTATTTTTCGCAAAATGCTGCGATATAATTCTTTGAATAGTTGCAAGTCCTATGTTCTGTATGCATGACTGAGTAGTACATACATTTTTCACTATAAATCATCTCAGATACTCCAGCCAATGAGTGCAGTTTGCTGATTTGATGTTGCTGTGTTGTGAGACTAGTTTGGTCTGTCTTAACAGTAATAACGTTCAAGCTTTAAACTTACTTTTAGAATAACTCAACACATATAACCCTTAGCTTGCTCCCCTTTTCCTTTTCATTTCTATTACTTTGTTCACCTTCATTTCCTCTGCTAACATTCTGAAAGCGTCTCTCTCTGTATCCACCAGACTTTTCAGCAGCTTAGGCGAGCTCCACACCATCTCTCAGAGGAGTTACGGCACCACATTCACCATCCGCCCTGGCAGCCGTCACCCCGTCACCCGACGAACCCCGAGCCCGGGGTCAGGCTCCCCTGATCGCTGCGACCCCTTTGGACGATTCTCGGGCTTCGGCCTACCGAACTCCCCGACCACACCGCCACAAACCATCCTCAAGTCGTCGAGCCTCAGCCTGCCGCAGGAGCCTAAGGAGGTGCGCTTCGTGATGAGGAGCTCCAGCACGCGTTCCCGTTCCCGCTCCCCGTCACCCTCCCATTCCCCCGGACTGGGCTCGCCACTTTTAGCCCTCAGGCCCTTCCATCAGAAGCCACTCCACCTCTGGAATAAGTACGACGTCGGAGACTGGCTGGAGAGCATAAATCTGGGGGAGCACAGGGCGGGCTTTCAGGAACATGAGATCGAAGGCTCTCACCTCCCGGCTTTAACCAAGGAGGACTTTGCAGAGCTCGGAGTCACGCGAGTCGGACATCGCATGAACATTGAGCGAGCGCTGAAAATGCTGCTGGAGAGCTGACCCCTGCCCTGAGAGCCAGCAACAGACGCAACGAAGGATCAGGATGGAGCAGGCAAGGGATGAGGAAAGGGAAAAGATAGTGGGAGCGCTCCTCTTTCACTCTGGCTGCTTTTATGTTCTGCATTACAAATGTTTACCTGTGTGCATTCGGGACCCTTCAAGTTCCTGCTGTGCATCAATACCCTGCACCTGGCACTGCACTGAAGAGGGGGAGGGAACACATTCGTACCCCTTCACCTGGCTCTTAAGTGTCTGCCCAAATCCTCGCCCGCAGCCAATCAGATCGAACCTCAAAAAATGGGCTCTGGTCGTTCTTTTGCTGAGAAGAATCGCATGAGCTCCAATTAAAATATTTGATTTGTTGTTTCCCTAGTAACACCCACACGCTCTCGCTCACTGTTTGTTCCTCTCCTCTCTATTTCTATCCCTCCATGCTTTAGGCATTTGACAGCCTTTTAGCAGTCTGAGTAAAGGAGGAGAAAGATCTTTTTTTTTTCTTCCAAACAGAGAGCTCAGTTGCCTTTCAAAACATTTATACAGAGATCAGCGATGAAGAAAAAATAGTACTATTGACACGGCTCTGAAAATGTGTGTCTTGAACTGCTGTTGTTTTTAAACCTAAGACTTTCAAGCCCAAAAAGCTCCACCAAGTAAACCGAGGAAGAAAACCTCTCCGCCTTGGTACCCAGACTGTGCTATCTATTATATTTGGAGAATGTTTAACCAACACTTGTGGCTTTTTTCATAATCAATTTTTGGGTTTTCCAAAGGGAATATTATATATAGGTACTATATGATATGATATAAATGTATCTAAATATAGCTTTCAAAAGAAAAGATAGTGTTGCAAATAGGAATTGTAATAAATTAATCTGCGCCTGTTTTTGGTTTTTAGTATAGAGGGCAGAGAGAAATCTTTAAATTTATTCCACCAATAGTTTATTAATTTCTAACAATTATATACATATATATAAATATATATATATTTGAAATTTTAAAAAAAGTATATAGAAATAGATAAAGTATGGAAATGTTTTTTTTTTGTCATAAGTGTACATCTTTCCTTATGGTCACCCTTTCTTGAACCGTAGCATGACAAGTTGCATCATATCTTGGAGATTGATATTTGTTTTTTTATTTTATTATGGTCTTCCTTCATACAGAAGGGCATCCCATAACGTGAGGCTGAGAACCTAGTTGACACCCATCCCCCTTTGTAGTTCTGACCCAGCTTGGTCCACAACAAGGACCACCTGAACAACACAGCTAACTGGAATATGGAATCATGGAACACAGCAGAAATTGTTCACATTCGTTTTTGCTGGGTAAGGGAACCAGTACCAGAAAATATGTGGACCCAAAATAAGTTTAAATAGTTAAAGTAAAGAAAATGTTGTTATCCTTAAAACATGGTTCTACCTGGAGAATGAGTGAGAAGGCTTAACCGAGCTAAACGTGAAGTCTGTTCCCTTTTAAAAGCCGTGCTGTACGTATCAGGCCGGGGGGACGGGAAGGTCTCTGTAAGCTCTTAAAGAAAATTCAGTTTTTTACAACCTGGCAGTGTCTTGCTACGTCGCTACCACCCTCTATCTCTACAATTTACTTAGTGATTAATATATTATCATGAAGGGTGCCAGCAAGAACTCTGAACAAAAAAAATAAGAATCAGGTTGTAGAAAGAAAAACTGAATTTTCCTTTAACAATAAAAAAAAATCCACAATTGTACTCATGAGAAGCTTCTGCTGGCAGTGAGAAACAGTGAGTTTTGTTCTGGCAACAAGAAGCATTTTATCCATAGCTTTTCTCTAACAGAGTAATGTTAGCAATCTGTTACCACTAAAACCTCCGTACACCTGCAGCATCCGGTCAGCACACCGGGGCAGTTTCACTCGGCAAGAAGTTGCGCGCCTCTTCTTCTTCTCTCTTTCTTTTACGCCAGCAGTTTGTAAAAACAGGTGGTGGATTTAACGCTGTGTCAGGGTTGTAGGAATTGCACTCACTGCCTCACTGTGACCTCACTGATTATTTTACATCTGACTACAGTGTGTTACGGTACGTCGTCAGACTCATTCAGACTTTTTGTGTTTGTTCTTTTTCTTCCCTTCTGGTTTGTTAGCCTCGGACACTGTGGGTGGATTTTGTAGCGTGTGGAACATGGTACAATGACACATGATCCTTCACTCATTTGAATTTATAGCGACAGAAAAAAAGAACATACTGTCCATTCTAAACGTACTTATACTTGTAAAAATAAAAAAAAATATCTTTTTTTTAAATCACAAGCAATGTAAATATGACAGATTTCATATAAATTTTTGAGAAACTAAAAGTATATAGATCTATATATGAATGTTTGGCATATATGCATAGTTAACAACCTGTGGGAAAGGTGAGCAGACTTTATTCTTTCTATGAACTCTTGAACTTTGAACTCTGAACTAGGGGAAGATTTGCACAAAACAAGGTGACAAGGTGCTAACATGAAAGCCACCCATCGTCCAATCGCATGCGTGCATCTGGAATCTCGAAATCTGTCTGTGTGGTTTTTTTCCTCTTCACCCAGTGTGCATGACTGTGTGTGTGTGTGTGTGTGTGTGTGTGTGTGTGTGTGTGTGTGTGTGTGTGTGTGTGTGTGTGTGTGTGCAAACGCTTGTTTGTTACCATGTTTTGTGTGTATTAGATTGAGAGGGAGAGAACATGGGGGATGCAGGCGACAGTGGGAGAGTTTTTTGGATGATGGTTGGGGTTTACATCTTTGGAGCTAGTGCACTAAAGCCTTACTGTATTTCCACCAGAGATTCCCGGCAGTGGCTGTGTCACACAAACACGCACAAACAAACAGATAAATCTGCACATTCATTCGTTAATATATATATTTACCATAATTACCCTAAATTCTTGTTTTGTACCTGAATACTTTAGAAAAGTGGACTGCTTTGCCCTGAGGGAGAGACGGACAGACAGAAAGATCACCATAGAGTTCTGAACAAAACCTTTGTATCTGTCTAGGTACAGCTTATGCAGTGCCACTGTTTTCTACACCCATCACCAGATGGCATCTCCACTGGCAGCACTCCTTTTTCAGACCTTCAGTTTCTGAGTTTTTGGATATCCTATATACGGTGATCCAGTAAGGAACAAACAACACAAAGGAAAAACGTGCCAAAAAATGACTATATTTGTGTTTGCTTTAGGACTATCTTATTTACAGCATTCTTGTGCTGTTAGACTCAATAATATGGTGCCATCTCCTGGAAATCTTGAGAACTACAGACATTTGTTTGAACCTTCCGTATTTCCTGCAGGTGGAAATACAGTCACTGTTATTATTTTGTAAAGAAGCAGGATATTGTTTATATACAAACATAGTATGTGTGTGTGTATGTACACACACATATATATATAATGTGTGTACACATACGCACATATTAAAAAAAAAAGCCTGTGTATATCTACATTTCTATTTGCATTTTGAGACAAAGTATCACAATTGCTTGATTTTACTGTGGTAGTTATTTTCCAGCTTGGTTTACGGTTCCCATGTAAACACAATCACACTGAAGTGGACCTGTACAGTCTGGCCTGGTAGTAGGGAATACCTGGTTGGATGCTTGTGTAAGTTTACCAAGAAAAAATGAAAAATGCAATGGATTTACACAACATTAGGTCAATTAAGTTCCTTCAAGGGTTATCTTTGTCTTATTTTGTAATCAACAAAGCACAATCTTAATAGAGTGGGGTTGCAGTGTAACCTTTTCAAAAAACCCACTGGGGTCCGGCTACTCGCTGGAACCTGTGATCGTATCATCAAAGTTTTTTTCATTGTTGGTTTTCTCCTTGTTTGCACTGTGAAGTTTAGACTGGTGGAGGTATCTCTGCAACGCCTCAGCCTCGTCTAACAGGTGAACAAGCCCTTCCCTCAGCACCCGATGGCCAGGTGACTCCAGGGCGCTCATAGCATTAGATGTCCCGCTCCGTTTCAGTATGTGAAAGCACTGGTCAAAATAAAAGCTAACCAGATGCTACCTAGTATTCCTCACGCAAACAGGGCGAGGGTGATAGTTACGGTTGAGGCAAGATCTGAGATGTTGCCCAGGATATCTCCACCACAGAGATATATGTTTGTTATATTATGTAATAAATTTATTATTAAAACATAAACTGCATCAAAGTATTGTTCCTGGTAATTCACAGGGCATAAACCGATAATCCAGTGGTTATTTTGAGGCCATGTCACATAAAATGCTACTATACACATATGCATATACATGCATATACATGTATAAACATCCATCCATCCATCCATTTTCAAACCGCTTATCCTGCACTCAGGGTCGCGGGGGGGCTGGAGTCCATCCCAGCCAACTTCGGGCGATAGACAGGGTACACCCTGGATTGGTCGCCAGCCAATCGCAGGGCCACACAGAGACACACAACCATTCACACTCACATTCACACAACTACGGGCAATTTAAAGTCCCCAATTAACCTGATCCCCAGAGCATGTCTTTGGACTGTGGGAGGAAGCCGGAGAACCCGGAGAGAACCCACGCAGACACGGGGAGAACATGCAGACTCCACACAGAAAGGCCACTGGGCGGAATCGAACCCAGGACCTTCTTGCTGTGAGGCGACAGTGCTAACCACCGCGCCACCGTGCCGCCCCATGTATAAACAGATTGACTTAAAGTTCAAATTGAACATCACCTTCAGCCATAAAACTGGTTTAATATAACTTAACATGCGACATTCTTCCAAAATGAAGGAACATACACACGGCTTTCTAAAAAGCATCATGTAGGACACGACTGGCTGAGCATTTCACAAGGCTAAAACATTACAGCGGAGGTCTACCCCCGTATGTATGCTATAATACGCTGAAGTTGACTATTTACTGCTCCTGTGCCTACTTCTGCACACAGCAAGTCAGAAAGAGACATTTGATAACAATTTGGTTACATGGTACATTATCTTTTCATTTAAAAGGTTGCTGACAAATAGACAATTCTAAAATGAATACAACAAACGTAGCCACTAGTCCCGCTGGCATTGCACACAACTAACAAACATCGAGAACAGCAGCAAACACGGTTTATAATGACACAATCTCTTTGATCTGCTTGAGTTAGTCTTCAATGCTTCACATTCTTATCACAAAATAAAACACATTCAGCCTCATGGTAGGATTTTCTACTATAGCTGATATTGCAAGTATGAATGACATCTCTAAAATAGTATAGAAACTTGGTAAACAACACAATTCCTTTATTCCACCAGGCTCATTTCTCTGAGTCATTGGACAGAAGGAGGGCAGTTACTTAAAACCTGACTAAAAGTCTTCTGACCTCCCGTGGTAGCTGCAAACCAATGGTATAAAAGCCAATCCCCAACAGCCCATCGGGACCAACAATGTGCCTGTGGAGAATCAACCCCATGAGGAGACGACGACGACAGCCGGAGGGTTTGAAAAGGTGTGTAAACATCCGTCAGACCGCCTCGGGGCGCTCGGCCTGCAATCTGTCCTCATCTGCTTCAGGATCATCTTCTTTCTTCTCCAAGTCAAAGTTCTATTACATAAGTCCAACAAATAACATTAATACAAACATGTTTCAGACAAATACTTACACGACACAAAAAATAAGCGCATGCAGTTTCCACATGAAAAATGTAAATGAATTACAGTTCATGAATAGTTTTTTTTTTATTAAGAAAGCTTAAAAGTACGTCAGTGATAAAAGTGTGTTTGGGTATTCAGAGAGGTTTACCTCCAATTCTTGCATTACTTCATCCATGAAATCGCTGGGGTTTTGCTTGTAGTCCACTGCTCTCTTGATCATCTCTCTGAACATCTGTTGGGACGGTTACAGTCAGTTTTTTATTAATTATAAGGAGAGTTTATATGATTCTTTGGTGTACAAATGGGGCAAAAGCAGTTGCAATCTCATACAGGAAGTCCAGTCAACTGTAGAACTACTAATGAATTTGAAATGCTTGAGGATTAATACCATTAATACTGCAGGAAAATAAAGTCCACACCTTAACAACATTAGTCCCATCAGCCGCTGACACAAAGTAAAATGGGATTCCTTGCTTCTTCCCAAAGTTAAAGCTTCTCTGTGTGACCTTCATATCAGCTGCAATCATGAAAAACAAAATGTGTTCAGGTCTAAAATTCTACTGTAAATGTAGTTGGTCAGATAATTTAAATCAAAAACACGGAACAATGTTTACAACAAAATGCATTAAAAAAAGTTACATATCCTGAAGCAATATTAACATTTCATTTAATCAAAAGAGACAATCAAAGACAACTTGTTCAGTGTCGCAGCCAAACTCACCGTCAATTTTGTTAGCAACCACGCAACAGGGAATCTCCGGTCTGAACTCCCTTAGCTCCGTATACCAGCAGGCCAGATTCTTATACGTTACCTTCCTTTGAACATCAAAAACCTAGCAGAAGGTTGAAAGGCTTACTAGTGGGTTTAGCTTTATTTAGTGACAGTGTGGTACCTCCCCAGTTCAACCAGTGCGCTCCAGCAGTCATCTATCAAGTCCTTGAAAACATCTCCGTGAGAGACTCGCCATCTGCATCTTAAAACCACAAATCATGTTTTGTAAACCCTTCAAGGCCAGATGAGCGTGTACTAAACCTCCTCAGGTTTAGAATTCACTTGAGAGGTGGAACGTAACAAGAATGTATCACAATCTGAACAGTTGTTCAAAAAAGTGTATTCCATACTTTTCTAAATCAAATTTAGTTTCCTTCTACCTCCTGCGAGGTCGTGATGCGGCGCAGGAATTGTCAGGCTAGATGATTACTGAAACGGACCTTGAATCCAAGCGTGTGTTTTACCATGATGCACGCGTGTGCTTTGTGGTAGTAAGAGGGATGCATGCTCCGAAATCTCTCCTGACCAGCCGTGTCCCAGAAATCTGTGAATTAGAAACAAAAAACACCCCTGTTGATACAATAAAATTCATATCCCCCGCGTTCGCAGAGAGAAGAACCAAAGAAATGCAAAATACACACCGACTTCTACGGTCTTGTTTCCTACAGTGGCTTTGTGTTTGTGGAGGGTCAACGCGTAGGTTGACATTTGCTGGGGACGACTGCAGAAAGGGTTAGGGATCATAACCTCCTTGTGCTGTTAGAGGCACAACATCTCAAACAGCGGCCTTGTGTGCCGACAGTGGCTGTGATTAACTTGGCAGGAGGTTAAAACAGAAAAATGTCCTTTATTGAATTCGTCAAATGGATACTATTCGTTCATGAGAAACCTCTCCATCAGCCTACGAGAGAGAGAGAGAGAGAGACACACACACAATAACCAGGAGAAGACAACCTATTAAATGAACAGGGGAGGTTACTAATATTACAAATACAGAACAGCTAATACTCACTTAGATTTACCAACTGCGCTGTCTCCCAGACAGATGATCTTCACCTGTTCGTCCGAATCGTATTTCCTTTGGTCCAGTTCAGGGATGCTGCCAATGTCGTCCGCCATTTTTACGTTATTCTCTTTTTAAACTAGTTTTCCCTTTGCCTGGGGCGATAATGAAAGTCAACACTCGGCTAAGGGAAATGACGAGTACGGTCACCTGGAGATATTGATCCAAGATAAAGAGCGCTAGCATCCCTTTGACTACGGAAATGTGCGCAAGCTAACGTTAGCTTTCCATCGGTTAGCTGAGGTTAACATCGTGTGGCTCGGTTCGAGATCGCCAATTTCACCGGCTCGTCTGTCCTCAACACATCGACAACACTGGTGCTGTATGGATCTCAGAATGGCACAGATGAGGCAATTGATTATTTTACTTTTTAAAGTCTCTGACGTGAATGGTTACGGTTACCGTTCTTCACCTCCAGCGGCTGCTAATTACCAATCGGCTAACGTCGCAAGCTGTAGTAGCATTAACACTTACACGATGTTGTTTAACAAAAGCTACTTATCCACACGCCGGAGTCTGTTTAATCTCGAGTCACGTTTGTCTATCGCAAGCAGAGCGCTGTAGATCCTCTTCAAGACAACACCGATATTAAAAGCCTGCCCGCTTCATAAAGCGTTTGCGTGTTTTCGTTTCTATGCAACCGGGACGCCCAATGGACCCCTGCGTCATGCTGTCCTCACAGGCGCCTGTCAAGAATGCTTTCACAACGCTCACCCACCCGCCGAGGATTTCACCGCTCTATAACAAGAGCTAATTCATCCGGACTTCCCAGCTTGTCTTGCCGCGGCGTGAATTACCGTAATTATTGTATGTTCAGTCGTCAAGTCTTAAATGTTAAATGTAGAGCTAAATGTAGACTCTACATTTAACATTTAGATTTAGATTTAACATTTAGATATAACATTTAACATTTACATTTAGATTTAACATTTAGATATAACATTTAACATTTACATTTAGATTTAACATTTACATTTAACATTTACATTTAGATTTAGATTTAACATTTATATTACTTAACAACTTTGTTACTGCCAAACATTATCCTTGGAAAAGTTATTGCATGAATGTACATGAATTTCTCTCTAAATGTTTGAAAAAGTGACATGTGAATATTGTTGTGCTTTTTTGTTCAGATGATAATGCTAAATGTGGAAAAACTGCGCAGGATTTTGGAACGTGCAACATTTTACAAGCGGCGCCCGGCGGTAAAATAATGAATGGGTTTTACCTGATAGCGTGATGGTACAGTCATTTACACACTGAGTTAGACATGAAACAAAATGTATTAGCCCACAGTAAACGTTGCCTGAGCGGTCTTGTGGTTGTGGCATGGAGACAATTTTCCAAATAGCACACACTACTGTGCTGTTTTGTTGCCAAAATACAAGTTCTGTGAAAGAAAGTGTGCAAAAACAACACAAACACAATTGTTTTTGTGTAAAAGTGTTTATTCAACATCTAGTGTGTACTCTCTTGTATATGTTTTGTAAAGGGAAGAAATAATTGGACCCTATCAGTGAGATTTGGGCACTGGGTTTTCAGAAGCCAAATCCAGCCACGGCCTAAACTAAATACTAAAGCCTAATGTGCCTTCCTATCATAGCAGACATTCAACCAGTGCTTCTGTGCTTACTAATAACACTAACCATGGCTGCCTTCTCTTCAAGCGTCCCAGCAAGCTATAAAAATGTGACAGTGAGCATGCACAATTCCAGGACCTTTAGTTTGAAGAAGCTGAACATGTAATTAAAAATAAATAAAAAAACTGAATCTGCCCACATTCAGGTGCAAAAGAAGAAATACTTTTTGGATAAAATGTCTTAAAGATATATACTCTTCAAAGGGCAGAATTAGTGCTGCAGGCCCTCCTGAGGTAGGTGGAGTTGTGGAAGGTTTCTCTCAAATTCGCCTTCAGGACCTTCATCAAAGCTGCAATGCTTCCCACCTCCTCCTGGGGGTGCCGTTGGTTAGAAGAAAAGGAGATAAAAAATGCACATTCATATAAAATCATTATTTATAATGGAGCTAAACACATTCACACACGTACACAAACACACACCTACCTTAATTCCACATTATTCTTACCCTTGTAAGTGCTCGCGCCAGTCGTTGCAGCACCGCGTCCTCTCTGTGTGGACATAAGCTGGTCACTGTGCTCACACAGCTCAGTAGACAGTAGATAGTGTGTCTCTGTGGCTGTAATGTTGACAATAACTTGTTTTTAATTTTTGAAAAATAGGTTTAAAAATATATAGGTCAAATGAATATTCCTTACATACCTTATTGAGCACACTGAGAGACTTCCTGATGTTTGCTCCACAGCTCAACCGTGTTACATCTTCTGGACTCAGAACAGGTTCCTGGATGAGGGTTAGGGGTGCAGAGGAATCAGAGACAGGACAAAGAGAAACATGTTAGCGAGAGTGAGGGAAGCACCATCTATTTGAAAAAACTCAGCACTAACCCTCAACTTTTCCAGCCACGTCCATAACAAACAACTGAGAACCTGAGGATCTGACTCGGTGACGAGCAGAGCCCAGCCACAGTCGCTGCTGTTCAGTTCCTCCTGTTTTAATGAGGTGGACAGCATTAAGTTTGTTGCTTCAGAGGTCAAAATCAAAATGTGAAATGTTCTAGTGTTCGAGTTTCGAGTGTTCGAGTTTTTCACCTGCAGCAGATCCGATCTTTGCAGTATGGTTTCTCCACGAAGACCGTGGTCTGCCATCGCCTTTGCAACAGCACGGGCGACAGAGGTTGAGCCAGGATAATGTGGATTTCGGCAAAACTTTGTATCACATGGAGGGAAAATGTTTTAAAGCATTCATATCAAAGCTTCATTCGATTCTTTATTAAGAATAACACCTACCTCACTGTTAGAGCTGTACTTGGGAAGTGGCATGTTCACTTGGTGTCTAGACCTCTTAGCACAGTTGTTCTTTGTCATAAAAGATCTTGGAATTTTGAGTGTATGAGAGGCCTTATTGCTGGTCTGATGGCCTGGTGAAAGTGTTGCAAGCAATGGACTAACAGGTCTCATATCAAGGCGTATCAGATTCTGTACAGACCACTGTCTCTCATTCACAAGTTCCGGGGTGCAGTATGGACTCAACTCCAGATCCTTCAGGACAAAATGCAACAAAGAGAGAAAAGCCTCAGTGACCAGTTGGATATTACATCAGACATTGTCAGATGTCTTATCCCAATTTAAACGTAATCATAGACAAATAATATGAAATTGGACCTCAATTGCTGCGATCCTGCTGAGGTCAGTTTCGCTGTAGCTGCGTCTGTCCCAACAGCACCTCTCTCTTCCTCTCCAAGAATCCCATTGGCTCGTCCCAGGAGGACACCGACCCCGAGCTCACCCACGCTCCCCTGTGACCCTCCCTCAGTAAGGGCAAGTACTGTTTGCAGACCAGTGTCTCCCTAACAGTCCTGTTCAAGGTCCTCAGTACTGACCTCTTCTCCAGCTCAGCCTGGATCTCTGGAGGAGCAGGGAGACCCAGGGCTAAGCAGGACAGATGCACACACAGGAGGTACACCACCTACTGGGAGCACAGAAACCAGGAGGTTAACTGTTCTCCGGTGCGACCAGGTACTGTACGTCCACAACAAAGGATTTGTGTGTCAAATGGTTCGGACCTTGGGTGTGTGTCTGAGGGTGCGTGCCTCCTGGCCATGCAGCATTATTGCCTGCCGGTTGAGGTAGTGCTGCAGGGTGAACGGGGCTCCGTGCCGCATGCTGAGGTCTGGGTACTGGACCAGCTGCGTGCCAAGTAGGCGGGCAAAGTCAGACACCTGGCTGAGCTGCGCCCGGGTTTGGATAGAGCGAGGCCTTTTAATCCTCACGTAGTGGACGGCCTCACTCGGGCTGATGCGCAGGGTGTAAATCAGGTAACAGGCTATCAGGACACCTGTTTATCGGCAAGAACGCACTTTGTGTACATTAGTGCATCACATGGGCGCTGACACACAGTGTTTATATGAACAGCAGATACACTATTTGTATTCCTACCTGTCCTGCCCAGGCCTGCATGGCAGTGTACAGCCACCCTTCCTTCCCTCACTGCAAAGGCCAACACCTTCACCCCATCAATCATACTGACGAGGGAGGACACACCAAAATCTTGCATCCCAAAGTTGTAGAAGTAAACTGCAAATGTACCAATATGTGAACGTGTGAGTACATACAGGATGGTAATGGACATTCAAAGGGACAACTATGTTTGTAAACTATGTGATCATTTTGAAATACATTCCAGTATCAAGATCTTACTGTCGTTGTCCATGAAGATCTGTGGAGAGTAGGTGAAGCCACTGCCAGGGTCTAGAGGAGGTCCACAGTGTGCATGCTCTCCAGGGAGCTGCATGTTGATGATTGATCGGATGTTCAACCTGGGAACGAGTGATAGATTATGAAGACAATAGTCAACACTAGCGACTTATAGGTCTCCAATAAAAAGGGTGTAATTGACAATCAATGTCAGATGTCTTATCGCCATTTAAATTGTAAAAAAAAAAAAAAAAAAACGTTTCTTATCTAGATCCATTTGCCTACTACTAATTACCTGTATATGCACACGGGTTTGTACAATGCTAATGTTAACGCCTTTTAGGCTCCTAATTCCTACAATTCCAGCATGCATATCCACCAGCTTCACAGGCACACGGGAGAACGACACAAACATTGCAGCAGTAATACTGATCACCTTTGAAATTGTTCAATGATGTTGTACTTCTCAATTAGATGACTGGCTGGTCGGGCCATGGCAATAATGTCATCCGTCACCCTGCAATAGGAAGAAGTTCCTAATTAGAATTAGTCCTTACAATTTTGGATGGTGGGACACAACAAAAAGCTTCAGTTTCACCAGGAGGAGAAAAGGCCTCGGACAGCCTGTTGATTTAATTTCCAACACTCTGGTCCTTCATAGCGGCAGTCTGCTCCTCCACAGGCCAGCAGACAGAGGAGCTTGGGTGGGATAGCCTTCACAAAGTTCTCCCTGGCCTGGGAGTAGGAAGGCTGTGGCACTGGTATCAGGGCCGGCATCATCCTGGAACCGAAGGAAAACCCCGAGATCCGATTCAGCTATCACACGTTAGATGTGAAGGACTACGACCAAACAGAACGGGGGCTAAAACAAATAACGTTTGCTGTAGGTGTTGACAGGATACAAAAAGAAAATAGCAACATGTGTTCCAGGTTGTCCCTGCAGTGTCCTGTCGTACACCTACTCGCAATATTTGAATAATTTCTGTCATGAGAAAGGTTTTCCTGTGCTGATGTGCGGGTTTGGGGACAGACGTTGCCGCATGTGTACAGACTGTAAAGTCCTCTGAGGCTTATTTGTAATTTGCAATATTGTGCTATAAAAAAATAATTGAATTGAAATAATACTACAAATAAAATGAACTCAATAAAATTACAAAAACTTACCCTTTTGATTGTGTTCGACAATGAAGCTGTTAATCCCATTTAATGCATTGCCTGGGTTTACGAGTACATACATGTGCTCCCCTATGCTGACCCTGACTGCTAGTTGCAGATATATCACACACAATGCGTTGCCCCAGCTCCACTAAGCCTGATTAGCTGTCATAAATACATTAGGAGAGACATTCCCACATTATGGCAAGCCAATTATATAATGCTTAGGCCTCCACCTGTAAACAACGTATGCAGGGTTTAACTACCAGGCACCAGCTAATGCATCCCACGTGATTTCACTTGGATTGTGATGCATAGAGTAAGGTTGGTCCCACCGCTGTCCAGCGCTCTCTACTTTCACCACTTACCACATTTTTGGATTGATTTGGACGTTTTGTGGACGTATGGAATAATAACGTAAATACACAAATTAATAATTAGTAAATCAGATGCCTTTATTTCACGGAACAAGCAGGGGTCACAGAAATGCCTCTCATTCATACCATATTGCTTGTAGTGTGGTGTACTTTTACTGTCCAAAATTGTGGAAAGAAACTCAACACTGATTGTACGTAGATCTTTCTGATTATCTGCATGGGCCCTGCTTTCAATTTTGAACACTGAGATTTGTTTTCATCGAATCTCGAGTTACCTACCGCAACTGACAGTTATGTTTATTATCCACTTTCACTTTAATTTACAAGCACACAAAAACCAACATATTCTCACAACCATTTACTGATCTTAGCATGTTTGACATAAGATAACATGTTGGCATGTTCTGTGCAATTTATTTCTCAAGTGCTTTTACACGGATCAGGCACAGCTCTGATAACAGTTGAGCTTTTATAATTTGTGATCATGATACAAGACATCAAGTGACTTGATTTGATCTTCTGTGAAAAGTAATAAAGAATATTTTAGAATGTTCTCATTAATAACTGGAGACCAAAATGTAAATTGGTTTTAACAGTCTTTATTAAGAGCTTTTTTGTAAAATGTTTTTTGGGAATCATTTTAAGAGTGACAGCTCCGGCATCTGCAAGCATAGGTTGGAATGTACACACAAAAAGAAATAGGGCAAGTATGTTTTTGTTTACAGTATTTGCCTTCAGACACTACAACAAACCGGAACAAACAAAAACGTGCTGCTTTATTGTGTCGGCCATGTGTCCACACAAAAGAGTGAAAAAGATTTTGTTAAGAGTGTCAGCAGAAATAAAAATCAAATCAAATCCTGATGTATGCTTGGTGGCTGTAAAAATAAAAAGGTTAGACGTAAATGGTATGAAATCCTAGTTGATAGAAGCAATCTACATTTACACTAGTGCGGCTCTGCTGCATGTCAGCATACACTGCAGAAGAAAATGTGTTTTGTCATAATATTCAGTCACTTAAGCACTAAAGTGCCTAAGAATGAGATGCAAAAAGGATTAGTCAGATTTGTGTTAAACGGGACCAGAAGGCACACAGATGGATTCCTCATCCATCTCACTCTACGGGCCACAGGCCTTTAAAGGACGTGAGTACGTACGAGATATAGCGGTGAAGAGCAAAGGATCAGTTCTGTGCAGGAGTCAAATAAAGAGGAGTAAAGAGATGAAAAGCCGCAGGGAGCCGACAGGTCGCCCCTCACCAAAGCTATAGTTGTATTATCAGATCCGCCAGCCCCGAGCTCAATGGCCAACAAAGTCATTCAAATTATACAAGTGGTCAATTACTGCAAATTCTGCCAAGACAGAAGCAGAGGTAACACGTGGAAAAAACACTTCCTTCACTCCAGCTATTGTTTCCATTCAATTTCCCTTTACGGCAATTCGCTCACCACGCAACTGAATGCATATTTAGAAAATTGTTGCCATGTAAGAGTTAGGGAACAAAAAAAAAGAGAAAACAAAAAACAGGACTATAACAAGATAATAAGGTAATATTATTGATAAGAAAAAAAGATGTGGTATTAAAATTTCCCAAAGACAATCATACATTGTCCACCAGCCTAGTCCTTTTGGTCAACATTGGTTCCGGAGGAGCAAATGTTTCTGGATTGAATGTCTGTGCCTTCTCTGCGGTTCTGTGGAGTTGAGCCTCATCTCTCAGTTAGGCTGAGCCTTCTTTAGTTCTTGGTTAACTCTTTGGATAGCCATTCGAGTCCCTCATACAGCCCAGCACCCTGGGTGGCACAGGTAGACTGAATTTGCCACTGTGGGGTAAGAGATGACATGGATTAGAATAGAGAAAGATACGAATGGGACTCTTATCACGAATCTTACTGCGGGCGTTCAGTCACATTGCTTACATTTTTGTGGCGGAGGGTCTGCAGGCCAAGTTTGTCTGTGAGTTCGTTCACTGTTAAGGCATTGGGAAGGTCCTGTTTGTTGGCAAACACCAGCAACACGGCATCTTTCAACTCATCCTCATTCAGCTGGAGGGACAGAAACAGATTTCAACATCAGCTCAAAGACTTCAGGAACCGATTGAAGAATGATCTACACTGAGAAATATCTCTTTCAAAATGTACCGATACGGTACAGTGTACCAATGCAAACCTTAGCTGCAGATGATGACATTTTTTGAATGTAGGACGCATTTTGCTTTGCTTGTGTAATTGGTGCTAGCTGGTTAACCTAGCATGCATGAAAAACCAAAATAATGCATTCCATCCTAAGATGCCCTTTATTTCAAATGTTCCCCATAAGTAGAATAAGGCAAATGTATGATATATATATATATATATATATAAAATAATGTATTGTTATTTTTAAAGAACAGAAAAGGGCACATTGGACATATAATAATAATATATATATTTTTTACCTTCACTTTTGCAGCTGGAGATTTAAGAAGCAGTGAAAGTCATTTTTAAACTAAATAGTTGTCTCTACTTTGATGCTTATTCCTCACTGGCCTTCAGAACTTCATGGTCAAATCAAAAAAATGAGGGCAACATATGAAAAATTGAAATACGCACTACATTGTTATATAAAGTGTGAAAGTGATGATGTGGTATTTTGCTTAGTGTATACCGAATTCTTTTCATTGACAATATTTTGGTGACTCATTGAGGAGTTAACCACACCTATGTGTCTAATGGCTTCAAAAGCCATGGGCTATTGATGCAACACACACAAACAGATCCTACAAATTTGGGATTCACAAAGGGCTGGACCAAATATTTTTTCCATTAAAAGGGAAAAACAAGCCAAAATAAAAACAACGCAACAAGAATCTCTCAATTTTCATCACCTTTCCACCTCGTCATCCCAATCTCCCAATGTTTAATCTAAAAAAACAAAATAGCTGACATAATTAACAGAAAGGGCATTTTGACTAGTACTCAAATTTGATTAAGATAAACTGACTTCATTGACTAAACTACAAAGGATAAAAATGACTCAACTAGACTAAAACTAATAAATGGGTTGTTTAAAAAAAAAAAGAAAAAACTTCCGTGCTGAAATACCTAACTTACCATCTTCGTGAGCTCCTCTGCAGATTCTGCCACTCTTTCTCTGTCATTACTGTCCACCACGAAGATGAGGCCCTAGATTAGACCACAAAAAGTTCAATAGATTAATTAAGATTAAGATTAATTTCCCTTTTCTTAACCTTTTCTCAGGGTTGTCCCGTGCTACCGGGGCAGTCACATCCATACCTGTGTGTTCTGGAAGTAATGTCTCCAGAGGGGTCGGATCTTGTCCTGGCCACCCACATCCCACACAGTGAAGCTGATGTTTTTATATTCTACTGTCTCCACATTGAAACCTTTATGGGAAAAGAGAAGCAACAGGTTATTGCACCCAAAGTTCAATCAGTAAACATATTTTAATTTAAAAAAAAAAGGATAAATGAAATGAACTTAAGAACTTTCAGTGTGTCTCTTACCAATGGTTGGAATGGTGGTCACAATTTCACCAAGCTTCAATTTGTACAAGATAGTTGTTTTTCCGGCAGCATCGAGCCCAACTGCGGGAGAAAAGTGTCAACATTTGATCAACCCGTACAGCGAAAAACAGAAATAGGTTTAATCGCGGCGCTCCCTAAGGATCCAGATACAGCACATAAAATGAGCACACAATGATACACGATGACACCCGTAAAACGTCATAACGAGTTGGTCAACGTTGGAGTTACCCAATAAAGGGTTATAGAAGTAGGGAAGCGAAAACCCGTGAAAAGTTACCGTCTAACAAATTAGACTCTCATAACTAATATGAGATTTCTCTATACAACGTTAGCTGATTACCAATGAACAACCATTATAACAAGTAAAGTGGTGGGATACTGGAAGTGAGGAAAGACACACTTGGAAATTTCGGCCTAACAGTCTTTTATTAAAACGCTATTACATTATATAAAAACACATACATTTATTTTAATTATATTTAAGCCATTTTCCTGGGAAGAAATTGTCCTCTGCTGATCCGGCTGCCAAACTTCTTTCTAAGCAACCGAAATGGGGCTAACGTGATATGCTAGCATAGTGCTGGTTGCGAACGCTAACCTTATACTTTATAACGTTATACATACAACTGCAATTAATCATATAGTCATTGATTTTTCTTTCATTCCGCGTATGCCTCAATGTTGTACTTTGCAAGTGTGCAACCGCACTGCCAATGAAAGCACATCAAGAACTAATTTAGCTAACGCTAGCCGGCTATCTAGCTAGCTAGCAGCTACCGTTACTCACCGAGCTTAGCTACAGTTAAAGCCAAAAACCCTGTCGCCAACACAGGCTTCACTCACCCATCAAAATCCTCATTTGTTTTTTGCCAAACATCCGTTCAAAGATCGACGAGATTGTTAGCCCCATATTCGCTCGACGATGTCTGAATATATTGTAAGAAAGAAGGACTGATATTAACCTCAGCAAAACTGACGTGTATTAGCTTTACGCTGATCCGGTTATAGGGCTCTGCCGAGTGCCACGTCCGGGCCAACGTGGAATCCACGACGTCATCAGTTTGAATCAACTTTATCAACACACACCTAAATCTGTAAACATCAACTTTTTTTATGTGCATCGTGTAGTTTTTTACCAACAGATCCAATATGTGTTTGTATATAATATACACGTCATTACTGAGCAGTCCGTCGTTAACACAGAAGAAATTACTCAGAATTTCGTTCAGGCAAAATAATAGTTTTCTGTAAAAGTGCAGTGCTGTTTCATGCCGCTAGATGCCTCTGTATCACAAACCTATATCTCTGTTTCTTGAGCTCTATGTTGTTAATACAAAACATTACAGATGAATTGTCATGACAGTTACACACGTTAGTCACAGCAGCTTATCAAATAAGGTTTATATACTAACTGCATCCATCATTTTGGCAGGAAATGGAAGCTTCCAACAACACGGGTCAAAGTAGTACGAGGGATATTTGTTTTATTGTTTAAATATCTTGACTAGTGGTAAGAGAAGAAACATTCCCATTCCACCTCGGGACTTCTTTTTAAAGGCACAAGCTTAAAGCAGGTGGAGTCAAACAGCGACATGTGACGAGGCGTGGAGTATTATAGAGGAAGAAGCAATCATATTGTCACAAAGGTTGGTTATGGAGACGGGTTATTTAGCGGTGCCCAAGAACAGTACAGAGGAATTTGAATAGATTTTTTTTTTAATTCACCATGGAGCTTAATGGTATACTGAGTGGATATCAGGTAGGAACTTACACTTTATAGCCTATTTTTCAGCTTTCTTGAATGAATTGATACATGTCTGATAACAATGTTTGAAATCTGTTTTTTTTATTCAGATTGATGTTCTTTCCACTGAGTACTTAGTGTTACTTACTCCCAGGTAAAATGCTTCCTCAAATGTTTTTTCTATTTCATGCTTGCTTCCTTACCAGCAACAAATGTTGAATATTTACGTTAAAATGAGTACAGCAAGGTTATCAGCAGAATACCGGTCTTATTATTTCAGTTTTCTGATACAAGGTTTGCTATAAGTAAGTGTAATAAGTATCGAGCACGTCACAGGATGTTTGTAGCTGCTGAGAGTTTCTTTCAGTGAACTAATTCACTCTGCTGCTGCGTACTGCCATCTTTACGAGTGCCTCGTTGTCTTACTTTTGCTTGTGATAAAGAATAGCTGGTGCACCACTAAATCCGGGGGGGGAAAAAAATATTTAATTGATTTCTGGAGCCAAGAGAAGCGTTATGATGTATGAATCATCCTACAGCTTTTTATGCAGGTGTCACCTGAATCAGAGAAACGTCGTCTTTCAGGCTTCGGGCCCTATCTCGTCCTCCGACACTGAATAGTTAAATCTACCCACCTTCTTTTATACTTAGTGTTGATGTGGTGTGTCTTACTGTGGCTTCAAAACCTCGTACACAGGAACTGAACGCAGGGCTGATAAAAATGAGCCCAAAGCTCTTTGCTGTTCAATAATATTCCACATATTTCTGATTAACCGCAGTGTGATTGGGAGTTTTTCTGTCCTGGTGGTTTCCGTGGTGAGATGGAGGCACTTAAAAGAGCAGGTGAGTCAGGTGGTTTGTAGTTCTGTATTTGTATTTATTTATTTACCATATGTTGTGTGGTTGATCAGTAGACTACATTCTATAGCTGTAAAGCTAAAGTTTGCTGATGTTTTGCTACAGATTTGAATTTGAATAGACTTTAATTATTTGTTTGCAGGTGCACCTCCTGGTGCAGCTCTCTCTGGCAGACCTCCTGGCTGCTCTGATCCTCATGTCCACCAGTGTCATGAATAAAGTTAGCATCGACAACAGTGTAGCCGTCTGCCAATACAGCCTGCCGCTGTCACTGGTGAGAAACAGTTACTTTCACCTTGTCAGTCTTCTTACCCTGAATCATTTACGTGGTGGTTTCCTGGAGGAGGTTCATGTTTGAGGGTTAATGTATTACAACCAGACAGGGACATCAAGAGATTTAGGTACTTTACAGCTGAAATATCTGTCTTTAGAGGTTAGATCACTATTACGTGTTGAATCGAATCCCCTGAGTTAGTGATGACTGTAACTGGAACCGAGCAGTAAAATATGTCAAAAGCATCTGTTCATTATATCACATCCATAAAAGAAAAGGGGTCGGCAGTTATGCTGCTTCCACTTTTTATTTCACAGTGCAAAGAGTTAAGGGCAAAGAAGATTTGCTTATACATTCAATTTTCTTTTTACAAAAGAATAGATTGTCGGAAGACAAACACTGGGGCTTTCATTCAAAAGGTAGATATGGAAAATATTTAGCCTTTCGAAGTCCAATATTTATTCAAAGCAAAATGTCAGGTTACATTTCTGGAAATGATGCAACCCCAAGCCTGAGAGAAATAATTGTATTGGTTGCGCTGATATTCTCAAAAACCTAATTTGGCCTTAAACCCCAATTTAACCTCTTCAAAAAAAACGAATGGAGTATAAATCATAGCTAATGACATTTAGGGTCACATTTTGCTTCAGTGTTTATTGTGCTGCAATGATTCGTTTTACTTAAGTTTTGCATATTTCTGTGTCCGTCCGTTCCGTTCCAGACATTTTACTTCATTTCATTTCTGCTGGTGGCGGTCTACGCATGGAAGTCGAGGAACCCAATCCAAGGATGGAGAGCCAGACCCACAGAGGATGAGGGGGTGCAAGTGAGGCTTCCACTGTGTTTGTAGGTTATGATTGTACAAAAAGAGTTAGAACCGATTCAATAACCGATCTGTTCACTTTACAGATTCAATGTAGAAGGAAAATAGTGGCTCTACCTCTATATGGCATTGTTTGGTGAGTTAATATTCTATAAGTTAAATTACAGTAGCCGCATTTTTGGAGGCCATCTTGTTACACACAATTTATATTTGCATCTCTGTTTTTCCAACACAACAGGTTGATCCCCATCGTAATGTACTTAGCATATGTGCTCACTCCCTTCATAAAATACACCTCACTGTTTCCGGTCAGCGGCAGTTCAGCGATCGTTCGTAATGATACAAAATACTGCACCAGGTGAGCATTTGAACCTACTCTTAAATCACCAGTTTCAAATATGCATCAGAGGAGAAGCAGGTGTAATCCAATTGATTTTTTAAAGTTGTATCTGTTTCTTAGTTGTATCTTGTTCCTGCATGTCTGGAGGGATTCCTGCTCTGATGATGTAAGCATTGCACACTATTGACACTTTTTTTAAAAGTGTGCTTTAATTCTGTATTTATTCACTTTAATTTGCAGTGTTTTATTTCACAACCTTTACTTATTATTTAATGTTCATATATGTGATTAGCATTTTTGTTCACATTTTTTTCTTCCAAGGAAAGAATTCATGACACGTTCATCAGAGTTTTTCTTTTCCTCGTTGTGATACCAGTGATGTTGTCTTGCTCTGTAAGTAATATGCAATAATTTGTTTTCACCTTTAATTTTACAGCGCTATCTACAGCCTTGAATGAAATATTTACATTGGTGTAAGCCGGCTGTTGATGATTGTTTTTCTTGTTTTAGGTCATTTACTATAAGGTTGGGAAATGGTATGAAAGAAATGAGCAGGAAGGGCTATTTCCTGTGGAGGGAGATGGACGTTCAAGAAGGAGAATCAAAGGAGTTTTTTCCACAGCAAGAAATATGGTGCTAGTCATCTTACTCAGCTGGGCACCAGGTACACACTCTCCCTCTCACACACACACACACATACACATGCGCACACACATGCACATTTAAATCGAATGTCGAATGTTCCTCAAATTTAAATCTTTTATCAAATGAATGCCCCACTGTCTGTTTCTTTGTGCTGTAGCTCTCTTCCTCATTCTACTATCTACCCTGATGATCTGGACAAACATTGAACAACGCAGCCTATTTGGCATTTATATGATACAGGTATGTTTCAGCAGAGTAAAAATCAAAATATTTTCTGCTGTCTGAGCTGAAGATTCTGAAGAGAGCTGAAGAGCTATTTTCTTTTTACAGGCCGCAAGTGTGTCTTTGCAAGGCTTCCTGAACAGCATGGTTTACGCTTGGAGGCGACCCAACTTCACGGAGGCCGTTTTTGGGGAGAATACACCCCTTGTGGCACAGCAGCACTTGGCCTTCTTTGATGAATCACTGAGAAGCTCATTTTGATTGCAGACCCTAAACGTTCGGAGCGACATTCTTTGTGCTGCAGAAACGACCTCCTGGCCTGAGGCAGCGTGACCCCGTGGCTGCACACTTCATGTATTTGAATGAATGTAGACTGAAACATATGATCTCATTTCTGAGCCAAGGATGAAAGGAAATGAAAAAGATGAAGGACACACAAAAGCTCTTAATGAAAACAAAAACAGATGCAGTTTTTCTCTGCGTATTCAAGCATTTTTTTTGTATGAATGGGAACAAAACGATTTCTGGAGGAATTGTAGGATTGTGTTGTATTTATATACGTGCTATTAATGTACTGTTTTGTTCGGGATTAAAAATGCTGTTAAGAATTATGAAATGATTGTGTGATGTGATTTTCCTTTTGAGAATTTTCTTTACAGGTGTTTATATTGTTTGATAATGTGCTTTTTAAACATGTGTTTTAACAGCCGACCTGGTATGCACAGTCACTCTGTGGTTCAAGAAAAGAATTTTGAAAAACCTGTTTCGCGTTGCACCATCTGCAATAACATAGTGTTCAGTCTGAGTAGCATTTATGAGTTGGAACCCTGACAAATGCTGACAAAGAAGGGACAGAACATCTGCTTTGTCACGTCTGTGTGCATCTCATAAAGATTAGTGCTTTGTTGGGTAACTGAAGTCACACATCAGGGATACATGACATACAGGATCAGACATCATACAGCTTTGTGTTATTATATCCTAAACATCATGGACATGTGGACACGGACCCTGTTAATGGTTGACAAACCTGTTGGTGTTTGATCACCTGACTCACTCATTTATCTGCTGTACTATTAAGTCAACTTGAACTTTCTTTGCTGAAGGTCACGCAGCTGCCTGCATGAGGGTGACACAACACATAACGTAAAGGATGTACTTAACAAAGTTGTGTAAGATGATACGTGTTTTTTACTTGTATTCGTTATGAATTCAGTTGAAGAACAAAGAACAAAAAACCCACGTGTGATAGGATTCAAATCGTCGTATTTCTTTGAATATGTTTTATTCTCCAGCTCGTGGAGAGGCCATCTGTCAAAGGTGTAGTAAACAGTAAACAGATCTCTGATTTAATCATTTAATAACATTTACCAGATCAGTTAATTCCGTGTCTACAGCCCAAATAAAAAATGAAACCAAAGGCTAGCCGTTAAAATGCCAAACGGTCCGGTCCTTTTGGTAGTGATGTGATAATTACCATTAAAAGGGAATTTCCAATCAGCATACTTGTGTGACGCACCTTTTAAAAGGTTGCTGCTCGACACAAACAAACCTGCCTCCTGGACGGGACATCAGTGACTGCTCAACTGCTGACGCATTCAAAGGCTTGATGATACTTTTCATGAACCAAAAAGGGTGGTGGAGTGTACGTATATATTATTTAATGCAGCTGATAAGAGATCAACAGAAACTGAAAGGTCATTCATCCATTATTTCCTTAAAATGTACCATTTACTCAGAGTTTGAACATTGATTGAAAACGTTTTTCAACAAAATCAAATTTCTTTACAGTAAATTGTTTTTCAAACAAAATACATTGGAAATAAGAATCATCATCTTCCCTTTCACAAGGATCCCAAATACAAAAGCAGCTCACTATCGGCTGTTTTAATGTTCAAATAGAGTCGGCGGTGCTCAAGTATCTTGAATTTAGTTTATAAATCCTGAAGAACGGTTCCTCTCAGTGGGAAGGAGGCAAGTGAAAAAAGAAAGGTCCAGGAATCCCCCCAAAATGTGGCTCTGTTTCATAAAGGTGTCACTTCAGTACTTTCCCTCCTTGTCTTTTCTTTTCAGAAGTCCATGGACAAGGACCTTTGCTGGGCCATTTCGTAGTTACCTCTTCGGCTTCCTGCTCCGCGCACGTACACATCATACCTTCCATCTTCCTCAACCTCTTCGTCCTCTTCCATCACTCTATCTTGACGGCCCATCGTTCTGTCCGCCGTACCCTGACGTCCTTGCGTTCGTCCCGGTTTCATACTGGGCCAGCTCTTCTTCCGCATGCTGCTGTTCAAGTCCCTGAAGGTAGGTAATGCGCTTTGCAGGTCCCCCCTGAAAGGGAGAAGCTCCAGGGACCCTCTGCCCATTTCACGTGCACCGTGGATGGCTTTGACGGAGTTAAGAGAAGCCTGAGAGCCGCAGTGGTGTTCGTGAACACAGCGTGAGCCGGATGAGGATCTCCTGAGTGCCTGCAGGGACTGGAGCTCCTCTGATAACTCCCCGAGGTCTGCAGACATGTCCTAAAAAAGATACCGTTGTTGTGTAAAAGAAAACAACCTTGTAAAGCGAACAATGTTTCGAAGTAATCAAACTAACCTTGTCTCTGAGAGTAAAGAGTTCATAACGCGGGGGGTCAAAGACCTCCTGGGAGTCCCCTCGATGGAACAGGTTATTCTTACGTACCAACACCTAACCGACACCAAATTATGATTCAACACACCGATATTTTGAGACGCGACACAGATTAATAAACATAGCATCACTCTATAGTACCTTTTTTCGTGGCTGTTTTACTTGCACCAGGATGGAGACGATGAGGAGCAGTAACACAACTCCCGTAGACACACAGATTACTGTCCCATGAGTCTTTGTGATCTGGTGAAAAACCCCTTTGTTCTTTTTCTCTATGAAGAGAAACAAAGAAACAATGAAATATGTCGCAGGGAGTACCTCAGTAAATCACGGGCTGCCATTTCCATCAGTTCGGTCCCTATATTTGGTCTCTAGGTACAATTCAGAGCCTTCACTAAATCCCAGTTTCACTGATAAATAGCCAAAGTAATAAATTAAGATGCTTAAGAGCCAATAAGTCAAAAGGCCTTAATGGTATTTTTGCTAGAAAGCCGCCAAAGATGAGATCATGATTTCTCCTGCCAAGAGGACATTGTGAAAGGATATTCTGTACAGTCCAACATTCTCCAGTATGCACTACTTTGTATCAGGGACAAAAATGAAAGACTTTTGAGCACATTTAAGAAAAAGAAGAGTGTCTATTTTAAAGCAGATTGTTAAGCAGGTATTACAGTACATATCGCCACACAACTCATTTTATAATACAGCACAGCAGATTTTGTGTTTAGGCACAACTGGAATACCTTTGCAGTTGCTTTCATCCCAGGGAAAGACACAGTTTTGTATGCCGTTGCACACCAGAGAAGTGTTGATGCACATGTTAGTGTGGCAAAAGAATGCACTTCCCAAACAGGGTGCTGAAACACAAACAAGTGCATGAGGATGTGATGCAATCAGAGCCAACATTTGCTAGTCACGTTACACTGTTGCGTTACGCTTTTCTGTTATGACACGTTGTTACATTACATTGTTACTTTATGTCACGTAGATACGTCACTTTGTTACGTCACGTTGTTACGTTACGTAGTTACGTTATATAGTTACATTACATATTTATGTTACATGTTTATGTTACAGTTACGTTTTTACGTCACAGTGTTAAATTACGTTGATACGTTACGTTGATAGGTCACCTTGAAAGGCTCCATTTTTACGTAGTTACGTTACGTTGATAGGTCACCTTGAAAGGCTTTAGAATAGAGGCTAAAATGGCATATGGCAAATTTTCCGGAGTTATCCGAAGGTGAAACTCACGGTCCTCAAAAGAAGTGAACAGCATCTTGAAGCGGCTGAGACGGCTTGTTTCATCAGCCCACATCCTCACTACTCCGACACCGGTGTCCAGCATGATGTCATTAGCTACTGTACTACAAAACTTGGCCTGCAAGAAACCACACACTATTTTCTTGTAATGTTTTGGATGTGCGGTCTCATTGAGGCCAAGGTCTGTAAAACAGTTGCAAATTGTATGACAAGGCAAAAAAGATACAAGTACAATGTACAATGCAATAAAATGTGCAACAAAATACAGATTGAGGTGCTTTTTTTCTTTTTTACAGGATTTACAGGATTTTTTTTTACAGTATGTATTACCTTCAGGTCCTCGATGGCATTACTACCATCATAAACCGCTACAAAGTTCTTCTTACATTCATTTGAGTTTTCCATTTGGTATTCCAAGAAACGCAGGTAAATCTGGAATAAGCAGTGAGGAGAGATGGAATGAGCCCTCTGATGACATCAGGACCGCACAGAGCCTTCACATCTTCTGCCGCAAACTACAAACTACTACAATCAAGCACATTTATCTCTGGTTTTTGCAGAAACAAAGCTTATTTTTTTATTAAGATAATATACAGGAATGTAAAACCAAAACAGTCCAAATGCCATACCCTGTTATTCGCAGGGGCTCGTATAGTCCAGATGCAGTCCACTGCCTGGTCTTGCTTCACTTTATATTCCTCCTCCACCTGACTGGAACGGATCAAGCCGTCAGCTCCACTCAGCTCAAACTGACAATCTGACCAACGGGCAGAGAGTAGACAAGAGGAAGGCCATTTGAGCAGATGGTGAAAGGAAGCTTCTGTTAGTTAGTTATTGGACTAGGCGGGGACGTGTAGTTGTCTACCTGGGATGGGGTTTAAGAGTCCTCCCACGTGCAGATGAAACTCAGGATCTTTTGAGGGGAAATTAGTAAAGTACAGTCATTTGGTTGGCTAATAACAGCAGAGACATTTCAAAGCATTCATTTGAGAACAATGGATGAACATTCACTAAGGACGAGGATTGTATAGTGAGAACCTCCACAGGGTTTTAATCACCTGCTGTGAAGCTGTACTGGACTTGAAAGCCGATCCCCTCCAGCTCGTCGTCGCTGAAGAAGCGGATCCACATGAAGCGTCCGCTGGATAGAACCAGTCCAGGAGTGGCCGAGCCACAGAAGCGGTTGATGAGTGGCGAGAAGCTGAAGGGGCCGTCCCGCACCTCGATGTGGTCGAAGCGACATTCGAACGAGGCTTCGATGTAGAAGGTCTGATCAAACAGCAGCTCTATCCTCTGGCGGGGAAGAGCTGAGGGAAGCAGAGTGATTTAGTGACCAGAGAAGCGTGTTTGGTGACCTATTGTAGAGATGCACAAAATGACAACACACATCCCTTGCTGGGCAAGATATTGTGAAAGCTTAATGTCTGCCAGCTTGTTTGTATTTGTAATACCACAGAGAGAAAACTTTAACTTGTGTGTTTAATCACAGTAAATCCTGAAATAATAATCCAAACACCAGTGTGACCAAGACAGATGATTACAAGTACTGGTGTTATTTTGATCTGAGGATTCCCTTTAACCTCTATCAGGGGGCTCGAACCTAATTCAACATGGAAATCATTATAAAGACTCTTTCACCAAGAACTGTTTTTTAACAGAAGGGAAAAGATCAGGCTTAGTTGTTGGTTACCTTCCAGTACGTAGAGGCACTCCTTGTTGGGAGGGTATGTTTTGGGGTAGTTTGGGGAGCTAAAGGAGCCCCCTTCTGTGTTTCGTTGCCAGTTTCCACATTGATGAGGTTGCTTCGGCCGTTGGGAAGATCTAACCCCCTTTGAGTCTGCCCCTCCATCTGTATGTACGACAGCCAAGAATTTTGTCTTACATTCAATGATGGAAACATTATCTGTGTAGTTGGTGATGAACATGTGAAGACTGAAGACTGGCCTCTTTCCGTAAATAATGACATTTAGTTTGATAAAGTAAATGCAATAGGGGGATTGTCCATCAAAAGAGTGTAGTGAATGTATCAATCCTACCTTCAGTCTTTTGTGCCAAAGCGAATCCTTCTTCAAGGAACAGGAGAGACAGCAACACTGCAAAAGAAGCGTTGGGTGAAGAGTTCAATCAAAGAATAAAACAAATAGAGAGAGCTTAGCAGGATTTGTGTGGATATGCTTTGGTGTCTTAGATGAAATCCTGAATGTATACGACAGGTCAGGCAGTTTAAGAGCTTGACAGGGACAGAATCAGAACACATTGCTTCTACAATCTGCTCGCTTAACTCTTATTTCTACACCCCCCCTCCCCAAAGGTCTCTAACGCAGAGTACGAGAGTAGGAAGGCACTGTTGGCACTCTGCTGTCGGCCTCACTGTGCAAAGATCTCTGACAGGAAATAATAACCTTTTGTCATGAAGTCATAATTTGTGCTACATTTGCTTCTATTACATAAAATATGACCTAAATCGAGCATCTAGCCCGTGGACACCAGGCCACTAGTGTCGCTTTGAGTTTTCACTAAAGTGGCGTGTTGACGGGTTCCTGTGAAGGTCCACTCACAAGCTGCAAAGCTAAACGACGGAATAATGCAGCCACGATGTGGGCAGCAGGACACAGTGTGTCATGTCTGACTGCCAGAGTTTGTGTGGAAAAAGACTACTTTTGTCAAAGTAGACATTTTCCCAGCCGATGCTATCTTTGTCCTGGCATTTGGCACAGACGGTTGAACAGAGTGATAATTTAGCAGCAGCCCAGATGCTCCAAAGACGCCACGTGCTGATGCGAGAAAGAGATTTCCTCCTTTAATTTGTTTTTCTCATTTTATTTATTTTAGTTGTTTTTACTTTAACAAAAGAGCACGTGGCGTATTATGACAAGCAAAGTTGAGCGTATTTCGGGCTTTTCAGGAATCAGGAATCAGGGAACATTTATCACCAAAATATGTCAGACATACAAGGAATTTGACTTGGCGGTTGGTGCATAGGAGCAGACAGTTAGACAATGGACAACAAGACAGATAAGACAACACGTGGAATAAAATAATAAAATATAAGGCCATGGGTTAGTTTAAAAATAAAAAAATAAAATAAAAACGATCACCAATCACCAAACGTCCTAAATCATGTAAATATGGATTATCCCACTCACCTACAAGCATCCTCTAAGCCGGAGTCCGTTTTCTGGGATTTGATTTCCAAGTTGGCCGACTGTTTATCCCTCACATCCCTCCGTCAATGCGACACATCAGAGCATGTTGGATTCGCCGATTCACAGAAGCCAACTTTCACCTTTTCATCCTAATCCCATTGGTTGAGATGAAAGAAGCTTCTGGAGCAGAAAATCAACTTCTGACTCAGCATCAGTATTCCCTTGTGGAATAAGATAAGTCAGATGAGGTCAATTTCCTGCGTTTCCTGCGGAGCTCAAGTCCATCTGCCTGACAGTTGTCCTCTCAAATACACGGATGATCTGTCTGAGGCTGCTCGCGGTTTTAAGATCGGGCTCGGTTGGCGCGAGAAGGGGGAAGAGCTGATTGCGCATGTGCATCATCGTATATGAGTAATAGGTTATATGATTATCCCCTCGTAGCCGGTTTGGCATGGTAATGAAGTGCATCAGGAATTTCCATATTTAAAACAAAGGATTAGCTGATATGGGCAAGTGGCCAGACGCGCACACAAGGGGCACCTTTTCCAAAAGACGCACTATAAATAAATAAGTCACTTCTTTGCAGAGCAGACATCGGGGCACGTTCCCTGTTTCTCTTGAAGGACACTGTGCCGAGAGCCTAAGAAAGCTGGCTCGAGCTGCAGACGGATGGAGACGGAAGCCAAGAATTGGTGGGATGGAGATTTGTTCCCCTTTAACGACGGAACCTGTCACCATGCAGGTCCACTGCCAGATTTATGCCATTGTTGCTGATTGCAACTGCTTGAATGAGCTACTTTGCTCACGGACAAGGACAACGTAAAGGATGCCCTCTGCAGCTGAACATTTCTCCTTTTGACAAATGCCTTTCACTCTCCCACTTCCATCCATCACTTTGTAGGAAGACAGGAAAGGGTCTGGGCAGAAGTATCACCCGTTACAACGGCCGTTTTAATGTACAAAGTCTCCAAAGCCATAATTATTCAGTAACATGATGCATTCCACCACTTCCACCAGTAACCACTCTGGGGTGAATTCATTTGGCAGGAGATAATCACACTCGCCCCTACAACATATGTCCAATCAAAAAAAGCTGCATCCTCTGGGTCCGTCCTTGCTTTTGGTTATTAGCTGTAAGCGTTAACTCTTGGATGGAAGCTTTATTTCCTCGGGAGTGTTTGGTCTTGGGGATCGCTGGGACAAGTCGTTGAGGGATCTGTACCTGCTCTCCCGCTGGTGCTTTGAATCCACCGTGAGTAAATCCAGGACAGCGTTTGTAATAGAGAGATGTCCTTTTGTCAAGTTTTTTTTTTTAACGCAGATGGTATGAAAAATGTCAGAATTAACCAAAAGTTTTCTTTTTATTTCCATCCAAGAGGTGTCCTTGAGGTCTCTCAATTGCTTTCACCTGTCTCTCTAAAAACTATTCAACAGTGACAATAATCACACATATTTTTACAACGGCGAAACCTTTTTTAAGCAACGAGCAACAGGAATGAAGACAGAAAAGTGGAGCTGAAGGAACGAAATGAATCCCACACTGTTCAGGATTGTAATTAGCATTTTGATTGGAGTCTTAACCAGGAAATTGATTGCTCTTATAAGCATGTGGTTATGGATGAAATTAACATCTTTAATTAATTAATAACTACGGTTGAGTGAGCCAAGTGACACTGCTGGGTGAAATCAACTTTTTACTCCCTCGATCATTCTCATTTTAATTGTAAAAGGACACACGTGGGTGCATGTGCGTGGCTTGCATTGGATATTACTGAAAACGTCCGACAATTCTAGAAGCTTTCAAAGAAAAGGGTCATCGTTATGATCAGGGGTTACAGTTCACAGCTACATGTAGGGTTAATAAGTCCTTGCGTTATCAATTAATAATACATATTACTATCTGCTCGTGCTTTAAATCCACAGTGCAGTAAAACAAAACAGATTTAATTTAAATGAAGAGCACTTTCATCAGTGTCTGAGAAAAGTCATTAAGATACCAAGAGCCTGTGATTGGCGGGGAATCCCTATGGCCTATTACTGTTAATGGGAAGCGCAATGGCCCACAAGTCCAAACTATATTGGGTGGAACAGATTACTGCATCCCAGTGACTTCTCTTTAATCATCAATTTCTTTTTTGTGTTTTTTATTTAGACACATTTCATGGCCTTTACTATCACTAATGGCTTTTGACGTTACAGCTGTAGATTATGTGACAATTTATCACATAATCTTTATGCACAGCGCATTCCTTAAATCCTGCTCTGGCCGACGACAATAAAGCTAAATGTTGTGGAGCAATTAATGCCTTTACTCTATGTACCCATACATACATAGTTCTTTAAGGAACTAAAGACAGTTCATCAAAAGCATTATCTACATTTCTGACATTTAATCATCCGCATAGGCATCTCCGTCCATAATACTCAGCTTAGTGTTCAAAGCCAGACGGTCCCAGCAGTCCAAGTCGGAGAGATGACACAAATATCCTATTTCTGGACAGATTTAGACATATGTGATATCGTCGAGCAGGAACAGCGGATGCTAAACCCCCTTCTTATCTCTGGCCCATATGACAACAGATTAAATGGATGAAGAAAAGAAATACACTGATCTAAAATGTCGGTAAAAAAACCACTGTAAGCCATCGAAATACCTCAAATAGAAATCCATTTAAAACCATTTTGGATTCATTATTTAATATTTCACTTGCACTCAACACCTTGTTTTTTCTCGTAATCTGTTTATGGAGGATCTGGGCGGCTGCTCTTGCTCCCACGTAGCATCTCTTCTGTGATCACTAAACATTCCCATGAGCAAATCAATAATGTGAGACAAACAACACTTTTGTTATTGAGTATATGTCATCTGGGGAATTTTGTTGTCTAGAGCCGTTTCCTAATGGTCAAGTAAACAATGAGTAAAGTAACTGTGTGGGGTTTTTTTTCAAATATTTTGGGCAAAACACCCTGTAAACTGAGGAGAGTGGCTTTGTTGGGTGTTGATAATCAGATTTTTGGAAGAATTGCTCTGTTTACCTGTTGGTTCAGTAAACTTAATTCCATTAGACTTTCTAATAATCAGGTAAAAGCCAATGCATGGTCTACATGGCAATTCATTTGAAAGTAGAAACAGCTCAAAGCATCACCTCTCAATGGTCTGTTTTGCTTCTTTGTTTCCGACTGACTTGTGAGATCATTCAACCCGTAACCAAAGTTTTTACTTTTGCTTGGGTCTCTTGAAGACCTGCTTTTAATTGATGTATCAGTAGAAATGTTTAAAAAACAACATATATGAACCATATAAGCAAACACATGAACAAATCGCGGTCATGTGATGAAGTAAGTTCTAATCAGACCGTCATCTATGCGGATCAACAGTGAACATTCGCACTCTTTGAACTGTGGTTTCAGTCTGGGAATAAGCTTAAACACCCTCAAAAGTAATAACGACTTCCTCATTTTCACTTGTGTGTCTAAACTCATAAATCTGATGTTGTTTTTGTGTTGCTACGAGAGATTAGGTTTTACTCGAATTAAGAGAACTAGAACAGATAGATCAGCATACCAAATATCTCCAGCAAGAAGATGGATTTGTATAGCTGTATAACTTGAATTTACAAGTCTGCATCTTTGTGAACACAGATTTAAACTTGCACACACTTGCACTATTAGCATATTACAGTAATACAATGATATCATGTCCCTTCCGACAGAAAACGCCATTTAATTCTGGACCAGTAGAATATCTTCATTCAATTCAAAGATTCTGCTTTTCCTAAATCTTGCTGTCTTGTGCCATATGGCCAATCACAACATGCACTTCTAGGACAGATGGCCAATGGTGATGAACTTTACTCAGAGCGGGGATAAGCCTCAGAATACAACTGGAAGATTAGTCTGCTTCTAACCAATTAGGACCCCGGAGCAGGAAAAACGTGAAGAGGATGTTGGAGGAAATGTGGGGAAATGAAGTAACTTTTTTCAGTTTCGGATGTTAATGACGAATCCAACCTGCGTGTACAAAAGCTTCTTCCTATTCAAAATGCACTCTGTAAAGAGGGACTATTGTTCTGCAATCTCAAACATTCCAAGCAAATAGGCCCATTACAATATTCAGCATATACAAATACAACCATTTGATTCCTGATGAAATGTTAAAACAAAAACGCAGTGCTCGCGCTCTCATGTCAGTAAATTGAGCAGGAATGTTGGCCATGTTCGACCCACAAATTCAGCAGCAGGCAAAGCGGTGACAAGCTTTACTCCATCAGCAAAAAGAAATCTTCTTAGCTCGGCCTGATCTGTGGACGTGGCAGCCGGCCTGGAGAGGATGAGTTCCACGGAGGTTCATTTCTTTTTCTATGCTAGATTCATTTTTAACAATGATGGTAGTAATGAGTTAAGGGCGATGATGAGTTTTACATTTAATTTTTGGTTTCTGGATACAAACAAATGATTGTCGCCACTGAAGCCACATGGTCGGCATTGAGGACTGTTTACAGCCTTAGGGGAGGCGTTTCACTGCAGGTCGGTTCTGGTCTAATAATCAATTTCAGTATGTTGACATTTGGTTCTAATGGCGTTAAATAAAAATAAAAAATCCAATATATGAAGGACAAAATGTAGGTCAGTAGTACAGTTATCTCCAAAAAGTGCCTCTCTTGACAAATAGTAATATGGTGGAAGATTTTGAAATTTCATTTTTTTTCACCAGTTCAGCGCTTTGATTACTTGTCATTCCTAAAATGCACTGGACTTGACCGCTTAAGCGAAAATGACGTTGTGCGTGCGTCTGGCTGCAAACATGCTCCTTGCCTTGAGGTTTTTTCGCCCCTCCCTTTTAACCACTTTTTAATTTAGTCACGTCTACAAAGCTGGTCTTTGCAATCAAGGCCTAAGCACTTCGGAAAAGGGCTTTAGAGACGTAATTAAAAGGCCTGAGTGGGAGAAGGCAGCTTTGAAACTAAGTGAGTCTGATCAAGACTGTTCGGAACATTAGAGAGTAAAAGAGGTTGATAAAAGGACAGAGAGAGGAGCAAAGTGAGAAAATGTGTCATGCGACGACTTGCATGGACTATCAGCTGCATCAAGGATTGATGTCATTGTGCTTCACTGAATCATTTTCCAGACCGAGAATGCATTAAATTGCAACAAAACAACTATTACCATGATCCAGTTATTGTTATTGAAAATGGATTTTAAAAGGGAGTTGATGATGAAACTAACATTGTTGTATTTTGTCCATTTTTAAATGAAGTTTTGTTTTATGTAACAGATGATCAGACTTTGCAACACAGTTTTAATTAAACAGCACCCAACTGCAGACCTGATTACTTCCAACACACGATGAAGTCGAGTGAGAGAGTGTGTGTGTGTGTGTGTGTTGGTAAATGTATAAGAGAGGGAACAGGATATGGAGAAAGAGAGAGAGAAAAAAGATTTGGAATTCAGAGCTGGATTTCCTGTGCATTTTAATCATAGTACAGTAAATGTTTCGGGTTGCACTTCTCAATGTGTTTGGATAAGTGATTTAGTTTACTTTACTTTACTTTAGACTCAGTTAGGCTACGTGCAAGACAATTTTATTCAAGCATTTTATTTTATTTTATTACTTGTGCACTGTTGTCTTGTTGTCTATTGTTACACTGTCTACTGTCACGCACCAACCGCCAAGTCAAATTCCTTGTATGTATGACATATTTTGGCAATAAATGTTTCCTGATTCCTGATTAACAATAAATCAAACGCAATAAATAGTTTTTAAAAACACTCCCGAGCTATCCTGCCACCTAATAGACTGACGTAAACGTGTAAGACACAATAAAACAATACAATGTACAAACATATTTTCTATATAAATCAATGTTTCTGAATCTTTTTTTTTTGAAGATGGCGTCCCATTTTCCCCAGCGGCGCATTTGGCGGTTTCTTCCTCCGCTAAGTGGCGCTAAAGACTCGGTCCGCCATTGGCATCACGTGACCTCAACATACCGCCTTGGAAACCCCTCGTTTCTCTTTCGGCCACTTCACCGGCAAGACCCCGGTCACCCCTCAAGCAACGCACGCGTGCAACGCGCGGGGTTTCCATGTCCGAAGGCGCGGCGCGCGCTGCCGTCGTGGATGGCGAAGAAGGGCGCGAGAGCGAAGGAGGAGGAGCCGCTGAAGAGCGCGAGGAAGCGGAAAACTGCCCGGTAGACGACGCAGAAACGAACCGAACCAGGTCTCCGTCTTTGCTGCGCGGTGTGTGTTTCGACTAAACGCGGCGGTGTGTTTTTCAGGGCTGCTTTCTACTGCATGAACGAGAAGGAGCTGGTGGAGGCGGCGCTCTCGCGTCTCACCGACGCCGCCCGCGAGGATGTCGCTCTCCCCGCTGACCGCAAGGTGGCGCTTTTCCCCTCTCTTCCAACATTTGGAGGCGCAAATTAAGTGAACTCGTGCCAATATTCTTAAATCTTAAAAAACAAATATTTTTATCGCATTATATATAAATGTTTTGCTTTTTCCAATTTTGTGCCAAACACATTTGTCCGCCTGCACAAAGACCTGTCTGAACAAATACAAAGAAATGTATTATTATCCTGCACAATTTAGCATTTTATATGAAATGAAATATATTCACCCCCATCTGACTCACACACACACACACACACAGGTTGAAGACAAGGCAGCAGCCACCACTGTGAACACGGGCGAGGACCCGGCCACTGCAGAGAAGACGGCAGAGCTTTTGACATCAGCGGAGCAGTCTTCAGACGGCGGTGATGCCCTGGATACAACGTGTGTTTCAGAAACAGACGTGGAGATCAGCCCGCGGCATCTGGGCCCTGAGGGTCAGAGGGCAGGACCTGCACGGGATCATGGCGGTCTGGTGAATATCGGACTGAAGGCTGAGGGAAAAGAGAAGGATGATGCCTTGCGGCTTGTGAGGGAAATATTTTTCACCTGATGATGATGAACTCCAGCATACGCCATCTAGAACCACATTTTGGTGCGGCATTGCACATCTTAGTCTGGAGTTCAGTGTTAAAGGAGCTGCTGTGTATTTCATACAGCTGACATGAGTGAATGGAACTCCCATTAACACAAATAACGTGGTATTTTGTGAACAGAAATGTTTTGCTGAAAGCTTTGACCAGAAAGCCGGAACATGAGTGACGTATAGATGTGTAGTAGTACTTTTTAAATTATAATGTGAAACCTAAAGCAAGTGGGTTTTAGGTAAAGAGATCTTTCCACCACAAGTTTTTTCAGCTTTGATGAATTATGAAGTGGCCGTGGCTGCACTGTCCTTTATTTCCATTATCTTAAGCAACTTTGTACAAACGTTGAAAACTGGAAAGCCTTAAATACCTTTGCCCGTGTTCTGGACTCTGAGATGAGCTTCTCCGGATAAGTGTTCATTGTCAAGACTTTGTCTTCTTCAAACAGTGTGCACGGTTACCGTTGAGTAAATCCTCACCTCGCCTATGGTCGTCCAAGATTAAACTCTTAATTGTTTAAAAGCTAAATATCGGGAAAACTCCAAAAGCCGGTTTGAGCTCTGCGAGGTGCTTTAGAGTCGTCAACAAAATCATTTGTTAAGGAAGTATTTCATCCCAAGTTGTCGACATTAAAGATTTGTTGTATTGTGTTCTACCACCATTGCATTAAAGCAAACCATATTACTCCAACATTTGTTTTTATTTTTGCAAGATATTTAAGCACGGAATTACAGCAGGACACATAAGCAGCGCAGTATGCTCCAGTCTATTGCACCAAAGAAGGGTTTATCATGAAATATATTATTGCTTTTCAGCAGCATATGCCTCAAGGAATACAATAAAAGAACCAAAAAAACAAAGTACTTTTATTCTAATGGTGAAGAGCATCAACTAAACTATAGTCCATAGTCAAGCACTTTGGCTTCCTGAATAAAGTTTAACCAGGTGGACTTCCCATTCGATCTACTCCCATTCAGACGTCAGCCTCTTCCCGGACTTGCAAGTCAGCACAGTCGTGGCAAGCAGCTCCACTGGCACAAGCACACATAAGTAGAACCAGACGGTCATGTTTTCCCAGTTCACGTACGTCTGATAGAGGGCCACAAAACTCAGAACCCCAGTCAGGACGAGCAGGCTTGACGCAGCCTGGCAGGCCGCGCTGAACCAGACCGCTGCTCTGTCTCTGCTGTAAGCTGCCAGCAGCATGGCCAGAAGGGCAAAGGCCACGAGCACCACGGGGATGTACAAACACAGGAGAACCGCGGTTGCCAGGAGGTTCGTTTTCATCTCCGATTCATCTCCGCCGATGGGTTCCCTGGACGAGCAGGATGGCTCGCCATGTTGACGCGTAGGACAAAATTGAAAGGGACTGATGAGGACCTCTTTGGAGACGATGAACACACCAGCAAAGAGAACCAGGGAGGTCAACATCTTAGTGAGGATGAGCAGGAGACACACGAAAATCCAAAAAGAGAGCCCTGCAGGTCTCCTCAAAGACAGAGACATGGCCGAAGCCGTCTTAAGCCAGATTTATTCAACACACGCCATCTCTAAAGAGTGCAGCTTATATATTCAGAACAACAACAACAAAAAGTTGTTATGGTCTTGGTTTGGAATGGGCCGGAGGTCAACTTCTCAGCATGCAGGGTTTAATGTTCGACCTGCGGTTGAGTCAGCTGATCAGCTTCCTCCTTGCATTTACATGAAGTGGACTTTGGACAATCTGTTGAAAAAAGTTCCTGTGATCAAAATGAAACATGACATGTTGAAACATATCATATCACATGGCGGGGAATCACTCTCAAACATGACCTGAGGTGTTTACCAAGAATAAACACATAATACAAATAAAAGATGACTGACTAATAGGTCGTTTACTGTGTTGTTTAGGCTACTTACGTATCTGTGGAGTCCTGCGGTGGGTGTCGGGTACGCGCATATAACGTGAACGCGCGCGGCGCGCGGCATCGTGTGTGCAGGAGTCTACTCGGGACGTGCGGTCTTCTCCCGAGTCTGTGTGTGCGAGCTCATCTGAGACCTCATCCCCCGTTTACTGCGAGACGACGCGGCTCATACGGTTGGTTATCGTTTATAACTTTATCTTAATACCGCAGCGTTTCTAGTTATTTATTTTTTTACTTCTGCTTATTTGGGGTCGATTGTTATTAGTCTGTTCAGCGCGAGGGAGGCGGGGTAGTTCGCAGCGGATTCTTCTTGTGCGTTTCATCTTTGACAAACAATTAAAGTGGCACAGGGACGTTGTTTGTGTTGGTGACTTTCTAACGTGGACATTGGTCATTTGGTGGGTATTAATTATTGAGAGCTTGCGCTAATGAGGATCCGTGGTTCTGATGGGAAGCACAACTGGATCAAGGTGTGGTTGTTAAAAAAGTGGAAATCGTGAACTATGATTTGCATGACATTGGGTGACACTGCTGGGTGATGATCGTTTGCGCGTTTAAACGTCCGGATCGAGTCTGTCCACTCGAGCGCGCGAGGGGGGGGGGACATGTAGTGCAAACAAGTCAAGAAATAAATAAACAAACAAATGTTTAAAGTCCTCGTCGGGTGCCAGCGCAAACATCCCCCGTGGACTGCACGCTCATTGCCGACACTTTATGGGACACGTTGCACATGCGGCCCGGGAAAGGTGCAAGAGAACACAATGTCCCACAAAGCACGCACACGTGTAGTGTATCCTGACCACTAAACGCTTTGATCAACTATTCAAGGAATTGGGAGAAAAAGTTCCACATGTTTTTACAATACAATGCCAGCAAAATTAATGTTTATCTTAATTTTAAGCCAAATAAAAGTTTTACTTTTTGCAACCACTTTTAGCATTTGAAATTTCATTGCTTCCATCCAGTCATTTTTTTTTTTTTGTCTGTTCAGATTCATTATGGGAAACCGGTTTGGAAAAGAGCGAGAAACTAACAATGCTGAGACTGCTGAAGAAGCAAAGACTGCAGAGGAGTCAGAAGCTGGACAACCAGCGGAGGACTCTGGGATAACTCAAACTCAAACTCAGGATCTAGATGTCCAGATTCTGGGGCAGGTGGCGCAAGTGGCGCGTTCCATCACTGAAAAATTGGTGTTGAACAGTGGAGTGGAGGAGGATGCTGAGCCCGTGGCGAAGGAAACACCAGCTCCAGTCCAATCCGAGCCTCTGGTCTCACTTGGCAAATCATCAGCTCCAGATTTAGAACCTGTTGCTGAAGCTCCGCTGGCTACAGAGCCAGTTCCTGAACCACTGCCCGCACCAGAGCCAGTTTCCACACCAGAGCCAGTTCCAGAACCAGATCCAGTTGCCGAACCACTGCCTGAACCAGAGCCAGTCTCCAAAACGGTTCCAGTTCCTGAACCAGAGGCAGAAGTTGAGGTAGTCTCTGAACCCATTTCAGAGTTGGTGCCGGCGGGAGCTGAGGCCGCAGAGCTGAAGACGGACCTCCTCAGCCAAGAGTCTCTCCCCGAGCCACAGATTTCTTCTCCAGCACCTTTGATCAACCCATGCGCCCCCGAAGAAGATGCCCGACCCGTTGACATTCCTCCCGCCCCAGCTCCGGTCGAAGCGAAGGAGCCGGCAGACAACCCGGCGACCGAGGAATTCCAAAACAGCGCTGAGGTCTCGGCCATTCCCACGTTTGAGCCTGAAAACGGCGAGGAGGCGTCCGAGTCAGGGGAAAAGGCGATGGAGGGGAAGGGTGGAGTGCATTTGGAGCAGCATGTGTGTGACGTCAGCGACGAGGGTCTCAGTGGACTGCTGAAGAACTTGGAGCTGAAAGGAAACGACCTTGTCGCTGACCTCATTCCGGCCGACGTCCAGATTCCCGACGACGTGAGCACTTCCACCGAGCTGATGTGAAGGTGCGGCAGTGAAAGGATGTTATATCTGTGAAGCCCTCGTAACCCCTAACGTGAATTCCAAAAGAAGCTGGGATGCAATGTTTCTTTCTCTCTCACCTAAGTGGCCTAATAAAGGCAAAAATGTCTCTATCTAAATGAACGTGTGCCAAAAAAAGGTGTATTGTCTGGGCTTTATTATGAGTGTACTTGTGTGTATTGCTGGACAACAGAGATCTTCCTCTATGCAAATGCACCAGGCAAGAATTTTAACCAAATTTCTTTAAGAGAAAAGAAGCCATTGCTATACGATAACGCGGCATAGAGAAAGCTGGAAGGGAATCATTTTGATGTTCCTGAGTACAAAGGGAAAAGCAGAAGTGTCCTGAGGTATGTCAGTCAGCATCGGCAGGTAAATCCAAATCCATAGGCAAGGGATAGTAGCAATGAAAAAGACATTATACTGTATGCTATTGAAATACGAGTGTCTAGTGAACTATTACGCCTTCACATAATCATCTTTGAGCTTTTTGAAATTCTGTGTCTTTCTTGTATTCTAATTTAACAATGGGAATTTTCTTTTTTTTTAACCTAAGTAGTGGCTTGCTTGTAAAAATAAAAATATTATTATACATATGTTATGTCCATCGTCACTTGATTTGACTTTTTAACTAAGGAACCTGTGTTAAAGATTACGGGGAACCAGTAAAATTAAAGGCGTGTTGGTATTTAACATTCCCAATAAAGAGCGGATGGATCTGCTAAACGCACACGCTGTAACAATTGCTTTGTAACACGGCACACGGGGGCACGGCATACATTTTGGAAATCAAATTCCATCCCTGCACAGATCAGAACACGTTCTGGAGATGGTGCCTCCTCGGTCTCGTGACAGGACGAGAGGAGGCGGGGTCAGAGGGGTGCAGAGCCACATTCTTTCCAGAGGAAGGAGTTTTTTTCGGGTGGCTGGGGGTCAAAGGTCTTCAGTGTGACTGTTTCAGTCCATGAGAAATCTGCTCCTCGCATGCCTCTCCCCCCCCTCCGGCCCTCCGTCCCCTCTCCCCCTCTCTGCCCTCACGGCGTATAATTCCAACTGCTGGAGCGAGCAGTCAGTGGATTGGTATGAGAGCTCACTTCAGCCTCAAAAAGAAACTTTTTACTTTGGCAATTTGACCAAATGAAGGAAAGACTTCAAGATGCACTACATGGAGCTGCTCCATTTAAAAAGGACACAAGAGACCATCCTTGCGCATCAATGCTCCAATTCAGTTTTGTAATATGTTTTTATCCCAACCACACCTCCCTTTTACAGCCTACGCCTCGGGGCATGGCATGTGGGTAAGTCCCATGGTTTTAGCAACACATGTCCCCATGGGAGAGGGAGAGGCACTCCTCAGACGGTGATCTCAGTCAAGCCAGCCTGCAGCAGGACAGTTTGTGGATGACCCGGTTTGCTGATTCACACTGAGAACAGACACACGGCCCGATCTGGGCGGTTCGGGATTCCTGTCCTACCGGAGGCTTTCATCTCAGTAAATAAAGGAGTCCTGAGTCCTCCTTGTTGATGCCTTGCTTCATTACGGCCTTCAATGGCAAGAGCATTAGACAAAGTAAACAGAACTCTGTCTTGGCTTCCCTAACAACGGATGTCAAAGAAGTAACACAGCGAAGTGGAGCAACGATTGCTTCATGTTCTTTTCATGCCACAACTCATCAACACATTTGATGATGCAATCAAAGCCAGCTGACTTACATGTGGCAACAAAGTGGTGCTGATTCATCAATAAGTAATAGCACAACAAAACGGTAATATAGCCTTTCCCCAAAGGTGATTCGTCAAATTCACTCACGGCATAGAAAAATTCATCCCATAAATAAAAACGACAAACAAACAAAACAGTTTCAACAGAGAGATGTAAGAATCTTAAAAACAAATACTTTATTATATAATAAACAATTAAAAATATGTGTCAAAGAACTGACAAGAATAAAATATATAGTACAAACAGTGCAAAGTACCAAGTACTCTAAGTACTGTACTGTAAGACAAATCTTAATACATCGTGAGAATGCGCTATATTAATATATAGATATATATAAGGATATATAAGTAAACGCTCTTTGGCATCAATTTGCAATAAATACAGTGTGAAGAGAGCCGTTCGTTGGGTTTCCCACGACCTCCGAACAGCCAGACTCCTAGACGTTACCTCTCTGAAGGCAAAGAAACAAGGCATTTGAATGCAATGTGTCATTTATGATGGAAAATATCTAATGTTTGTTACCATTAGCCGGCTGTATTTTTTAGCCAGGTCAACGTTGGTGCGTCCCGGATGGAAGGGGTACGACCACAAAATGGAGTTCCAGGAGAAACCGAAACGCTTCACACCTCTCTGCAGGTAACGCACCTCCTCACTGCTGAAGTCGGCCCTCTTCCGTCTCTGGTGGGTTATAAGGATGCAGGGAGAAGCCATCTTGGATTATACATCTGCACGTGTGGCTTATGGGACAAATCCTGTGCACACTTTACATCATTCAGTGCAATAGCCGTGTCTCACGTGTGAACTATTAAGTCACCTGCTTTTGTTAATGACTTGAAATCTGATGTTTTGTCATATGCATTCATGTCAAATTATAATAATTGCATCGTTGTGTGCTTTGGAAAGTCCTCTTGCTGATGTGTTGCAAGTCGGAATTAAATTACACTGCAAATTTTATTCTATTTCAAATCTTTTAATGTCTTTTTTTATCCTTTTAATGACTGTTTTTCTTTTATGTTTTAATGTATCAATGTTGTTAACTGTTTATAAATCTCCTTGCTTTATGTTTGGATGTTTTTAATGGTTTTATGTGAAGCACTTGTTGAAATGTGCTATACAAATAAAATTGCCTTGCAATAAGACACTTTTGTTGTGCAAACTCTCACATTGGAACCGTGATCTGGGCTCGTCCTCGGCTCATCATCCATAGTGGGACGTCCACTTTTATTGCCTACTCTTCTCTCTTAATTGAAAAGATAAAACAAACTGAATATGTGTAAAAAAAAAAGATTGGGATGTCAAATATAAAGATAAACGTCTTCACTCTTGCATTCTGGGTGTGCTCTGACACAAAGTTAGTATTTGTAAATGTATTTGGCTGAGTGGCGTAAAGATATCGATATAGACAAAGATATAGACAGTAAATCTTATGGAACAAAAAAATAATCAGAAAGCTGGAGTAGAAAAAGGGGAATGATGTCATAGAAAGCTACAAAAAACCTGAACATATTTTGATGTACAGTATAATGAGTGTAATGCAAGTACAGAGCATGCAATGATGTGCTCATAATGTGGAACGGACTGAAATGTCTTTCACACCACTGGCTCAATACAAAAGCATGTGTCTCTCGCTCTCACACTCACACACACACACACACACACACACACACACACACACACACACACACACACACACAGCAGCTCAATACAGTTGTGCGGCTCTGAACCAGCTTTGGCCTGCACAGTGAGAACACTGGCTGCAGTTCAACATTCCTTCTGCTCTTTGGTTTGTCTCTTGCCGAGAGCACAGTGCAGGGAGACAGCTCCCACCAAAGGCTCGCAACCATAACATTCACACGCACCTAAAGTGTGTATCTCATGTATCTCATCTATCTACCTTCTGGAAGATGGGACCTTTTCAGAGGAATCAAGCCCGGCCCTAAGAGGAGGCGCAACGAGATCAACGCTGTTGAACATGGCGACAACAATAAATTAAATGTTGTTATTATTACGTCACATACGTACCTGTCCCGTAGGTGGTCCATGTCTCCTTTGTAGCTCCTTTATGCAGTGGAGTCAAACGGATGTCTGCGATGGAAGGATAAGACAACCAAACACACGCAGAGATTATTGGTCGTCTAATTTGTTATATGTAGACAGGCTCATTCCCTGCAGTCTTTAAAGACATTGATGTGTGACAGAAACAATACAATCCACTAGCTTCATAATTCTTACCTTTGTGCTTCTTCCAGGGAGGGGAGCTCCGGCCTTTTCCTGCTCCCTTACGTACGAGAGTCGGGCGCACCTCTTTTACAGTGGAATAGAGATCAGGCATTTTATTGCATATGTGATTTATGCAGAGAATAAGAAAGTAATAAATACGAAGTAATAGACAAATAAAAGACAATAAAAAACACTTTTGAACAACAGCAAAAAGCACGAGGCTTCTAGTTCTCTGACAGGTTATTTTGTATTCAATCAGCTCCAGACAAGACCCAGTGTTTTCATTGGTACGGTTTTTACATCCATCCTGACTGAGTAATGCTCGATGACGAAAGAGATGTTACTCGTCGATATATTTTATAGCTGTCAGTCATGAAAGCAGGTATTGAGCACCACACCCATAACTCAGTGCACATATGATGTAGCGCTGATGGGTTAGTCTGAAACGTTGCCCCTGCCCCAGGCTTTAAAGTGTGTATGAGCAGCCTTAAACAAAACAAAACTCAGAACTTGCACTCACACCTTGCAATTAGAAAGTTACACAGTCCAGTTAATTATCATTTTATCATTATCAATTATCAAAACACAGCGCCTAATAAAATCAAAGCCGCAGCCCTATTGTGATCAGTACAAACACACAGAACATCGAACCCGCCCATCTCTTTGTCCGCTGGTCCCGTTCAGGGCCGATCCCAGGCGACATCGGGTGAAAGGCAAGGAACACGCTGCACACGTTGGCTTTTAAACAAGGTGCTTATTTGCCACCACCTTGTGAACTTGTCCTTACGACACCCTCCAAACCGAAGGCCACTGCAAAGCGAGTGAGTCGCTGTCCGGGAGGACGGATTTTCTTACCGCTCCAGTCTTCCCAGCTCCTCCGTGGCTGTGCAGCTGAAACTCTCTCGTATTTTTGGTTTGCCGGCTCACCGTCGTCATGGTACTCTCTCCTAAGCAGCATGTTGCAGTGACGGGTCCTGAACCGCTCTGTGGCCTCTCGGAGTACCTGGTGTATGTCACAGCTGTGCTGGCAGGAGCTTTGCAGCGACGCAAAAGTGCGACTGGTCACTTCCTCAAAAGGCAGCACGCAAACTAGGACAAGAAGGAGAGTTCAGCGTAAAGTCCTTGGGTACATCGTCCCAAGAGACGTGTAGAACACAAACTGTGCTTAATAGGGTCACACTCTCCTACCTGCACACCGGACACAAGACAGTGAGTTTTCTTCAACTCGGATCTTCCCCACCGTACCTCTCTGACAGTCCTTCAACTCTTGAAATAAAAGGATATTAGTTGAATGAAAAAACCCACACATCTAGTGTAAATCCAAACCAAAGCAAATAAGTTCATGTCTTTGTGACTCCCACCTTTGTCATCAGAACCTTGGATTTCTTTGGGTACACTGTGCCTGACTGACGCTGGAGGCTTGAACAACTTACTAAACAAAACGACAGACGAGAAAGTAATCACAAAATAATGAAATGATTTCATTATTGGTGAGTCGTCAACAATGAAGAACTCTACTGACTGGTCGGCTGTGCGAGGCTCCGGGTCTCCCTCTAGTGACTTTTGATGGGAAGGCATTAGAGAACCAGTACCATTGCACACAGAATACCACACAGACCCTCCACCGGTTTTATCCTTCTCCTTCCGCCCTTTTAAATGGCTGCTTATATGCGTCATGTTGCCGTCGCTCCCTGCTTCCACATGCTTGCGAGTGTCGGCCTGTCTACATGCTGTGTGAATGGTTTTAATGGTCTCCCTCTGCTGCGGAGGCAGAAGTGGTCGACCGAGACTTTCGCTCGAAGTTAAGGGCTCTTTGTCTTCCTGCTGAGCCTCAGCCGCCTAAAGATGGACAAGAAGGACACGTCATGACTCCCCTCTGTTCATGCTGATCCTATTATGGCCATGTGTGTGGGTGTATGTCTGACCATGGCCTGTTTCTTCTCCAGCAGTTCAATCCTGCACAGCAACTCCCTGGCTGTGGCCCTGAAGCCTTCCATGTTCACGTCTTCAGCCTCCTCGTGGCTCACTGTCAGACCAGGCACTTCCGAGGACATGGCTTCACAAAAGAAAGTCATTAGAACCCCATGTTCTTCATTCTGGGCACCTATTCTCGCTATTCATAAATGCACACTTTTAGAAAAACAGAATTATACCGTAGAACTAAAACAAATACGCCTGAGTACGACATCAGGACCTAAGTGGAGGAAATGCAAACACTTTTGTGACACACAGACAACCTGGGTCCCCACTGCTCCAAGAGCCCGCCTGGGGCATTTCCACTTCATGCTTTACAGGGAATCCTACATTCATACTACATATGTGAGAGCAAGAACGCTCATTTAAATGATTTTGTTTCCAAAGGTAAATTCACACATGCCCAACATAACAAGTAAAAGAAAAGTGGATGTTTATTTTGCAATGGTGACAATGAAGATCATCACTTATTGAGTAAAAGAACTGAACCCATGTTGACTTACTGGCCTGTTTGCAGGTCTGCAAAATGAAGGTAGCAGCCTTCCTAACCTCCTCACTTGTATCTTCTGTGAGAAGGGTTATGATAACGGGCAGGCCTCCACAACGCAGCAACTGGGACTGGTGCTCCTCTTCAGCCAGCAAGAAAAATCGCATTCGTGAAAAAACACGTGGTTAGCAAAAATACTCAACCTGTGGTGTCAAGAGAATCAGGACTGTGGAGAACGTGTTGACTGTGCAGTCTTACCAGATGCCTCAGTGCAGCGGCCCAGAGTGAGCAAAACAGACAGCCTGTCCTCAGGCTCCAAGTGTGGGCTATCCAGCAGGGAGAAGAGGTGGGGAACCACACCATACCGAGAAAGACCCGAGGCCAGAGACGCTACAGAAGAACAGATTGTGGATGGAGAGGGGGATACATAGGTTGTTTAAGTGTAGAGTCTAGATGTGTTAAAATGTGAGTGATACGCACTATTTTCTGTGATGGAAGCAGAAAGGGTCTTGGATATAGTGACAGCAAGCTGGCAAGACGTCGAGCTTGTGTCTGCTGCTGAAGCTAGACGAACCAGTGCAAGAGCGAGAGTATCCAGACACCCGGAGCCATAAAAACTCCCCTGAACACAGGCTGCAAAACGAGGAAGTGTTTAACATTTAATGATGAGAAGCACAGGTTAAGCACGAGCGATTCTGCTTCCTCCACTTACAGTTGTTGGCAACCGTCATCGCTATGAAAGAACATATGGGTTGAAAAATCTCAGTACGTGGCACAGCAATCTGCTGAAGCCAGACTTTTATTGTGGCAAAGGCCGCCACACAAACACGCTGAGCCTCGTCTGTAAGACAAGAAAGAAAATTGAGAAAAACAATAGTAACACAAAGTTAGTTGCCTGCATGGTTAGGAGCATCAATGTTTTCAATGCAGGCACAAATAAACCGAGGGCATTACCATTTTGAGGGTTGTTGACAAATCCACAGAGCGCACTACACACAGATGCCCAAAACTGGTAAGTCTGAGTAGCGTTAGCAGCTCTCACTGTAGCCTCTGTAGAGAGAGGGGAAGTGGTCCTGCAAAAATGTATACTATTAAACTTAAATGCATGTGCTTGTATGACTAAGTCTCTACACACAACAACATCTCTGGCATACTAATGTACATTGTTTTACTAATGTCTGGCGTTGAGGATTGTTAAGTACCTGAGGAGGTCCAATAGAATATCCAGGCAGCCAGTTGCTTGACCTAAAGTCTGTCCCAATTCTGCAATAACACACAATCACATGAAACTGACAAAAAACAAGTATGTTTTGTTCCAAAGATGTTAGAATGGCTTGAACTAACTCCAAAAATAATTGCAACTTAATGGCAGAACATTCCTGCAGTTTTAACTCATCCTTACTATTGTTGGCTACCAACACGGTCAGCAAATACACCGACACGCTCTTCTGTGTCAGCGGGATGTCTTCCTTCAGCAACAAACCAGCAAGGTCTGCAAATGTCTCCTTTTTGCAGAGATAATTCTTGCAATACACTACCAGAAAGAGAGAAAAATTCTACAATTACAGTATAATTAAAATGGAATTTACTCCTACTGACTTGCATCTGAAGATACCACATTGAACCAATACATTGATATTATATTCACATACGACAGTACACAGGCTTGTTTTGAAAATCTCAAGGATGTGGTCATCCCAGGACCACATCCATCTTTAAAATGAGTATGTCATGATAAAGTTACAAAGATATCGTATCAGTGTCCTTTGCAGCTTTTAGTTTCCCACAATTGAAAGGCAAATGAAAAATGTTAAAACAGTAGTATTACTCTTAGCTGTTTGAAAGAATTTAAAGAATAAAAGAATTGAAAGAAGCTTTTGGACTGCATCCCCCAAAATGAATTGGCATTCTCACACACACAGACACACACAGGCACACACACGCCTACCATTGGCCTCTGCTAAGGTGCCCAGTGTAAATAGGGCCGTCTCCTTAACATCTGTGGGAATGATGCTGGATTTGGACAGTTTATACACAAATGAGACACCTCCCATTTCCCTCAGCAGGTCCACATTGTCCTCTGAAATGATGAACGTGAAACAGGCGATGGAAACACATTTGTTACGCTGTTTGAATATTCACTGATTTAGAAATACATTATTACCGCGTGTTTGTCAGAACACATGTGTTCTGTTGCGTTTGGTCATTTGGGGTTCACTATTAACGTACCTCTCTTTTCACAGATTGAGTGAATGGTGAGAAGAGCTTGTTTTTGCAAATCGGGACATTTCATCTGAAACTTCAGACACTCGAGCAGCAAACTGAGATCTGTCCTAGTGGCTGAAGAAAATAAACAAAATAAATCACGTTAAGAAGAAAAAAATGAGTTAATGAGTGAAATTAGCAGGCCCATCCGCAAATACATAACGTTATGCTAAACAAAGTGTAAAGATGTGGAGTTGGTGTCACTTACTATTACGGCGTTTGCTGCAAACCCCCGTGTTAGCCATTTCACTGCTTAAATGACTTAGAGGTTTAATGAGTGCATTAAACAACAAGTGCTACTGTCACCGAAACGCTATTTACAGAACTAGCTAGTTAGCTAACTTTGCTAACACAAATGCGATATTCAAGCTAGCGCTGCCTTATGCCACTTATTAAGTGGCTGAGTTACGGTCGATGAATGAAATGTATCTCCAAACAGTAAGTTAGAGTTAGCTAATTTGTACTTTTAACTGAACAAAAGTTAAATTAAAGTAGAAGCCTATTAATGTCAGCCATACCGCAAAAGTGTTTGCGTGACGTCTGAACGTCACGTTACCATGGCACTATGAGATTTGACAGATGTGCCTGGATATGAACACTGTAAATAGTGTACGTGTGCATTATCGATCAAATCACTAATGCAATGAATACATATGAATGAACAAAATAGTAATGTAAAAAAATAAATATTTTTTTAATATCAAAATGATAATTACTTGTTTCAACCAGCATATCAAGCCTAAAATGTCCTGAACAAAGATCGTCTATTTAAATTCCCCCTAGAATGTTTTATAAATACTTTTTTTTCCCTTCTTCCTGAAAAGCTAACGGCATGGACTACAACCGTGCGTCCGTTGGCTACGTCAGACGCTGTGACGTCACGCCGTCACGTTCGGAGTTCTGACCATCGACATCGAGTCACATGTAATGCCGGTTTGCACGTCTTTCGGTCACTACGCGGTCTTCATATGTTTAGTCCCCGTATTTAACATGAACCAAATCAACGCGTGTCTGTTGGGCTCAAGCGTTTTGTCGTAACGTGCGTCGCGTTGTATTGGTGAACGTCGGGGAAACTAGCGGGCAAGCTAACGTCAACTTTTGAGTTTTGGTGCTATGTGTTGTCAATCGGATCAAACGTGAGCTAGCCTGCGCACATTAACGCGGCTGGCTCGTCATAACGTGGCGTTATAATACACTGGTCTAATGTCAAAGCGCACGTGTTCATTTTAACGTGACTCGCGAAACATCTGACTTCCTGTCACTTTACGTTAGCTCGTCGATTGACCGAAGTGTGCCCGCGCGCGAACGTGACGTGTGACGTTACGGTTCCTTTTTCTCCTGACGTAGGTTCTTGGGGTGAATGAGAACAACTCCGACGGCACCGTCTGTTAGAGATGTCTAGACGTGTGTGCGCCAGTGTCCTCCACAGAGCTGCACGCTACACGCTGACGCCCTCCAGCCCCACTGCCCCATCCCAGGTCCGTCTGCGACCAGTACTTCTCCCCTTTTTGATCTTTGGTTTCATCTACGCAACATCACAATCTAATGCTGTCATTTTCTCCCGCCCACATAGTACTCGCTCTTTGCAGAAGCCCACCAGTGTAACTACTCGTCCTGGGGCCCCCGCAGATCAGACCAGCGGGGCCTCGCTGGTGAGGGGACGGGGAACTGGTCCCAGAGCAAGCGGCTCCGCTCGACCCGTCGGGACATCGACTTCATGCTGAGCGGCGTCCAAATCAACGGGTTTCTGCGATCTAACGAGCAGGTGATTGATGTGATTGTGTCCCTCGGGGGCCACTATGGGCGCAATGTTTCTGAGGTCCTCTTAGGTTGATCTTTTCTCTTTCCAATGTCACGCACGCAAGTTTTACATTCGATGCGTGACCCTTCCCCTCTCTGCGTGCCCCAGAGTGTGAGCGTGCCGGAGTTCGATGGCAGAGCGCTCTGCGCCGTCAAAAAGTTCGAGAGCAACCAGCTCGCCGCTAACACGCCCAATGAAGACCGCCGCAGTGCAGCCACCTGCCTGCAGGTGCGTGTCCCCTCTGCTGCGTCGTCCATCACCCTGCTTTTATCTCCCTTCTCGCTGCTCACGGTGTCCGTTGTTCTCCAGTCAAAGGGCATGCTGTTTGGCGTGTTCGACGGCCACGGGGGCTCGGCGTGTGCCCAGGCGGTCAGTGAGCGCCTGCTGCTCTACGCTGCAGTCGCGATGATGTCGAAACAGAGCCTGGAGGAGCTGGAGAGATGCGTGGAGCACGGCAGGGCCGCGCCTCCCATTTTGCAGTGGTACAAACACCATGCAGACTTCAACTATCGGGAGTGCGCCTCCCTTTACGTGGACCACCTGAGAGTCTTCTGGCAAGAATTACTGGACAGCGAGGAGCACGGTGAAGGCATGAGGTAGGTACAAAGGCGTAAAACTCAAAGCAAACCTAAATGGGGATAATTACAACTTAAAAGGCTGGTTCATGTTATCATGATTGAACAGAATGTACCGTTTAGGTTTTCTGTGAACAGTTCTAGAGTTTAGTCTCCACTAAGTACACTATATCAAGATTTTGTCTCGAAATTCTGTAGATAGACGTGCCGAGGCGTGTGCTCCTTATCAAAACCCTTTTCCATGTGATTTCCCCCCCCCGACCTCCTTTTCCAGTCCTCTGGATGCTCTGGAATGGTCCTTTAAGCGACTGGATGCTGACATCTCCTTGGAGGCTCAGGTGCCTCTTTACAACGACCTGGTGAAAAGCACAGCCATCCAGGTACCAACACCACCCTTTTCCTTACTGCTGCCGGCCTGCTCACGGCTACGGGGGGTGTTCATAGACCTGCACCATCGTCTGTCCAGGTCGCGTTCTCCGGGTGCACAGCCTGCGTGGCTCATGTTTCCACGGACCGGATCCATGTGGCGAATTCCGGTGACAGCCGAGCGGTATTGGGCGTGCTGGAGGAGGATGGATCCTGGAGTGCTTTGCCCCTTTCCCTGGACCACAACACGCAGAACCAGGCGGAGGTGGAGAGGATCAAGGCCCAGCATCCGCCCTCTGAGAGAGCCACGGTGGTCACAGACGACCGACTGCTCGGGGTAAGCGCTCCTCGCTGCATAACACTCGACAGGCACAGAAGTAGCCGTGTGTGAATGGTGAAGTGGGTCGCTGGTCCTGAGCTTTTATGGTGCCGTCAGGTTCTGATGCCGCTGCGGGGGTTTGGCGACGTAAGATTCAAGTGGAGCCTCGAGCTGCAGCAGAGCATTTTAGCCGGCCTGGAATCAGGGGTGGACCTGGACTCCCTGAGCCTCTACCAGTACACCCCGCCCAACTACCTCACTCCACCCTATCTGGACGTGGCGCCCGAGGTAACGCACCACAAGCTGAGGCCCCAGGACCGCTTCCTGATCCTCGGCACCGACGGGCTGTGGGACGAACTGGGGAACGAGGAGGCCGTGCGACTGGTTGGAGAGCACCTGAGCGGGATTCACCTGCAGGTTCGTTTGTAGATTGAAAGTGACGTGCGTTGTTGTAACTTCCACCTTGAGCCATGTAACCATTTCTTGGCTTCTCTATAAGTTTCTCTTTTTCTTCTTCCTTTTTACAAAGGCTCCTGTTTCTCCATCAGAGAGGCAAATGAAATTGGGTCAGATGCACAAGCTCTTGCTGGAACGCCAGACCCGTGCGTCGCCCGCTTTAGACGCCAACGCTGCTACACACCTCATCAGACATGCTCTCGGCACCGGGGAGTACGGAGAACTGAGCCAGCAGAGACTGGCCACTATGCTCACCTTGCCCGAGGACCTGGCTAGACTGTACAGGGATGATATCACCGCTACCGTGGTGTATCTGAACTCTGACCTGGCCAGACCTCAACGCAGCTAGCAGAAGGATATATAATAACAAATATAAGAAGATATTTTTTGATCTAAAATGTGATCATTACGATCGGTTACATACATTGCTTTATAAATGTTTTTTGATGAAAGAGCAGTTTTCAGTATTTTATGTAATAAAAAGAGTACAAGATTCTATATATTTAACATAGGTTACATTTCCAAAATTATAGCATTTATCAAGTTAAAATACAGATTATTTTCTGGCAATTCTTGTTTCTTTTTTTTTTTTTTTTTAGCCTTCACTGTATTCAAAAGGCTAATACACCGGAGATCTATTACAAAAGTGGAAATGTGCATACATCTGTGAAAGTTTTTTTTTCTTTTTAGTGTAGGCTTTTTTGATATTTATTTGGGGTAAATGTTATTGTTTTATATTTAAAAAATAGTAATTGGATTGATAATAAGTAGTTCTAGTTATAAATGTAAATGCTCTCTTCAGGCTGTCCGTCAGATATATTTAAGTTGCCACTGTAAAGGTGCTGATGCTTCATATTAAACCAATGAGAAATTACTTTGTCTCACTTGTGCTCTTTTCATCGCAGATACATTCAGATTGCAAGTGAATACAATCTAAATAATTACACCGACCAACTTGCAATCCTTTGGGAAATGGACAGTGCTTGTCGTTCCATGCTGCCAAATAAACTGTGCTGAGTGTCACAGAAAACAAGTGTAAACACTGCTACTCTAGAAAAAAGGTGTGTCCCGACAGCGGCCACAAGGTGAGCATGGAGCGCATAAACACACCTGCATCTCTGACTGCAAGTCGCCCCGAGCTCCTCGCTTCTTTGTTTTTAACTCATCAAATCAGACAGGTTTCCAGTTTTAAGTGAATTATAGGTTGGCATATTTGAACTGGACGATGCTTGAATGATGTTTGTTTCTCAGCTGCAGCAGGGATTCAGCCCTGGACATTGAAGTGTGCCAATGTCAAGGGGCCGTGGCATAATGTTTGACGGCCAGCGGCCATCATTGTTTTAAGGCAAGGCAATTTTATTTGTATAGCACTTTTCATACACAAGGCAGACTCAAAGTGCTTCACATTATAACAATTGATAATTAATGGATTTGTTTTGCACCCAGTGGGTGGCAGTGTACAGCACAGTGCACCAGGGTCCATTGCACAGAGGAGTGACAGCGAGATCCTCTTTGTGGCAGTGGCAAGTGGGTGGCATCAAACTTGAGAGCCCCACCCCCTACACGGAACCCGCCGGTCCAAACCTAAAATTAGCCTCTGTAATAAGAAGACGGGGGCTCACGTGTCTCAAATAAAATAAAATAAAATAAAATATTTACAGCAGCTGACCTGTCGTACAAATAACAGTTGTTTCTGGGAAAAATTGGCTCCTCCCACCCAGCGTGCCGTTGTGACGCCGACTGATTTACTGGCGATTGCCGCTGCCTGCCACAAAGTTGCCACCCACTTGCCACTGCCACAAGGAGGATCTCGGCCCTACTGGCACAGAGTGCAGTTACACAATACTGCAACCCGCTGCATTGGCAGGCAGCACCTTTTTAACGTGGTTCTGTGGTCCCTTGTGACTATTTGTCCTATATTCTGATTATAATCATTTTTTGTTGAAAAGAGAGTGTGAATAAGTTTAGCCTCACACGTCATTGTAAACTTTGTGTACTATATAAACCAGTAAGTGCTTTATTGTTCTCCTATATGAGAGTGGACGATGGGGACAAAACGTATTAATCTGTCTCTAAAATGAAGCCAGTGAGGTCACAGTAACCTTTGCTCAGCAGCTGATAAACTCTTCAGTCGTGGCCAATGATTTCCCTGAATCACTTCCTCATGAGTGGACTTACTGTCGTACGTTATCATCCAGCTCAAGTGAACTCTGACCACCGCAGTCTACTACGCTACTGTGAGAAAACAGTCCGCCTGAATGTTTGACATTTTGTGCTACACAACATGTTCTGTTGACATGAGGGCTTTTGGATAAATGAGGAAAAAGCGTGACATTTGGCGAAGGTAAGCTGCCACATCGACCAAAATCAATTGTCACATCTGAATCAAAGGTGTGTGTGTGTGTGTGTGTGTGTGTGTGTGTGTTTGACGAATCATCTTTCAACCCCCATTTTGTTTCCCCTGAACAAGTTGACAATCGTCTTCCCAACAGATGACACAGAACATGTTCCAGGAGGGGTTGTACCACGTGTTTTTTAAGGAGACACCCTCACCCCTCCCATTGAACCAGGTTACCAGAAATGGGGAGCTAATCAACGGCAGGATTCATCGCTGGTTTGGGACTGTGGTCAATACCAGACTTTTAGTCACAGGAGTGAGATGCTTCTATCGTGCAAACTATTGGTTGACATTTTTCTTTTCAAACTCTTTCTAACTGTCAGCCTGCTTCATACCGTGTGCTTCCTCTCAGGTGGTGCAGATCCTCAGTGCATTGGCTTGCATACTCGCCACAATCACCCATGCGTGCGTGAGCTACAACTGCTCCGTGTCCATGACAACGCCGGTGTGGTCGAGCTTATTTGTGAGTCCATATTTGCGTCAAAAAAAACTGAGAGAGACAAAGATGGATTAAAACACTACAATCCTAACTGTTGGTGTTGTTACAGTTTTTGGCGGCTGGGATTCTGGCAATGGAGGTTCAGAGGAAAGCCAATAGATTAAAGGTACATATTTTGTGTGGCTGTGTTGCTTACGTTGCTTACGTTGCTTAATTGCGTATGAATCCCGAAACAGATTATCGCTCTGATGGGTCTGAACCTCTTCAGTCTCCTGTTCGGCTTCTCTGCCATCCTGGCCAACAGCCTCAGGTCTGCACAGCCGGTCGCGCTCAAAACAAACCAACAGGTAATCCTGTAAGTCGTTTGAAACGTGGGTATTGTGTTGTTGTTTTTTTGTATTGTCCTATCGATCAACACCCCAAACACAATGCTAACCTGAAAAGGCTTGTTTCCATCCCTGCTTTGATGTACTGAATGAGACGAAACCCTTCCTGATCTGTCCTGCGTTCCTTCCCTTCACGCATCCTCCTCCCCAGCGCGTTGGTTCGCACGTTGCAAGGGGCAGCTCCATAGCGTTCACCGCGCAGTGTTGCCTGGCGTCGCTCTACATACTGTTCCTGTCGCTGAGAGGCCTGCGCCGCTACAGTCCGCCGCAGTTTCAGGCCTACAGCCGCCTCGCACAGGTAGATATAGGAACACACACACACACACACACACACACAAAGGGATGCGCTTTTTTCAGGAATCCTGCAGCGTTGGCGTGGGGATGACATGTGATGACAGTTTTTCCCGAAGTCAGCGTGGTTTTCAGTCCGGATTAATTAATGGGATCTGACGGTTTCTGTTCTTTCCTGCACAGGATCCAGAGGAAACCAACGGGGCGCTACTGGAACAAATGGAATTCAATCAGTGAAAAAACGCACTCCTGTCAACTCGGTTACTGTTGTTGATCGTAGTTCTTTACGGTTGGTGAACCAACAGTGTTTGTGTGGTTGAGTGAATTTAAACCTTTTTGAAAACGCAAAGGAGATGCAACACTGAATTTCACAATATTTCAAACACTGTTGGATGTGGAATAGCAAAGTTTGAACCGGCAAAAAATAAATAAAGAGCATGTTGAGACAAATGATGGTAAACAAAGTACACAGAGTTGACTTGTTAAACATTACATATACACGTTTTTTAAAGCAGTCTGTTCTGGTCCATTTAGCTGCTCTGAGGTCGACACTAGAGAGCAGCATTGCAGAGGATTTGTCATGTTGTTCAATTTGATCCACAAATGAGGTCACTCTGTGCAGGAAGAAGCCGAGACGATGAAACGGTTTCATATCAGTAATCACAAATACAGAAACACAACATGAGACTTATTGGTCAGGGACGTGTAATGAGGGGAAGAGGACCTACGCTAAGCTGCAATGATTTCACTGAAAACGTTCTGACCACACCTGGTCTCAAGGGAATTCACCTTTTTAAATGTTAATGGTCAGTTTTAGTTCGCACAGAACTCTTCTTACTTCTCGCACATTCATGTCCCCCCAAACGGATTTAAAAGAGTGAACAAAATGTCATAATGTGGCAAAAAAAAAAAAGTCTTCACTTTTATGGTCTAAAACTCACAACGGTCCTCCCAGAGATAGAGGAGTACATGGAGTTCCGAAAAGGATTTATTTAGGGACATAAATCAAGGCCATATACTACTCCTATAGTAAGCTCACACACACAAGAACACTAACAGACGCACAAGAGTGAAAAAAAAAAAAATCTAGTGGAGGAGCTAGTTTCTCACGGCATGTCGGGGTAACAGCTTCCAGCTGTTGCCTTGTTGGAAGAGCTGCTATGGGAACTCAGAGAGTACAAAGAGGAACATGCTATTAATTATTAAAACGACACAGAAGGAGGGTAAAAAAAACAAAAGAACGGATGACGAATTTGGGTGTCTTCAGACACTGACCAGCGATTCCTGTGATAGAAACCACTTGTGTTAAAGTATCCAAACTACGGTGTTTGTTAGTGGCGTTTGAAGCTGGTATTCGATTATATGGATATATTGAGCTGCTCAAACCATCCGTTTGTCCAGATGTCCGTATCTCCCGCTACGACACTTGAACGGATCCATGTTGCATTTACACAGAGAGCGATTGTTCAGCGAGATCAGAAATTCCGGCCATGTGACGTGCAAATCTAAAGAGATAAAATGCGTGAAATAAAAGCCTGTCCAGATGGGTTTGTGCAGCTGTTTGATCTTGCGCTTTGGTGAGGAGTAATATATTTTATCTTTAGAGTGTTTCTTCCTTTGGACCCCTCGGGATGTCCTTCTTCTCCATTCTCAAAGGCCGAAGAGGGAAGTGACTGAGCCTGCTGACAAGGGGAAGTGGTGACTACATGAGGGGATCCCCTCTGATAGGTCAGATGCTTTCGGCAGAATGGCCTGGAAGGATTCAATCCGACCCACATGGAAGCGAGTGAATGACTAAATATCTTCTTGTTTTTCTTCAAAAATGAAAGTAAACCACAGATGAAGGCGTAATCTTGAGAACATTCATCAATAATTTATTTTTCTTACTCTCAATAACTGACACCGCTTCTCATCTTGAAAATTCAATTTCCAACAACACAGTTTTGAAAAATGTAAAGTTACTATACAAATTTTAATAGAAAAAAGAATAAATTAACTGTGGAATTCAGTTATTTTTTTTGATAAATTCCACATTTTTTCTACAACACCTTTAATGTATTGTTACAGTTGAACAGAACTGATAAAATCAAGTTACATGCTCTATTGTCTGGTTGGGGAAGTGTCTTCTACTATTAAACTGTCTGTTAAAATAAGCTTCATTCTGGTAAATGAATCTATTGATAACAATGAAGATGTCTAGATCCTACATGACAGAGCAGTAAATGGTCATTTTGTAGCACCTGAATGCACGGTTACAGAACAAAAAACCCCCAAACAATACTGTTCTTATAAAATGGAACATTGAAAAAACAATGAATGTGAATGTTAAAAACCCCACAAAATCCTACAGTGCCCCTCCCTACATACAGGAAACGACTGATAATAGAGTTAGTTCATTTCTCTTGGGAGAATTACAAAAAACTCTCATCTATGAAGCACAGAAAATGGTGTGTTTGGAGCAACAGAGGGAGGAGACGTCACACTTCTTCACATTGGGCTCAGAGATCACCACAAGGTTGAAAAGGGTCACGCGATGGAGCAACATGTGCTAATGTTACCGTATAGAAGGCGGGCGCTGAACGTCTTTGGGTTATTTTTTTCTTCCTTTTCAGTGGCAGGACATGCACGGGATCGTGTTTTAGCACACAAACAGTGGACGGAGTGAGCAGAGCAGGATCAAGCTTGCTCTCTAATAAAAGGTAACCAGGGAGAGCTGGTTCCGATCACGGGGTGAAAAGCTGATCAAATCTGACCAGGAAGGGGGCGGGCAACTCTTGGAGAACCAACCATGCGGGGAGTGGACAGAACTGGACTTTCCTATTGAAATAGTCTAAAGTGGCAGATTACAACAAGTGGTGTGAGTGCATAAAGGGAAAAAGAACATTATGAGGGACAAGGTGGGATGCACTGGGTTCCTCCCGTACTAAAAAAAACACACGCTCCACCGTTTACAATTGCACATAATGGTCCGAGATGTGGAATTAGTCAACATCTTAGTGAATTACCAACAATTAGGATATTTTGAAAAAGCAAAAAAAACAACAATATTTATTGACTCTGGTGAGGAAAAGATGAGAGAAAACAATTTAGATACTAACTAAAACATGCGAGTTCTACTCCCTTCCTACAAAACCAGGTGTGCTTAGCTAACTCTGATCTGAATGTCTGATTGTTGGCTGGGTTGCGTGGGAACATTACTCTCTCCATTTGAGCGGGTTAAAGAACCGTGTACTTCAGCTCCGGCTATGGCTTCACTGCTGCTCTGGCAGCGGGGATTAAATGTTGTCGAACAAAAAAATGAATTGACGTCCTCGTAGTAATAAAAAGAGCACTTCCCATGTAATACTTTGTTCCGTTGTTCTGGGCTGTTCCGCCTCTCTTATGTCCTTTTACACAACTCTAAAAGTTGTGTAGTTACTTTGAAATAGTTGGAAGTGGAAAATTACAATTTCACTAATTGTAGGTCCAGCCCTCGTATGTTGTGCTTTTGTTGTACAGACATTGCACAATGGCTAAAGACAGTGGGGCCTTTTCTGTTTGCAGCTTGAATATGAGAGGGGGGGGGGGGCTCTTCCAGTGCTGTGTTACAGTACAAATGTAAAGCACCAACATGTTTGGCACTTTTGTAATTTTTGTGTGTCCACAGTGTGTGTTGTGGCTTCCAGTGTGCGTGTCTTAGTTGTGATTCGGGTTCACGCTGTGTCTTCGGTCGCTCCCGCCACGAAGAAGAAATGGACAGAAAGACGGACAGACAGATGCCCCCACGTGGTGACAGGAGCCGCTATGGAAACAAGACCTCCAGAGAGGAACAGACACTTGTGATAGAAAAGATGATGCAGAGATTTATCATCAAACAGCCTCAGTATCCCCACAAGCAACTGCCGAAAATCATCTACTTCCTGGGGTGAAAAACGACAAACGTTAAAAGGGCAGAATCTGAATATCTTGTTTGTACACCAAAACTACAGCCCAGATGAAATGACGGCGTCAATTAAAAAAAAAAAAGTCACGGAAATAAGCATTGATTAATGGCGAACCCAATAACCCCGCCTCCCGATTCACCGATGACACACCAAGGGATCTTTTACTCAGACCGCTCAGTCGCACGGCCGAGAGCGCCGCTGAATGCCTGCTTTAATCCCCCGTAGACTCAAAGCAGTTCATATTGTACAATGTCTGTTATTGCTATTGTCCTCGTCAGTATCCCAGATGGAGTCCCATAAATATCAGGAGGGTTCCCGGTATCGTCGCTGTGGTGACTGTGTGGCACCAGCCCACGGGCCGCGGTGCGACCGGGCGATCCAGTAAGTTGTCTTTGGTTGTGGGTTAAACGGAGAGGATGCGATTATGTCATTTAAAACCGATTTTTCTCAAAAGTCTGGGTTATCTTCTTTGATTATAAATATATTTCGAGGACAAATAAAGAAAAAAGACAAACAACATTAATGGAATAATGACACCCAACACCTGGAGATGGGCCTGGAGATGTTTTAGAACTGGTGGCTCAAATCCAGCGGGTGTCCTCAGATTGGGCGGCAGTGCACTGGTCGGGTCAGCGGACAGTGTCGTGTTGAGTTTCGTTGTTTGCTTGATGTTTTTAAACGCCGTTCTCCCTCCCTCCCTCCCTTCCTGCCCCCCCGTTGCTAGCGTACGCTCTCTGCGAGGGAGTGTGACCAACGGGCTCCGTGGTGCTGTAGGTCAACAAGTTCAACAGCTGAGGTGGCACTTCTCAGTCTGTCCCGTGAGTCCCGGCGAGCACGTCCCACTCCAGCTGAGCTGTGACAGAGGGGGGGGGGGGGGGGCGCGTGATGAAGAGGTGGTGGATGGAGGCGGGGCTCGTGTCAGGTGCGCTCAGGGCGGGACGGTTGTTGGGCCTTCAGGATGAGGTTGTTGGTTGTCGATGGGCCGTGGTGAGGGACACTGGAGAGGCAGTAGGACGGGTCTCAGACCAGGGTTCCAGGTTTGGCCTTATCACGTCCGTACCACTGCACATCGGCCAGCTCTGAACACAACGGGCTGCTGAGGAAACAGCTGTCACTGAAAGACCTGCAGGGGGAAGACACGGACCAGGGTCAAAACAGAGCCCATCAACCGTGGTTTCAAGCTTTTGTCTCCCTTTGAAAAATGTTCAACGTTACATACACACTTACAGCGTACGAGTACGACAATTATTTATCTAAGTAAATCCGGTCAGGAATCAGCAACAGCGTCGGACCACAGAGCAGAGCACATGCAGAGATCAGATTCAGATGCAGCCAAAGAAGGAGCACATGACACAGATACCACCACCGTCAAAGAGCAAGATATTGTCCACCTTCCCTTTTGTCAGCCCCCCACGTATGTTGATAAAAGCCAGCGGTAATGTCACATAAGTGACGTGAGTCTAATACTTTTAGAGGTGTGCAATGACAGATTTCTATAAATTGAATGATTTTAGCTCCGCTAAAATCCTGCAAGGTGATTTTCCCTCTGCTATGCTGCTGCTGTGCCTCTCGAACAGTAAGACCAGCGAGACCACAGACGGTACCTCTATGCATCAGAGCTGGGCTGAGGGGGAGACTGACAGACGTCCTCAGTAGGAGAGCTGTCTGCTGTGCTTCTAAAACCAGGAGAGAGGACACACACACACACAAACACACACACGGAAAGGAGGGTTAGTGCAGACAGAGGGAGACGAGAAAGAAACGACAAATATTAGGTAATAAAAAGAAATTGGTTATCGGAGGAAGTGAAAGATGAGTGAAGAACAAGGAACAGAGACGAAGCGGGTGAATCAATAAACAGCAGAATATGATGAAAGGTTGAAAGTGAGTGACGAGAGAGGTTTAAAAATAGATGTTAAGCCCAAATCACATGAAAACCATTGCTGAGGATGAGGTCAGCTGTGTAAAACAATATCAGATGAAGGATGAAAACAAAGCGTTTGAGGATGTTAGAGTGAAATTTGGATAAAGATGGATAAATGGAAGCTTCGGTTTGCTCCTAAAATAAAGCAAATAAATAACTTCTTCTTCAAACATCTCGTGCAGCCGGCCCGCTGCTGGTTGTGCGAGTGCGTCGCTCCGTCTCTTACCCGCTCTGCCAGTTGAGGATGTGCTGTGGGCTGCAGGGGGGCGTCGGTGTGGCTGTGTGCTCGCTGCAGGGCGTCACACTCCTCTGGCTGTGAGGGGACGCAGCTGTGGGGGGCGAACGGACATTTAGTCGTGCTAAATGTAGCACAAAGAGACGGATACGCGGACACAGAGCAAACACACATGCATGGAGGCTGAAGTGAGACGAGCCCCGGAGGAATTTCAACCGTGTTTCACACGACCTTTTGGCCCGGGGGTCAGAGTTTATGTGAGTCACATGATCGGCTGCGGCAGGGCCTCGTTAGCGCAGTAGGCAGCGCGTCAGTCTCATAATCTGAAGGTCGTGAGTTCAATCCTCACACGGGGCATGATGACTTTTGTCCACGGAGAGTTGAGTAATACATACTGTTGCTTTCTAAATCACAATACACGATCAAGATTTCCATACACTCGCAGGGTGTCCACATTTCCCATAGAGTTTGTTCTTTATATTTATAGAATCTTAAACCATTGCTAATTCCTCAATTTGCACAAAAGTAAAGAAACAGACTTGTTCTATGTTCTATGTTTGAATCTAGTTGTTACAGTGAGATACTAATGATGACGTATTGATACATTTTCATTAAAGTATAAGAAAAGTGAGGCCACCAACAATATGAGAATGAGGGTTTGAATGTTATGTTGTATTCGCGACCTCTTAAAAACACATGACGATACTTTTCATGCATATGAGAAATATGCATGAAGGTTCTATTGTAAATAAATGAAAATGACCAACCTGGTGAGCACTTGGCGAGGGTCCCTACTCTACTTCCTCGGCTGTGTCCCAGAGTGCCTTGCTGTGACCCCGTCTCGGAGGAAGTGGATCCCGAGTGGGAGTGACTCCTCTCCTTCAGGCTCCCTGAGGACCTCTGGTACCAGCACCGCAGCTCTTCAGACACCGCTGCCCTCCCCCCGCCTCCACCACCCTCTCGCCCCAACGACGGAGTCCTTACGATCTGAGAGCGGGACGGCGTGAGTCGGCCGCTCCCTTCTCCTCCCTCCTCTCCCCCCCACGCCTCCTTGTACAGCCCCCCGGCCGTGTAGGAGCTGGAGGTCTTGAACTGGGCCTTGACGCTGTAGTGGCCCTCCTGATCGCTCTCCAGGCTGCGAACCACCACGGGGTTCGGGCTGCCCTCCACGTACAGCGGGTACTCCTTGATGCGGTACTGGGAGGAGGGCTGGCTCTGGCTGTGGAGGTAGACCCCGTGGTGTCCCCCACCCACCCCTCCTCCGCTCGAGCCTCCACCCGAACCGTTCTTAGCTGCCAGGTTTGGCATGGAGCCGGAATTAGAGGAACCCAACTGACCCGCTGACCTGGAGAGAGAACAAAGGAAACCAAAACTCACTAAAAATGTATTCAAATATATAGTGCATAGTACATATTACCCCAAAAAGAATTACGTATGAACCCTTACCGGTGCCTTTGCCTCTGTCTCTGCCTGGCTTTGGAGGGCGAGTCCTCTCCTAGTGTGGAGTAGTTGGGGTTGCTGTTGGGGGGTCCGCCAGAAGGGTAGTAATGCTCTGAGCTGCTTTGGCTGGTGCAGGAGGAGCAGTCGTCTAGTGGGTCGGAGCCATTGGAGTTGCGTCCCGGCACCAGGAAAAAGTCAGGGCTGCCGAGCGTGCCCAGGGTGTGCGGGTGAGCGTCGGGGTCGGGCGCCAACAGTTTGCCCTGGGACTCAAGGCTTGAGCTGCGGTTCCTAAAGTGCTGAGCGAGACTGTGTAGACGTGTGGGACTGATGTCCACCGACCTGTGGGGTGCAGCAACACGGAAAGGTTGAATACGAAGGACGGGCCGGAACGGAGCTACGGAATAATGTGAATTTAATAATTAAGAACCAAGGACGGGAGCCCTGTGACCCTGTACCCCAGTACGCACATTAGCCAGATGTGGGAGCTTACCACCTATTAGAGCGGTCTCAAATAAGCAGTAAACCGCTGAAGGTGTAAGGACTGACCTAGTGGAGTGTACGTAATGTGGGTTCCTGGTCTTCAGGTCGGGGGTGGAGGGCATGCTGGACTGAGAGTTCCAGTGAGGGAGGTTCCTGATGGGGCTGCTCTGCAGAGAGTTACTACCCCCTGCGTCTGCACTGCCAGAGCTCGTGAAACGCCTATGACTTGACAAAGAAGCAACGGAAATCAATGCAAATAATAATAACAATTTGATTTCTTTCACATAGGCAGCTTGTGTTTGATGGGTTCTATTAAAGTTAAATTAAATTTGAGATGGCTAAAAATATCTTGAATAAACTTGTGGTTTATTTATTAATACACAGTTGCTTAATACTGATGCTATTTAAGATAAAAATCCCTCATACCTTGAATGAGAGGAGCGTTTTTTGACTTTTTCGTAGGGCTCATCCAGTGACGATTCACTCCAGATCTTGGGTTTGATGGGTGACTTATCGTAGTCGGGCCGTGGATAGTGCAGGTGTCGCAGGCCATCTAGGGACTGAGGTGGTGGGGGACGACTGTGTGATGGTGGTCGAGGAGGGAGGCCCCTGTGAGGCGATGCTACTGGAGAAAAGGTGGGGGTTCCTGTAACATGTGGATCATCTGAAATAAGAGACCAGATTGAATTACGTTTCATAAAAAACCCCGTTCCTGAATCATAATGTGAAGGATAGACTCACCATCATCCAAGACCAGTGCGTCAGACAATGAACTATCTTCAGAACCAATATTGGCCTCTGTAGGACAGAGAAAGAAATAGCAGATGTCAAAGATTGTGCAATTGCTAGATGAAAAAACTGAAAAGCCTCACGGCCTAAACAATCGTTGATACATCTGAAAGCAACAACGCTGGAACTTCTCAGCTCCACTGCCTTTTATCCCAATCCCCTAAACAGCACATGAGAAGAACACAGCTCTGCGTCGCGGCGAAACTACACCATATCCATGTTACAATCTAATTTCCCCGTAGTGAATAGGATATACATTAGTACCCTCTATGATAAGTGAAGCCCTCTGCGTAGGCATCTTGCCAGAGCGGACCCGGTGCTCATTGATAGAGTTCTCAATTTCCTGGAGCTTCTTCAGCGCGTTCAGATAAGAAGTCTTCCTCTGTTTCTTCAGCTTCTTACTGCTCACGTGAGGATCGCTGGCCAGGCGCCTGGCTGCCTCTGTAATCTGGGACTGAATGGCAAACTCCCGCTCCAAGCGCTCCAGTTCCTCCTCCTGGGAGGAGCACAAGCACAGGGGCAAACTCTTGAGTAACACAAAGATAGCGGATCCTCAGTCTTAACAGTTTTAGCAACGAAATCACGGCACAATCCAAAAACAACAAGGCTTAGATCGCAGACACATAGTTAGACTGAAACCCGGCCATGCAACCTATTCGGTTTGACACACACACACACACAAAGCCGTGCCAGAGAAAACACGCTGCGGAAATCATTTATCTCCGCTGACTTTTCTCACCACTTGATAGTCTCTTTTGAGACACTCTGTCCCCTAATAATAACACCTCTCCATCACCCCCCCCCCCCCCCCCTCCTCCTCCTCTACACGCCCCCGAGATTCGTGGAGCGGAGGTGAACCAAGTAAAGAGCATTCTGTCAAAGTGTTGCAAATATGTCTCCTCCAAAATACATATTTGGGGTAGTACACTTTAAATGATAAAGTATTAAAACGTTTAAACTGTGTGTGTGTGTTAGTTATTGTGAATTAAGAGACATCTTTCTGCTTGCGAGGCGGTTTTGTCATATTGTGTTACTGGATTATTTTCAAAGCATGCGACCTCAGCAACACACACCCACATGCCTGCATACATAAAGGAGCGCACGCAATCCTACTATCACCACTTCCTGTGGCGAGAATGCTGCTATTTTTAAAAGTTCCGCTGCTCTGGAAAATTTACCCGTGGCACAAAAAGACAAAGACGCAGGTCCGAGACGTCTCAGACTGTGGCCTTTTGCTGTTCTCTGTTTCCTTAGCATACTAGAAAACGGAGTACATTATATTAATCATCATCCTGACCACGAGGTCAGGATTATGTGAGTATTAACTCTGGCTTTAAAGTAATGTAATCCTGAACAGCCCGTAATCTTCAACGTGTTCAACTTGAAGAGCTTTTAAACACTGGTTTGATCTGTGAAGCCCGTACTGCGTATTAAATGGCTCATTAACGCTGCAGCCGGGTTCAAGGGAGATCAACGCGCTTAAATACTTAAATGCGGCAGCGCAGTGGCGGCAACAGGTGCTTGTGGTAATATGTGTTTGTCTTATACACTGACACTACTAGAGCGACCTAGGAGTTGAACAAGGGGTTGCAGCTTCACCTCTCCCTTAGGGTGGATTTTCTGCTCGTCCAGTTTGAAGGCAGTGCCGATCTTCCGCCTCACTGTGGGGGGCTCCTCTCCCGGATCCAGAGGGTACTCCTTAGGAAGCCTCCCTGTCAGCTCCTGCAATAGAGAACAAGGCAACAAATTAGAAGGGAAAACCTTTGTAAAAAGCACTCCGATGTCCAAAGTGTTTGCTCATACCGCCTCTCTGATGCAGATGCTCTTGAGTTCCTCCAGTCTCTTTTTTAGAGTTTCCTCCAGGGCGTCCTGCCGAGCCCTCAGTGCTGCAAGCATGTCCTTCTTGGCGGTCTGGGAGCTGTCCGATTCCTGAGAGCCTGCACGGTTCCAGTGAAACACATCACATGAGGGCAGGTGTCTGGATCATACGTGTGTGTGTGTGTGTGTGTTTTGGGGACCTCTCAGGAAAATGTGTTTGCATGTTTGATGTTTACAGTAAAGTGAACGGAACATTTTGAGAACGGGAACCAAGTTGTGAGTGTGGGTGTTTTGAGGAAGGGGCAGTTTAAGGCAAAGTCTATGACGCACAATCTCCTGGGTCTTGTTCGCAACATGGTCTGTTAAAACAACACGTACGTTTCCCTCTGCAGCTCCCTCAATGGCTCGGTGGTCAAAGATAGCAACAAAACAAAAGAAGGGGGGGGGGGGCCAATAAGTGACAAAACCCAAATGGATAAGACGAGACGCCCTGTATCATACGGGGCTCGGGTGGAACTAGAGCGTGACAAAGAGGGAAGAAAATGGAGATTAAGAGACTTGAAACGGAGAGCTGCAGAGAGAAAGGGATACGATCAGGGATAGATACATGCATTTAGACTGAGAGAAGGAGGAAACTGAAAATAAAAAAGATCCGACCAGGAAGATGAACTTCATTCCAAACACATGCAGAACAAAGTGTTCTTCTTTATCGGGATGATTCATTTATTCAGAATACTTGGCTGCCTGGATTTAAAAGGGCGTTTTCCTTTTTTATTAAAATCTAGTTTATGTACAAAAGTTTCTGTCGCACAAGTTACTTGTTCAACAAGGATAAGCATTGTTTTAAAGACCACGGCTAAGACCTGTTGCCCTATTTCATTCCTGTATCCACTGAATTTAGAGGGTCAGGGGCCTGCGGGCGGAGGATGTGCCTGTGAGACGTGGGTGTGGTGTTCCATACATACAGAAAGACACTGGGCGGGGTGTGCGCACAGTATGTGTGTGTGAGTGAATATTCAGTATGTAATCAGGGGCCTCTTTCTCGAAGCAGCTGTTTCTGTCACTCCAGCTGTCAACGAGACTCCCCCCTCACCGCCACACATGCAAACCGATGCAAAGACTAACGTGCACACATATCGATGTTTCTCTCTCTGGCTTTTTCCTTCCAAGTACAATCACACGCACACACACACACACACACACACACACACACACACACCTACACGCTGACCATTTACTGACCTGACGAGAGCAAGCTGCCGCTGCTGCCACTTATTATTTTGCCCTTGCTCCCCATGTTTGCTAGTTTGGAGGTCTTCAGAGTTCCCGTCTCCGTGAGGTCGATCGCGATCTCACTCAAACTCCGCGCTGCGTGGATCTTTGACTGGGGACACAAGAGTGGAGAGTTTCACATGGCTTCACAATTAAATCTCACAGGCCATGCTGGCTGAGTTTGCTGTATCTCATTTGGAACCATGTCTCTGGCCCGGGTGTGTGTGTGTGTGTGTGTGTGGTGGGCCTGCTGACCTTGCTCTGCTTGCGGTCCAGGTAGAACTGGTGCTGGCTGATGGCCATGGCCCAGATGGACTTGATGAGAGCGGGACAGGCGTACCACGTGTGCACCGCGATGCCGCTGTGACCGAATGTCCTTCTGGTCACCGACGCCCTACAGTAGGAGCGGACACAAGGCCACCTTATATACACTGAGCACAAAAAAGGTGGCTGCTTATACACAACAGTGAAACTCCCGACTCGACAATTCCCCCACCGACACTTTTTTACGATTACTTCAACTACTTCTACGGCTATTAAGAGAAAAAATGAGCGGTTTGTCAGAGCAAAGCTGATGATGGATGTTTTTCGCAAAGCCACACACGATGTTCACAGTTGTTTACTCATCCTTATTTAAACAGACAGCGGCAGCTCAGCAACTGACCAGCTCACCCTAATGACAGCTTCCTTTCAAGAAGAAAACACCACTGCTCTCAGTTTCACCCTGTGACAGAGAGATCTGCCTCTTTTTCTCTCCCTCCCTCTGTAGAATAACACTCCACATATATAGCCATGTTAAATAAACACAAGAGAGGTCGCTTCCTACGCAAAGCGGCTATCGCGCAGCCATCTATCCTTCCGTGGCCGCGTGTGAACGAGCGCATGTGTATTTGTGCATGCACGCAGCCGCAGAGGTGTGTTAATAATCATCCCATCAATCTGTGTTAGGCTCCTCCGGGACATCCCCAATATCTCGCTCTACTGCCAAGACAAATGCTGCAACCATTACTTAATTAGATTCCCATCTCTCCTTTTCCACACCGTAGTTTGAATGTTAACACATTAGCATTTGGCACAGCGGTAGTTTGTTAGTGGGAGCTTCTGGAAGGTGTCTGGAAGGTGACTGAGGGAAAATTACATCAGTTCCGATTATTAGCGGTGGAATCATGCAATCCAACATTGTACCCTTAAATTTGAGTTATAAATTTACCTTCTTGGGTCATGAACTTCCACTGAAAACTTCTTCTCTCTGAAGTAGAGATTCTCCAACTGACGCCATTGGAACACCTGAGGTTCAGGAGAAACAGACGCTCCTTCAGGGCTGCTCGCATAAAAATATGCTTCACATCAAATCCACACAGCTTCAGGCGAATCCTCTACTCTCTTTGGAGACTGCTCCAATTTGTTTTGAGAAAAAAATGCAGGGGATAAGGAGGAAGAGGGGAGGAAATGGAAGAAGCTGACAAAGAGGAGGAGTTGGGAGCAGAGAAGGAGGTACAGGCAGAGGACCTAGTCTGTGGCTCTCCGATCAGGTCCAGGCCAGGCGGCCGTGTCCACATCAGATCCCTCCGCTGGATGACCTCACTCTGGAGAGCGACAGCGTGAGAGGGAGGAGGCTTTCTTTCTTCTGCTCGGATTCGCTTTTTTTCTTTCTTTCCGTCCTCTTTATGAACCATCGGCTTCTCTTTAAATGCAGCCAAAGCCAGCTGGGCGAGAGAGTTTCCCCCCCAGACGTACTCCACGGCATGTGTGTGCGTCTGCAATCCTCCCAGACGCAGGGGAACAGGACGTTATGAGTCGGCGGGTGTTCACCATCTGCAGGCATGTGTGTGTGTGTGTGTGTGTGTGTGTGCTGGTGGAGGGAAAGTGTGTAAAGTGAAGTTTCCTGCTCTCCTGTAGCTTTGCTAGGAGAGGGAGGGGGCGTTAATGTCTCCCCTCCTGCTGACCCCTCCTCCCTCCCTGAGGGACTACGCTTCCTGCTCTGGGCTATGTGGTTGGATGCTGTGTGTGTGTGTGTGTGTGTGTGTGTAACATGGGGTCAGGGGAGGGGTGATGAGGGGGGAAAGAACGTTTCTGTGGCCCCCAATAATTGAAATGCCCTTGCTTTGTTTAGTCGGACCTTTGTGCACACGCACATTCACACAGAGTCTGTTCCTCGTTAGAAAGGACGTTGACGCCGGCATCGATCAGCCGGAGCTGACATACAAACACACACAAAGTACAACCGCAGACCAACAAACAGGAGAAAAGACGTGGAGGCCTCAGCTACGACAGGATGAGGGAGGAGTAGAGGAGAAAGGGAGCTGCGGGAGGAACAGGTCACAGAGCAGGAATTTTAACAGCCAGAGAAACAATGGATAGATGGGTGAGAGGGAGGAAAGGGGAGGAGTGGAAGAAATATGATGAAAAAAAAATGTAAACAGCCGCATGTAAACGCATGAATTCATGTGCTGCGATTAGTGTGTGTGTGTGTGTGTGTGTGTGTGTGTCTGCGAGCACCAAGAAAGAAAAGTGGCGCCCTTATCAAAACAGTTGCTGTACCGTACATTATAAATGAAGTGTGAAATGCTAATGTAGCATGGTGCTAAATATAGCGGGCGGGGTAGATAGTGGGTTATTCACTGTGCAAGTGTGTGTGTGTGTGTGTGTGTGTGTGTGTGTGTTGGCTACATATGGCCCAGTGGAGATAAGGCAGGTGTTTGTAATTGTGTTCAGGCACGAGACCACTAAAGCTGTGAGAAGCTGCCGCGACTTTGGAAGTCGACTTTAAAGTTGCAGGAAAAGTTGTAGATGTGAGCCAATAGTGTTAAAAATATATCTGGGGTGTCAAATCGGTCACATGGTCTTACAAAAGGGTGAAATCAAATCCCCTTCAAGTTTTCAAGATAGACCTTTTTGTTCGGATTATGTGCCATTTCAAAAAGTGGCCCAGTTACATAACCCCATTGTATTAATGCAACCTTTGTAGTTTTTATGTCGAAAGTTCTTTGTTGAACCTAGTTAGAGCCGTGCGGTACTTCTGTTATCAGTGTGTGGCTGGTGGCTGTATACGTTCATGCGCTATAAATCCTCATCCTTTTGTCTGTAGAACAATCCCACACAATGGCACAAACACCCACCAGCAGAGGAAGGGACCGGCCACTACTCCTAAACAAGCTGGGCGTCCATGTGCACAGACCCACGTCTGTCTGCGCACCCGAGCAAAAAGCCACTATGGACGAAAAGGTCAGATCTGATAGCGAGAAAAGGTCTTTTCTTGGGGTGTTCTGCACTCCCGGGGGATTACAGGACAAGAATAGAAAATTCAAATAGCATATGTGAATTTTCATTTTCCCGAAACAGACGCGAAGCCTCAAAGACTATTGTTTCCCCCGTGGGTGGGGTCTGTTGTGCAAGGCTACATCCACTAGTTGTCATGGAGACGTCGACGCACTTCCTGTTGTTCCTGTTTTGGTTGTAATGTTTTGGAGGGACGACATTTATGGAAAAAAACTGGTCAGACCCTGATGTGTGTGCCTATTTTCCTTACATGAAACACGGACAGAAGCTAAACTAAAGTCAGCGTGGAAAGGGATCTATATGCAGTGTAACGCGTGGGAGCTGCAGTTCCTTTGAACCACAGCTTTGTTTGATTGAACCTTCTGGCAGCTTCTTCACAGTGTTGCGAAAGCTTTGCCGCGCTGGCCTCCATCCTTCAGGTGGTCAGTCAACACAAGGACCCCACGATGTCCGTCTGAATGAGGCAAAACGGGGCATAAGAACGGCGTGGTGCTCTGCGCATGTCTGCGTGTGGCCTGCGGCAAGCCGACGGGGGGAAAAACGTAACCAAGTAAATGTTGAGGCTGCGGTAGATGGTCTGCATTTAGAAAACAACAGGGATCTTCCCTCGTAAAAAGAAGGAACTAATTAAACACAATTGCCTCCGGAACACAAGCCTCCTCTACAGCACAACTTAAAGTCACTTATTAATGAAAAAAAAAAAGGCTGGTGTTTTTTTTACTGTGACCAAAGACGATAATTGGCCCGTAATGTCTCATAATTAGTGTTCTGCTTGAGTCACAGTACCAAAGAGCTGTGTGTCAGTGGTTACTGGTACGGGATGAATGACTCACCACGTCATCTGCTCTTCCTCCGGCTTTGCTGAATAACAATGGCTCTCGTTAACGCCATAAGATACGGAGGGCTCCTAGTGACCTGCCTATGTGTCTCTGCCTAGGAAACTTTGGAAAGTAGCACCACTCACCTGCTTTTCTCTGCCTGATTCGTGGGAAAAACCTCACTGGGCTCATTGGGATTTAGTCAGTCTTGTGACGTTGCGTTAACAAGACATGCAACGCACAAATCTCCTTTGGCTCAAGCCCCTTAGACTGAGGTGAGGGGCCCCGCCTTACTCTCTCTCTCTCTCTCTATGAGGGTGAAGGAGGGGGTCAGGACTGAAGCTTAGCGGACCACAGTGACTGTTGCCATGGCTGCTGAATGCTCGATAAGTCGACCATAACTTCCCCGCAACTCTCTCTAGGACACCTCACTTTATACCTTCCTCCATTATACACATTGTATAATAAAATGGGACTCAAACAGTTTCCTCAGCGTGTTTGTCTGGGATTTCAGTGTGACATAATGTTTCCCATCGCCAAGGTTATTCAACACCTAAGCAGCGACAACATTTGGAATAGCGGAGAATGAGGCAGGGGTGGTGCTGAGTGATGAGACACATCAAGACCCCCCCCCTTCTCCCCACACACACACACACACACACACACACACAGCACAATGTTAATGGCAAACAGGAAAGCTGTGTCACAGAGGAAGTATCCACCAGGATGTCGAGTTCAGTCCAATCCCTGTGTGTGTGTGGGAGGGAGTGGGGGGGGGTATTGGCTACAGAGCATGTGAGTGTTTTAACCTAAATGAGTCAAGGCTGAATGCAACAGACTAAGGCATAAAGACAACTGGAGGCGGGGGGGGGGAGGGAAGAAAGGCTTTCACAGAACACCTACTCGCTGCACCCATTGAATTGAAAGGGGGTGGGGGGGGTTGTTCATGGAAATATAAATACAAGCAGCCACGGATGCAAAGCATTCCAAGCCTGAATGTCTCCAGGCCGTTGTGTTTGTACAGCATTGTTCGTGCCCCTCCCTAACACAATGTTCTGAAGCAGTAGGTGGCGAAAGTGAAAAGATGATGGAAGTCATGCAGTCCGCGCTGACGCAGAAACCTTTTGCAACGTTGGAAGAAATGCCAGCCGAAGTGAACGCTCAATGGAACAGTGAACCGAAGAGCTCATCTCACCTTTCTGGGTTTGACTTTGTCCTGGTGGTCGTACTGAAAGATGCCTTTGTAGCTCAGACCCAACCACCACGGGATCCCCTGCTTGTCCTAAAACACACACGAGAAGAATTACCTCGAGATGGTGGGTGGAGATGGAGGGTTGTGCGTGTGTTGGGATTGATGGAGAGAAAAGGAGAACACAAGTGGCTTCCAAAAGCCTGCAGTTCCACAGTGAACACGAATGTGTGTGTGCAGCGGGTGTGAAAATAAGGAAAGATTAGCAGTAGAGTAGTAAAAACTGTACCTTAACACCATAGTAATGTACTCCATATGTGGGCAAAGACTCCACGATGCTCATGTAACTGTGAGGAGCAGAAAGACAGACGTGTCAGGGTTACACGTGTACTGCTCAGCTTCCATACAGTGAACACACACTTACTTTACAATAGCTTGCCCTCTGGACTGCCCATTGAGCTTCTTGTAGTGCTCTATGACCCGGTCTTCACTGTGGGACAGTAAATAAAGGACAAATATTAGGAATGGTAGAAACAAGAGATGTTTTTTCTGGACAAGCTGGAGTAGCTTCTCACCAGTAAGCAAGAGATGGGTGCTCCTTCAGCGCCTGGGTGGGCAGAGCAGGCAGCTTTTTCAGGTCCGACCTGGTTACGTCATTACTGTGAAGGAGAAACCACAAGAAATTATCAACACCACTTTTGCAGAACTATCGCTGGTCTGCTGTGGGTCTAATGGGCTAACGAGTCAAAAACTGAGGTAGCACTGAACCGTAGAAGAGCGCTTGGAAAGTAGTAACAGGTCTGTGCAAATATGAATATTCCAAGGAATTTCTTAAAAATGAAACATCATCGGTGTTCATTGGCCTAATGCTCTCCATGACAAAAACTGGACGTTGTTTATCTCAGAACAGCTGCAGAGACACTCGGAGTAGGAAACAGGAGAGAAAAGACAGAAACAAAAACAGACACACAAGATAAATAAAGACGGATAAAAAAAAAAGAGATAAAATTGTGATGGAGGACAAGCCTGCTGCAAAGGCAGAGTAAACCAGAAGCGGGAGGTCTCAGTACCCCCACTCTGACACCCGAGCCTCTCTCCAGCCTCCACCAAGGCCTCGGAGGACTGAGGGAAGCCCCGTGAACATGGCAACCGAGGAGCTGAAGCCCTGCTCTGGTGAACGGCGGTGTTACTCCACTTATTTTATAAAACTAATATCTAAAGAGCCAATACTTTTGGCAGTAAAGAGCAATGGTGCAGTGTGTAGCAAGGTGCAGAGAGAAGGGAGGTGTGTGTGTGTGTGCGTGTGTGGAACAAATAGGGTAAGGAAAAGGGGGAGGAGGGAGAATGGAATGTCTCCAGAGTGTGTCACATTCCAGCCCTCCGCGGGATGTTGTGTTTATTTATTCCTTTCACCGGCGGAAATGAGGTCAGACGTGGCGGCAGCTGTAGTCTGTTATCTGTGCTACGGCGAGCGGATGAAGTGGAATACTACACTACGGCCGCCGTCACACTCCGCTACAACTGAACTGGTACAACTGAGGAGTGGAACATGGCTCACCGGAACCCGCATAGGATTTAAAAGCTTCATGGCAACGCAGTTTAGCTGTTGGAAGTTTAGACACTTCTTACGTGTTTCTGGTGGTATTTGCATTTATTACGTCTCAGGGGGGCGAATAGTATCTTAAATTGGGAGGAAGTCACTCCCAACACAGACCCTCTGTCATTCATCACACACACACACACACAGTATGTAAACACACATGCACAAACACAAATACAATCCTTTGTAATGCTTTCTTCATGAATGGCAGTACAGTCTGAAATGAAGATGTAAATCGGTTCTCGCTGATGCACAAGGGAGCAGAGGAGAGGACAGACAAATGACATCACTTCGATTATTTATCCCCCTTAGGAATCGACTAGTTACCATTACTAGTTACTTATGAGCTTACCTGGTGAAATCTCCTTTAGCCTCCTGTGAAGCAGAAAGGGAAAAAGAGAAGTGAGCGAAGACAGTGAATACATAAATGGAAAAGAGAACACAGTGATTATAAAACATGTGATTATGTTCTGTTTGCATTGGTGAAAGTCGGGTCTACTGTGCTGGAATCAGAGAGAAACACTAAACCGTCTACAGTGAAACCTCTGAAGGCCTGCAGAGCAGATACCTGATACTGTGCATCTGCACCTGCATACAGAACACACACACACACACACAGACAAACCACTCAGCTCAGTCTATGTGTAACGTGACCCCGCAGCATCGCGATTAACGGACTGACCAACCCTGAGAAAGGGATCGGAGAGAGAATAAGCTAAGAATAAGTATAAGCTCTTCCCCTCTGTTATTCATTAGCACTGACTGCACAAAGAATTCTGCTACCAACAAAGACAGTTGAGTTTTTTTAGGATTTGTCACTGCGGATTACTGACGGTTTGATGACTGCATTAGAGAATATGTGTTGAATAATTGGGAATTAAAATCATAACACATTTTAGGGGAACACTTTCATTACCGGCTGCATGTGCTAGCGGCGAAAAACAGACATCCACACGCACACACAATTAACCTTACTTGTAGGATAAAGGAAGCCAGTTCGAAGACAACATCACTGTCCACTTCAATGAGCTCCTGCAGGACAACGGAGAGGACAGGGGTCATGAATGACACATGCTCATACCGCTGGCAGCCAGTAGAGAAATAAAACACAAACTGTGCGGATGTAAATGGACGCGCCTGATCATCCTCCATTTACACAAGATGGGTTGCTGGTTCCTTTCATCTCCTCTATTCTCCCGTCTCCCCTCTCTAATTTCACAACCTCTTCATGTGGACGGAGCGCAGAGATTAGAGGCAAACGCAGAGGGTTGGGGGGGTTAAGGTAGGAGTTGATGCCCAAAGGTGCTTTTAATTGTACTAGTTTCATTTTTGTTAAAAGTAAAGCAATGGAGAATCTTTAAGTAAACCATCGTTGGTGGTGTTTTTTTTAGATTTTAGTGCACATTGCTCTCTATTTGTGTGTGTGTGTGTGTGTGTGTACATATACATGACATGTGTGTTGAGGGGGAGAAGGATACGGGTTAGTGGGCAGTGAGTAGTGGGTCAAGTATGCCAGGAATGTTCCCTTTACAAGCCACCATTTAATTGGTCGGGAGATCAGACGGCCGGGATGAAACACTAGACACAAACCCACCCTGAGTGCACCACCCAGCGAGGTTATTGTACTGTATGAGAATGTTTTTCACTTCTTATACAAAGACTGACAGCAGAATGTGACTATATATCTTGATCTACTTTTGAACTTCTGAGAACTTTCAACATGTTCTCTGTTTCTTTGCACTCTTCTTGTTTGCTCCTCTGGTCAGCGTTAAGCTGAAGTTCTTATTAGGAGGACGTGATGAATGAGCGGAGAGGGTTGTGATATCTTCTTCAAGGACGTTGTTAAGTGAGCTACCGGAGGGGCTTCGGTTTGTGGGACAGTCTCTACCAGACTGCTTGGTTTCATAGCCTCTGTCTTCCTGTTGGGACACTACAGTGTGACCGTTTCTCGCAAGTGGAACAACTAGGCTTAAACTGGACTGAATTTAGGTTTGCTTTACTATATTATATATATATATATATATATATATATATAATACAAGCCTGTATATAATGCACTACACAGAACACGCATCCCACAAACTTTTAACAGATTCAAAACGCCAACGCACTGTATATAACTCTAGGATTTGGCTGGGATGAAGCTCACCACCACGGTCAACAGCACTACTCTGAAGTCTCTCAGTTTGCTCTGGAGCTTCGGCTGGCTCGCTGTTTTACCTCAGGCCTCACACGCCCTCTTCTGGTCATACGAGAGAACTGCCGTGCACTGATGTCAATGCACGTTCCGTACACTAAGGTTTATACTAATGTTACTGTATTTATACGCATAGATATACGTTGCATCCACAGGGGTGGCAGGTAGACTAATGATAAGTAAACCAACTAGAAGCTGTTGTGGCGTAATTATTGAAACCACTAACAAATGAAGCTAAACTATTGACCACGTCTGTGTGTGGTTTCAAGTGGTTTTTGCTTTTTGCGAGCGATGTGCAAGCAATATTTTGAGAAAATGTATTATATTGTATTAATTGTATTAATATATTGTATTATAAATGTATTATATTTTTGTAGAGTTTTCACAGAGAGGGACCTGATTTCAGAACTTTTAGCAATTGCAATACACTGTAAACAGATGTGTTGCGACAGTGACAGATGGCAGCAAGTGTGTCAAATGATTCGCTCAGTGCTGGAATGCGGTGCAGCACATAACGTGATGGGTAACAGCTGATGCTGCCGGTTCACGCACGTTTTCTGCTTCACCAAATCAATGTAGAGACCGATGTAAGTCCAGTCAGGCCTATTCATTTAGAAAAATGAAATGGGCTAATGAAGCGGGATGCTTCCAACCGCATAATCACACAAACGCAAACCAGCGTTGACAGTATAAGTACTATATATAATGGGGACAAAATAATGAGTTTACCTTGTAGATGATTGATTTGGCATTAAGGAAAAACAGCTCAATAGT